AGAGAGATATTATTTTGGTGGTGCCGTAAGAAGGGAAAGTTTGAGGTAACCGATGAAATTTCTTCAGTGGGGTAAGGGGTACGTCTCACACGCTTGTGATTTCTGTAACCGCTAGTGATTTAAGACACGGCGTACCTGAATCGTTTTGTTATGAATAACGACATTTTTCAAGTTTAAAAACTTGGATACTGGGTTGGGTAGGGTTGTCTTTTTGATGGCTTCTGAGAAACTGATTATCTCCTAGGACACCGCTTAAAGAGTTCCGAATGAGAATAGTAAATGAGTGATTAATAAGAATTAATCAAGTAGAGAAAGTGAGGAACTAAAATTTTTGAAGCGATTTATTTTTATTGGAAGTGATTTCAAGAAAGTCTTTGCATGTTATCTTTAATCTTAGTCTGAAACTGATCAGAATGATTCCTTTTTCTTGAAGCACAGCTTTTTACTAGCTACTGAAAAACATTCCATTTCCTTCATAGGAGATAATCCGTACGCGGAGGTTGACATGAAGGACCTTTTACAGAAAGCAGAAGCATTGGTCACTGATGATTTACCTGAAGGCTGGCAGGAAGTAAGAGATGGAAGCGAAATTTACTATTGGCACATATGGACTGGCACGATACAATACGAGAGGCCCGTACTGTCTGCAGTAAGTATCATGGTAATTAAGAGTGATCGTGGTGTTTTTGGTGTCGAAGGCCCTTGTCCGCTAATCTAGCAAGACTGTACCCAATTGTTTGCTTTTGTTCGTTGCCCCCAAAATTTTTAAGGGAATATCCCGAGAGGCATTTGGAAATCGAAAAATTCTTTCAAAATCAAACCTAACTGAATGACTTTTGCAAGCATTGCTGCTATGTACTGAACCCCATTTCACTTCGATTTTCAGGACCACGCATTACTGGAATCAATGTAGTGACTTTTTTAACAGTAACTACTTTACCGGCAGGTTCCTCACCCTGGAACTTTTAGGAATATCTTCAACATAAAGATAAAATTTTATACACTTAAAAGGTAATGATTATTACATATAAGTCTGGATTTTCAATTGCAGACGCCTTCATCTTCGTCGCGATCACTCTCTCCTTCATTCTCTGATCCCAACTCATCACAAAGTCCGGTCGTTGCTGAACACGATAAAGGACTGCAAAGCAAAAGGTATTAAGTTATTTTTGAAATGAAAGAACGCTCCTTTTAAAAAGATTTGCCGTGTGTGATGCCCAGTTCTATTTGATTTAATTTTTTTAATCGAATACTTTATTTAAATCGGAATGTCGCGGATTCATAAAAAGAAAAAATGTAGAAAGCCAATCCTCCTGCACGAGCCAAAAATCCGTCGCTTACCCAGTCTTGGATATGAAATTAAACAAAAAAGACAAATAGCCAAGAACAATGACAAAATTTAAGATTATGCGTTGGTACAGTAAGAATATGCCTAGTTTTTTATGGTTTGACATTTGAACAACAGGCTCTGTTGCCGAATTCTCCTTAGTTCGCCCACCACTTACGAATCGCAAGAGTGTCAAAACAGGTACTGCGGAGAAGGGGAGATGGCGAGAGGGAATAGCAGAAAGTTAAGAAATGAACCACCGAAAATGCAGAAAGTTTAGAAATGAACCACCAGTCGATTCTCTTTTAGCCCTTCTCCCCATTTTTTAGACCCACAACTTTTTTCAACGCGCCGCTTTACCTGCAAGGGTATTAATAATCTTGAGCATTCCATGTGCTTACCTTTCCTCAGTGATATGAGACTTTGTTTATTGAAAACCCTATTGAACAGATTTGCATGAAAATGCTTACTTACTTTTTTCTAGTCCTGATGCAAGACCAGAGTCACCGCAAGAAAAGCCTAAGGTATATAGCGAAACACACTGGCTATTTATATATGTATATCTTGTATTCTTACCGTATTGTAATCGTGAATAAATTATTCTAGAATTTCCCACATATAGAAACAAATTATTACTTCAGAATAATCAATTTTAAGATGGAATTTCATTTTTCGTGAACGGGATTGTATTAAAGCAGTGAATTTGGGTATTTGGTTGGTTATCATTAAAATGGAAATGTTAAGAGTAAACCATCAACACTTACTTAAATGGTGTGGTAGTGGTGGTGGGGGGGGGGGGGGGGGGTATTAAGCCCTGTAGACTTCCCCTGTCGGCAGTAAGTCCACCCGGGCTTCGCCTATAAGGCTCGCACTTCACTGCTCTTTGATGAGTTTTTCAGTTAGAACTTGGTGTCATCTGCTTTGATACTCGTAATCCTTACTACTGCATTAACATGTTAAAACAACAGCGTCTGAGAAAAGGCTACTGTTTCTTCTGTTTATGTTGTTTAGCAAGCCATCAGTTTTCCGGTTCACTCCATGGGATGGGTAGACGTTGAAGAAGAGAAAATGGTCAGTGATGTCTTGGCAGAAACCGTCAATGAATGCATCTCATCATTGGCAGAGCAGCGCAAAGATTTATGGGCGATATCTGAAACTTGGGGCGAGGTTTGTAATACACTTTACTGCAACTTGTTCAATGACAAGGAACTCTAACTCATTGAAGATCATGCCTAAATTTGGAAGGGTTGATGTTGTTAGATTTTCATTTTTTTATTCAATCGTTTCTGTATGGAATAGCCTGCCAGACAGTATTGTGATGCAGGCAAACTCGGATACCTTTTACAACCTATGTCGAAATCAGCTCAATAAATTTTGAAATTTTAATGTTGTAGTTGACTGGGCAGACATTTGTATAACCCAAAGGGTTGTTAAATGTAAATGTAATGATGATGGTGATGATTGTTTGCTCCTTAGATATTCGCGTGTATGTGTTTTATTCAATTACAGTTCAAAATATGTTCTATTTAATGAAATGTAGTTATCAAATACATCCTTGTCCATGTCTAAGTGGCCATGCATATTCACGTCTTGCCCTTGCACGTGTCTGTTTCAAAGGTCAGGTGACAGGATACAACGAAAAGTGCTGCTGCTTGTTGCCTTTTTTATGAATCACGTTGGTTTCTTGGAATGAGATGATTGAAGCTAATTATTTTCTCTCTTTTTGGGATTCAGAATTCCTTTTTTTCATTCAGGAAATCTTTTTTGTTGATCTTTTCACGTTTGTCCCGTCTATTTATTGTCTCGTTGAAGCTCTCTCTATGTCTTTATTGTATCGAGAATTCTTCTATACCCGAGATGTAACGAAGCTCCCTTAAATATCATGGATTCAAACCATGCCCTAAAATTGTTTTGTGAAGTAATGAATTTTAAAAGAAGTTGTTTTGTAAACTGCGGCCTGCAACATCCATCAGATTCGCAACAAGATCCATGCAGAACAGCAACTTATTGAAACCCTCTCAGTGAAGTCTTAAGGAAGACAAGCGGTTTCTAACCGTTCAAAATTTAATGTCTCAATTGAAGTGAAAAGGGACGACAGTTTTGCATCTTGTAACCTGGTTTTTCATCCAAGAACCCATTTTTGTATGACATTATTGCCAGTGTAGAATTTAACATGAACAAGGCACATTGGTTATAGAAGACCTACCATTCCTAGAAGCACGAAATCTGTTTTCTTTGACAAAATTTTATAATGTAATTAGCCCTTGATGTTTCAACCGAGATCAATTTAAATTTTTAAGATCCTTTTGAAAATGGATGTGGTTTTTGGGGCAGAAGTGAGAAGGACAGTGGGGATAGTACAAGGTCGTAAACAAAATACTCATAGTTACGCTCTGGTCTCTATCTTGCATAGATTGGGTAGAAAATGGTACCTGCCAAGGTGCCACTGTTTCCATTCAGTTTCGTTTAGGATTAAAAGCATAACCCTAGCTGCTTCTTCACGTGCTAACTTATGTACATTGTTTTGTTTTCAGGGTAAGGATATCAAGCTTATTTTGGAAGGAGAGTCTTTAAAGCTGATCGAGCCTAAATCAAGAGCTTTACTTTTAACCCAACCAATTGCAAAAATGAGGGTTTGGGGCGTTGGAAAGGAAGACCAAAGGTTTGTTTCGAATGATTTGCTACCACTTTGCTTCTATGAAAATTTATAGAATAGAAACGACGTTTTCTTAATCTTTCTCCATTCCATTGTATTTTTCACGAAACGAATATAGTCTACTGTAACTTATGGCCTACTTTTTAGTTTTGAGCTACAAGACGAAACCCCGGGGAACAACTAACTATGATACTGCTTGACCGATTACATGGAACGTGAAAACCATACATAGTTACTTCTGTTAAGACCAACCCACGATATCACACAAATACAATGAGGAGAACTAAGACAGACATTTACGGAAGTTATTTTGCTGTTCTGTCTAGGGCTAGGATATGAATAGACTGCAATCAAAGCGTTCTGTTTAGAAAATATACTTCATTTTTAGATCTACGCTTTATTTTTTGGCTTCCGGGGAAAAGTTTAACTTCTATAAAGAAGTAGATGCAAAATATTTTTATCCGGAGCCTCTTTACTTCCTGAAGGAATTGATGTGCAGCAAAACGTGTACCATATCTTCACGTGGACCGTTGATTTGATACAAGGAGTTGGTTGTATCTTCAATGCTGTGTTTGAATTTATGGATATTTATTAGCCCCATCCCTATAGCATACATAGAGGTATTTTGACATGAATTTCAACATTCCGATAGCTTTCCGAGACATAATTATTGTTGCTTGTATACGAGCTGAGAAGGACAATTTAGAATTTGATATTATTTTTAGATGTTTATATTGTCTTACTATTAATACGGGTGAATAATTAAGTGTGGATCACGAGATGGTCGGATGATCAATTTTTTAATTTTTCCTTGAAAAAAGTAATTCAGTAGGTAGCTTTCGGGGACCCATAGTGAAAATGATATTCATCATGATAAAACATTCAAAAGAAAAGGCATATTTGGATCAATATCATGCAAATTACACATTATTAAGGCCACTCTGTGTTAGAGTAAACATCAGCCTTAAAATATCATTGAATAAAAAATCACTATTCCTATGTTGGGCAATGTTTCAGAACTATCCTAGATCGTCATACATCATCAACAACCCTCACAGTCAAAAATGACAGCAGTCTTCCATTAGTATGATTATTGGTTGATACAACCACGCACTCTATATTTAGTGAAAGTTTTTATCTTAAGAGAGAAAAACAACAACTGTAAGTCAGGGAAAGCGGTCAGAGTTCCGCATACCCGGAAACGAGATGTGCTGCAAACAAAGGTTGCTAGCCAGGTAAACTGATTTAAATAGAAAGTGATCTTTAGAAACAGAATACGAAGTGCTAGAATTACTTTCAGGGCCAAAAATAGGGTGGATCTATTGAACCCCATGGGTGGATCAAGGGTGCGACCAGTGGCGTAGCGTGACTTTTTCAACTGGGTATTCTCTATTAATCAAAAGGGTGGGGCAGGGTGTGGCTCGATGCGGCTTGATGAAAATAGGGGGATAATAGAAAGATTAAGAGGACTAGCTATTGACATTTTATCTAATTTTCTTTTTGGTTCGGTTGGCAAGCACTGCACTGTCAGGGCATTGCTATGATAAAAACGATACTTTGCTAAAGGACCCTTCAAATATACTCTTCGAACTCATTCATTGCATCATATTACTATTAACCATTTCATCAAAAGTAACTCAAATCAAAACATATCATTGAAAGCCAGTAAAATTTTACTGGTCGAAATATGTCCCAATAGTTGTTGTTAAATCGTCTAACATTTGCACTGATGTAAAGAGGAAGTAACTGTAAACACCTACTCTTAATACCTTTTAATAGAAAAGGGCTTTCGAAAGTTTCAAAATTATTCACATAGGGCATTACATGAGTTATAAATGATTTTATGGTATGCAGTATAGACTTTTTCTTCATGGTCTAATCGTGATACTTTCAATACAAGTTAATATTTGAAAGAATCGAAGGTAATGAGATGAGACTGCACAATAATGCAAATAAATGCGCTCGAATAATGCAAACAAAATAGGCCAACAAGATAACTGAATACACCAGGCAACTATAAGGATATTATCCAGGCCTATCTGCATTTACTTTAATTCTATCACATAATACAAACAGAAACATCCCTGATTGGCAAGCAATAACAAATTGGCATTTCAAGAGGGAACAGATCTGAATCAGTGTAGTATTATGTAGCAGCCTACCTTACCTTTCCACTTTGCTGTTGGTAGATTAAGATTAAGGGTCAAATGAGAGAATGATTATGAAACAGTAATACAGACATTGCAATAGTTTTTTAATTAAGTCATGTTTACTGTTTTCGATGCAGCTCCATCACTCCAACCGCTCCGACGTCCATTAACTGTTTATATCGATCTCATAACGAGACTATTTTGAACCAACTTTGAGGCTGTACGCTGCATATTTCTCAGCGTACAGAACCATTGTTTTTGCTGATTAACGGCAAATATTATTCATGGAAAGGAGCATTTTGATTGGTTAAAGTACCGTCTAGGGTATTCACTGCGTATTCATGACCAATCTCCATACAACATGAAGTAGCTCAATCTTCAAAATTAGCTTCAAAGATCTCCCAGCTTCTCTATGCTTCGCAGCGTTATTGTTTCCATGAATTTCGTGATATTTTGTACTTGTACAAAATGTAGAATATTGAAGGTAACGAATTCAACCAGAATCAATAGCCCCAAAACATTTTTTACTTATTACAATTATACGTCGTATTAATATTTTTTCTGAGAAATCTCAGGGTATTCACTGAATACCTTGAATACCCGGACGCTACGCCACTGGGTGCGACAAAGTGAAATTTTAATTTATCATAAAGGTATTGTTTCTTTTTCAAAAAACACGGTTTAAAAATATTTTTGGCCAACTTATCTAGGGTTACGCCACTGAATTTCAGCATCTGCTACAATTACTATGTCACGGAGTTGATAAGGAATTGATGAAGGAGTTGATGAAGGAGTTGATAAACAAGGGAGTAAATCATGGTGTCTACCGCATCTTCTTGGGCGTATTTGAACATTTCAGTTTGTGGTGTTTACAAAACATTTCTCTTTTTTCTGTCTTTGAAGTCTTCGATAGACAGTGCAATTATTCTAAACGGGTTGCAAAAGGTTTGATCTACAAGCTTCAGCCATCTCTGTTGAGAAATGTGGTGAAGCACGCATGCGACAGTTAAGCGAATTTGATTGGTTGACATCTTAATTATCGTCTAACATGATCCATTGTTTGCTACATTGAAACATTTTTTAAGCGGGTCACACGGTCAAGCATTCGTTTTTGAACATCGCTCAACAGTTTTAAGCGGTATTTGATATGACGAAGTTTTGTTGTATAGAGTGACTGTTACGCGTGATGTATAACCCAAATAAGAATGTTGATTGTGTTTCCTACTTTGCACCAAACACTCAAATCAGCCTCTAGCTCCTCCATTTTATGACAAACCATTGATCTCAAGAAAAGACTGGATCAAACAACCTATTGTTCTCCAACAACAGCACGAGGAAGCGATCGAATCTCTCCATCTTCAGACCTCTCGCGCCTAAAGCTTTGTGCTGCCATTTGTTAAATGGTGCACACACAGTTCTGCGCTTTACATTGTGCATTAATCATCAAATTCTGTAATATTATAAGAGACAACAGGCCTAGGAAAATAAGTGAACAGTGGATTCTTCGTTACGTAATCTTAATACCACGGCAAAAATGTTTAACGCCACTTACAAATGCTGCAAGTTTTCATTTCAACGGTTACTTTGAATTTTGCTATAAAAAACAAGTTGAACTAAAACCAATATGATTGCACTCTAGTCTCATACAACCGGCGAGGTCTCAAGATGGACGCTGCAACGTGGAATCAACGCTGGGCTGGAGAAGCTCGATCCAGTCTTTTTTTGAGATCAGTGATGACAAACAGTCTAACAGGTTATATAACAACTGTGATACCTAAATTGAATCTAATAAGAATGGAGTTTGACATTCTCTGTTTCATTTCAGGGACTTTGCTTTCATTGCTCGTGACCAGATAACAAATAAGCATAGGTGTCACATGTTTCGTTGCCATGGAAACGTATCCGGGCGTTCTATTGCTAATACACTGCACATGATATGCAATCGTGTCCTTGAAGAGAAAAGGAAAGCAAAAGAAAGAAGTTCAAAATCTCAGAAGCAAGGCTCAGACCTGTTGAATGCACCTGTTTCTTCCACTGCAAGAGGTGATCATTTTCAGTTCATTCATTCATTTTAAATTCCACTACATACAGATACCCTAATATTAAACTACTTACAACAATTATAATAAATACATGAGACAATAAACATAGAATATAACAAAGATTTGACACTACACTAGAGGATTTGCATGAAGGGGAATTCTTAAGGAGGAACTCTCTCAGTAGCAAAGCTAATCGAGGAGAGAGCACCTCCATTTAAGATAGTAATTTCAGAAACTGTATGTTTAAATTATGACTGTCTATAATACATTTTCAATAATTATTTTCAAGGAAGTAGGTTTTGAGCTTAGAACGAAAGACACTAACAGATGGTGACCTTTTAATATTTACACAAGGATGGTTCTTATAGGATGGTTACTTATAGGATGGTTCGTGAAAATTAAACTAATTTACTAGCATTTTTTGCGGTAGGTGTGTTAGTTTTATCCAAAAGGGAAACGAGTTTAAGAATTGGAAAAGGAGTTCACCCAACAAAGGCAGTGTTCCTAATGATAACAGTATATATTGTTATCCTAATGATAACAATGATCCTGAAGATGAGGACCCTAATGATAACAGTATATATTGTACTGATAGGTTATCCTGTTAAAACATTCGATTATTATTATTATTATTATTATTTCTGTCCTATGAATTGGTTTGAAAAGTCTCGAAGAAGACGTTAAGCCGTTCTTTTCTGAATTTATGTTTGGGTATTCGCCCTATATCTGAATTTACTAAACCACATCATCGTTAATAGAGGGGACTAATCTACGTATCTCCTCTCCATGCTAACTATAATTATAGTTTCAAGTCATGATATTTATTGCAACAATGCTTTTGAACATAGTGATTAGAGAAAAAAACGTCTGCCTACCTCACAGGATATTTTATTAAAATAATATTACAGATCAAAACTGGCAATTTCAGAAAGATACAACGTTGATATTGATTATTTAGTTTCTTTGCACCAATGCTCGTAGCAAAAAGATTCGTTTTTAGATTACTAGAAGACGATGATCCTAACGATGATTATGATCACTGTCTTTCTGGATATGATAATTGTAGCCTGCGTGCAGACTTTACTATCCGTTGCGAAGGAGAGCCAATACGGAATTGGCTCCGTATTGGCTCTCCTTCGCAACGGATAGTAAAGTCTGCACGCAGGCTAGATAATGATGATTATGATGATTCTATGGTTGTGCTTTTAATCCATATTCAGAAATCAGAAGATAACCCAGGTCATTTATATCATTGACTCAAGATTCCGATTATTTTGTTAACAGTTCAGACTAGTATAGCAGCATTCCGTCTTCTTGCCCGTGTTTGTTATGCTGCATCAAACATTTTTTTCTTTTTGTGGCAGCTGATTCCCAAATGACTGTTCGAAAGTCATGCAATTTTAATGACCTGAAATGTTTTATCTTGAGTAAAACTGTTTGCTGTTTCTATACGCTAGAAGTTTTAAGAGGGATACTAGGTCGAACTTGCTTATCGAGCAGCAGGGACTTTTGCTAAACCCGCAATCAACTCTGGATTTGTACTCATTCTAAAGGAAACTCTTTACATTCTTAAGCAGTATTACAGCTTTGTGTTAAATCAACCTATTATTATTTATGAAATTTCCTGCTGGCGGAGTTAAAGATTTTCTCAGTTTTTGAGAGAATGTCGCCCTGTTGACTTCATTCATTGGGAGTTCGTAGACGTTTTGTGCAAGGCGTGTGCAGGCGATACCAACGGATACAAATGACGTTAAAGTTTTCTCAAGGCGGAAAGAAATTGGAAAGCATTATCGAAGGGTTTCTTATAGTCCGCTTTTCCCAGTCGCATCGACACATCTACGATAACTAGATTGTTTGAAGTCTGATTTCTAGAACGAATTTAATAAAGACATTGTTTACGTGTAATTTGTAAGGGTTTCTATCGTCGGCTGTTGTAGTCAAGAAGTAAACACCATAAGTTTGTTGATGTCATATTGCATTTATGCGATGCTATATTTTTGACTTAACCCGTTAATGTGCTTCTGGCGAGGAATATGGAGATACTTGCTGACAGCTCTAAGGACGGTGATCATCAAAGTTATTTTATAACTGACTATTGTAGTTTCTAAATAGTATCAACCCCAATTGCCACATGTATTAATCATGTGCTTAGTGAATTGCTGCCCGTTGATCTTTATTTATGAGACAGGAGCGTAGCAGAACCAATAAAGTTGCTGGAAGTTATGCAATGTCAATTATGTATCATACAAAGATTAAAAAAATTCAAAAACTTTCCAGAAATTTTAAATAGTTTGTGCATTCCAAGATGTTAAAGGGATTTGATGTTTGTTTCAGGTAATACTTCATTCAACGAAAAACCTTACTTCGAACAAAAGAGGTGCTTCAGCGCTAAATATGTCGGGTGGACTGAAGTTGGAAGATCATCAGGTTCGAATTTTTGTCTTTTTGTACTTTTTTGCACTTTATTGGAGAATAGTGTATTTGTGTGTTGGTAGGATTTAAACGGTACGTTGCTTTGCTTCCACTTTAAACCACTGCTCCAGCCTTTATACACATTGTAGCTTTTCAGAGAATTAAGTAAATCCTTACAATGTTGAAGTTACTTCGTTTGTTTTTTATTGTTTACATCTGTTATTAGTAATGATTTCCTAATTTTTACTATTAATTTTATAATATCACCAATGCACTTGCGAAAAATCTAAAGCACTGCATAACCTTTCAATACTCAACCTTGTAATCGAGGCACCCTCTCTACTGAATGAAGTCATACCTTTTCTCCATAAGCAAAGAGGCTTTTCCCCATAAGTAGGTGTCTGTGGAAATGGCAGATGCTGCCAAAGCTTTAAAATTCGTTTTTGATAGAAAGTGAAAGTTGGCATTCTGGAGCAATCCACCCATCTATGCTTGTTTTCCAATATGTTTGATACTTCTACGTGTTTACATGAATCAATCCAAAAAGATTTATCTGAGATAGGTTACCAATATAAGCTTAAAGCACCTGCCTCTGTGTTTTAAAGGTATTGAAACTCTAAACAAAGCAGTCACCAAGTTAACAGCGGTTCGTGAACCTTCTGAATGGCAAACCGTACTACTGGAGATTACAACATCGGAAGTGAAGACAATAGATTGTTCGGTACTTTTTTGTTTTCTATTTTACTTTAGTTTCCTCATTCTTGTGCTCATTCTTCTTAAGACTCTTGATGATAGGAGGCTGTGACAGAAGTAAAATGAAATGATATCCAGTTCTTAAGCAATTTGTTTATAACATTTGTGGGATGTCTGATTTCTGATTTTCTTCATCTGATTTCTGATTTTGTTAAAAAAACATCTGACTTTATTCAAAAAGTAACTCTTATATAGTTTCTATTATTAATATAATTAAGCTTTACTTTTTCAACCCCATCACCTGTCACCAGCTCAATATTTAGTCACTTTGGTGTCAAAATATGACAATCATCTTGTAGTTTTGCTTTTCCTTTTCAACTAGTTTGCTTTTCCTAATCAAATGATGGGAACTGACTGTTGATTATGTCTCTAGTACTAGTATTAGATTTACTAATACTAGTACTAGTACTAATATTAATACTAGTACAACTAGTATTAATTCCAAAATTAATACTGAGAAGCAGAATCCAAACATGCTAAAGGACTTTTCATTTGACATTCCTCAGATTATAATGGACGGATTAAAACAAAAGCTATAAAGGAATATATGCCTGGGTTTGGGTTGTAGATGAGGAAAAGAATGACAATTCGATTGATTGTCTGTTTTCCGCTGTATTTTTAATAAATTGGCTATGGCGTCTTGACTTTGACTGCATTTCAAAGTGCAATTTTAAAATTTGTTTTGAAATTCATCTCATAACATTGGATTCTCGTCGCCGTTTTGCTTTGTTTCTGAATATTATCTTCGTATTTCTATTATACTCATTGCAAGATTCATAGAATCCGGCGGACAGCCTATCCTGCGGTTCTTCCTTCTCAAACACAATAATTAGGCACCCTGCATAATTGGTTACCATTGTAATTAGGTTTATCTTTGGGAATCAATGTCGTGTTCATGAATAGGACCAATGAGATACAAAATTTTCCCTGTAATAGATGCATAGTCTGATATTCACATATGCATGTAAAAATTTTCCAGTTGTCACAGTACCATTATCAAGTCCCTGTCAAGATTTCTTTTTTCAACTTTGCTACACGATGAATATAAAACTATGGTCGGGTAAACAGAAATGTCAAAATTTAGGGACACTAAAACAATAATGAATTTGAAGTCATCTCTAAATCAAATGTCAAGAACTCAAGCTATTTTGAATTTTGTCATTTTACTCGGATGAATATACCACACAATTTCTTGCATTGTGTCATGTTTCTAGTTTTATATTTGTCTGGAATATCCAACAACGAGGAATAGCGAAAAAATTGAATATAATTGATATTTTACCTTGGTATTTCTCCAGAGTAAATTACCTTGGTTTATCCAGGGTAAAATAAAGAATCAATCGATCTGCTGTATAAGAAACTTTTTAATCTGTTTTTTCCTACTTTCTGTTTGGCTTGAAAATAACTGTTCTAGAGTGTGCTTGATACTACTTCTAAAATAAGCTGATTCGAAAGTAAGCTGACACATTCTACGGTGTTGTTACCAAGATATTGACCGACTCCCAAACAATAAGCCGAGAAGCAAGTGAACAAGCATGATATCCATACTACCAAAAGGGAACACTTTTCAAGCTTTGTTCAATACCCTAAAATGATAGAATTTATGGAACATCTTGAAAACGTGGCGTGGCTTTTCAATTAAAAAATAGGCCAAACAAATTCATTCAAGAAACGATAAACAGCTTATTTTCGAGGAAATAAGGTAGTTTGTTGACTTTTTCATTAATTTGATTTGCTTTCTAGACTCAGTCGATTTTGATGGAGGATAGAGTGCGATTCATTTCATTTCTTGGTGTTGCAAAGGACCAAAGGTAAGATTTCATCTTTGTGAATATAAAAGCATAATAACGAACGACCTAAACAGGATTTTGGTATAGCCTTCGGTGCTACTGTTTTTGTTTTTTGGTGCTTTACATGCCCCCATTGGCATCTTCTTTGTAATATTTTTTGTAAAATGTACTTTTTTAGACTAGTACCTCCAAACGAGAAAATATTTCACTCTTATTTCACTTCTAAATAATTCTTCACCTTTCATCAACAACAAAGAATATACTCTGACTGATCCTCAGCATTCTTTGCAAGCCTTGCAAGCATTATATGAATTTCCTTAACATAGGATGTGTGGCTATATTGTTGCGGCTGGAATGGAAACATTCATTTGCCATGTCTTTTGCTGTACACCACATGCTGGTACTCTTACAAGAGCGATTGAAGAAGCATGCAAAGTATGTATCCATATTCTTCATTGTATACTTAAAACGATATTTTGGTGTTTGTCGCATTAAATCGGGTTTTTAGCACCTAGTTTTAGGCAGTTCTGATGAGAAAAAACCCTGGTGTCTGGATTCTTTGCTTTTATGCGCAAAAAGTCAAAGATTTCCTACCAATCGAATCTAAGACAGAGAAAATTTGCTTGAAAAACTCAAGCTTCTCTCCAAGTAAAACATTTTTCTAACAAAATGGATAGATACCCATCTTCAAAGTTTAGCATATTTTTTCACACAAGCCAGAACAAGACAACTGGGATTCTCAGCAGTCCCATTACTGAGATTATCTGCAATGAGATTACAACTACTTTACCTACAACTACTTTACAATATTACAAGACTATACCATGAAGAGCAAAAGACTATGACTACCCCATGGCGTTTAAAAGAAAAGTTGAAACTACATACAATTTTTCAAATTGCTACTATAAAAAAGGGAAACTTTGCTCGGCATTCAGAGATTTGGTGGTGGTTGCATACATATGGTTAGATTTTGAAAAGATATTAGTCAAATCGACCAGATGAGCAGATGAAACGTACGGTCAATTCGAGTTTATTCGAGTTCAAGTCATCAGAAGGTTTTCATCACCGTATAAAAGTAGCTGTTTCAGGTTATTTTTTTTTTAAAGATTGGTGACTTGAACAAATGGCCGTAATTATTCAACAATTCCAGCGAGGTCTTTTCGCTGAACATGAAAAGAAGGGCAAAGCAACAAAAAGTGCTCAGTATCCTCAATGCCATCACTCGTTGGGCACATTGCGTTCACCGTATCCTTAAGATTGCGCTTGAATTTGTGGAGGTTTAACTTGCTGAGACCAATCTAATCCCTGCTAAAGTGTAAAATTCCTTAAAGAAGCATCAGACTGCTCTAGGTATTCAGTTTGAAAGGGAAATCTTTGGCTGAAGTATGACTAATGATTAAGGTACTCAGCGACTTCAGGTTCCCACTTCATAATCTAATTGCCAAAGGATCCAACAGAGCTGTATACATGCATGTCAAGGATGAAAGTACACTGCAGCATTTAAAAGAAGCTGGAGAGTAATTTTCTATGTATTTCCACTGTTTTTCGCATCCTGCATTTGCATATTCATTTCAAAAGTTCATCTTGCTACCCAGCGTTAAGACAAGACTGGCGTTAATTTGATGTCTGGCATTTCTACACTGACTGCAAATATTAACTTTTCGCCCGCAACTCGCGCGCGATAGCGCGCGAGTGAAGGGCTTATAGTCTGCCCCGCGTATAAGTAGCATATGGAAGCTTCAGTTCATGTTGTCAGCACTTTGTCAGCAGATTTTGTCACTTTTCTGCTGCCATGACAACTGTCAATCAATTTCATTGTCAATCAATCGGCTTTGTCGAGGAGGTCGTTAACCGCCACCTATTTGTGCGGAAGGGAATTATCTTCGGAGCGTTGCTCTGCCAAGACTCTGTTAAAGGCCTTCGGTTTTTTGACACGAAAACGGTGCTGCATCACAGCTCGGTCTCCGCAATGGATGGAAGTTTTGATTCGAAGTTTTGGGAATCAAAACCAGTCGAGTGCCACACTTTTCTCCCAAAAACTCCAGACCGTACGAGCAAAAGTTATGATTGTCGTGATTATCGAAAAATAAATGTCAAACCCTCGAAAAACTTCATGATTTTCAAAAGGGCGTTGGACTTAAATCAAAGGCAAACTGAACACCAAAAATTCTTGATAAAAAGAATAGTTTAGCATCAACTAGAGCAGCTGTTTTTATAGAATTGTGAAAACCCAAGATGGTGTCTTCTTCGAATATCCTGACCTACATTTTCAAAACAATCGTTATCAAGGAACTAATTGTTTGCGGGCAGTACTAGCAAGAGCTATTTCTAGTTTAGGTCATATAGTTTAATTCTTTTAAGATAATTCGCTAAAAGAGTAATTTTATTATTTCCTAGCCAGAAATCTTTCGGTTTTCAGACAAGAATATTGATAGTTGAATTAGTATATGATTCGGAATGCCCTAAATGAAATCGATCCTTCAAAACCAAAAGCTGGCGTTTATTTATAACCAAAAGTTATACAAGGTCTTGCGTTTATTTCAGTAAATATCCCAGGCACAATCGAGTGAGCATAGCATAAAAATGCGTCAAGAATAAAGCCATTGGAGACATTTTCTGTTCATGATAGGGTCGCCCAATGACAGGGGACTGGGGAGACGTGTCCGCCACAGTTCTCGGCAGGATCAATTTTTTATTTTGCCTAAATTTGATGAGAACATGTAAGAGGAGGAGTGAAATTTTGGCAACGTTTTGTGATGTTATGTTATGATTTTCAAACTGCCTTTACGTAACCAAAAGTAAGTCGCGGGCCTTCCTTTCAGGTAGAATTGGCGTTCCATGTTGGTAAAAAGGTGTTTTCTGGTGTAAAAAGTGGTGTGGCTCAATTTTTTTTGTTTTTTCCTCCCTCCCCCCAGAGTATAATGGCTGGCGCCGCCATTGCAATCCTTGCCATGCAATCGCCCAGATTGTGAATCAGATTTAGAAAGGAACCCTTGTGTTTTCCTTATAAGCCCGTTGGCAATTAAATTGTCTGAGTTCCTCCCTGTTACTTGTCATTGCAATACAGGACCGTGCACCATCATAAAAGTGGGTGGGCTAAAAAGGGCGTGACTGAGAATTTTGAGGCCACGCCCTTTAGAACGCCGGAAAATGCCCCTTTTAGAAAGTACTTGCTTCTTTCCAATTACGTTTTTATAAACAGTCTGATGCAGAGAAGTTAAAATATACCAAAATAAGGCACCAAGAAAATGACCAAAAAAGGGGTTTCCAGCCAAGACGAACTGCACCAGATGTTGCTTAAAACAATAGCTAAAGTAGAAATTTGCTAATTTTTTGGCATTAACAAGGGGGCTCAGCCCCTCTCAGTCCCACTAGCACTACACCCCTGGGCTATAGCCCCTGCTAGCCCAATGGCTGCACGGTGACTGGTTGCAAAAGTTGTATGTGGTAAAGTTTTTCAGTATCAGAATTGAGCCATTGCTTGTCTTTCATTCACAGTTAAGATATGAGAAGTTTTTATATAAGTCCTCTCAAGAAAACGAGTCAAAACTGCAAGTAGATGCAAGTTCACAACAATCTCAACAAAAAATGCAGGCAACAGCAAAAGAAGGAAAGGTATGCAACTTTACTTTTCAAAAGCAGTTTAACATGCCAGGGAAAAATGTCTATTTTGATAGTTCATGTATGTAGTGCTTTACCCTTAATCCTTGAATGAACATCCAATGCTCTTCCGAGCCAGAAATGGACAAACATGACACATTTCCCTCCCTTGTAGAAGGCTTGCATGAAGCTATAGTTGCTTTTTCTTCTCATCTAGCTCCTAGGGCTGATTCTTTCCTGAACTCTTTGGGAGTGATACAGAATAGAAGTTGATGGTTGCACATTAACATTGCCCAGCGGGCAGTCTAGGGGGCCTTCCTCATGATCAAGGCAAGGGCAGAGCCATGATGGGGGCCCAGCCCCCCAGAACCAGAGCAATTAGGACTGGGGCCCTGAAACGTTCAAATTGTTCAGTCAAACATTGTTCCCTTTAAAAGGTTTTCCAAATTTTCCAGCAAATCCAACACGCAGTTGAAAAAAATATCTTGAGATTCAGAAGTTAACACTTCCTGTCCACCTCTTTCATATAGATAAAGAAAATTGGAACTCTTCCCTTTCACAACTTACAACCTCATCCACTTTCTTCCCTTGCCAGCAGTTGTGCGGCACAGTAATCTAACATAGTGTTTACAGACTTACATGCCGCACAAATATGTGAAAACTTGAATTTTGATTGGTGAGATTTGGTGAAATATTAGCATAACAAAGAGCCCTGCATATTTGTGTGGCATGGGCGACATGCTTAAAAATCATACTGTTTACGGTCTAGGATGGGCTTTGAATTTCTTCTATATTGAATTAAATCGTAGCATTGTGTGTGAGATCGACCAAGTTGGGTCCTATGTTAATTGTGTAAAGAGAGCAAAATGTATTATCTGTTAGAAGGAAAATAAAAGATTGTGGTAAACATGATTGCCTTATTTCAATGATTGAAGACTAAAACTAAATTCTGAAAATCTGACGGTCTTCTGTGCGACCTGTGTGACACCCTGAATCTGCCCCTGGAACTCTTTTGTCAATTCAAAATGCAAGCTGTTCCCCTGATGTTTCTGGATCATCTTCACTAAAGGTGTTTTTATTCCAAGATAATAAGATAATGTTTAAGCTTGTGATATATACCATTGTTTGTATTTATATCCTTTGCATAAAAGTGCATTCACCTTTTAGCAAACTTATAAATTTTCTGTGAATTATAAGAAATGCGAGTTCCTATAAGCATTTTCCCCATCAGTTAATTTTGTTTAGAGAGGAGCTAAGCTGAAGAGTTCTATACCCACAAAAAGTATCATCTTCACTACATTTATCAGAGTCAATTTTGTTACTAATTTCTCTTTGAATTGGGCTTTTTAACATTTTGTAATAATGAACTGGATGTACCTTGCAGGTACTCTGTCAAAGAGATAACAGGCTTGAGAAAACTTCAATTTTTAGTTAATTGTTGTTTGCAGCCCCTTCTTTGGTGCATAAGCCTTTAAACAGAATGCAGCTGTATGTAAAGAAATAGAGGAATATTAACAGTAATTTACCATCTTCTTTTTTTCATATCCATTCTAAAATGAGCCATCATTTTTATTAGCCACATTGTAGTTTCCTTGCGCAGCCCCCTCCCACTTTAAGCAGTCTTTTGTTATTATTCATGTTATGTTTGTGAGCTAGTGGGTACAGAATTGCCTTATTTTTAGTTCTTTTATAAAAGTCTACTAAATCTGATATCTGCAGATGTTAGCTATAAAGTACCTACCATTCTATTCAGAAGGGTGCAATTTCTTGCTACATCATCATCAGCATCATCTCAAAGAGTGTGATGCAACTTGCTACTGCCCTTTGTCAAGAGATTCTTTCCTACACGGTCAATAGAAAAAACTCTAAATGGTCAATAGAGATTTTCTATTGACTATGATTTCTAGGAAACTTTTCTGACATGCATGCATATTTTTGACAATATATATGCAAATTTGATAATTTGCTTAAATTTTTCACTTCTCTAGAGCAATGCATTAAAATCAAGTGTACAAGGTCTTTTTAGTAAACTACAAAAAAGAGATTCAAAGAAAAAGGTAGGCTATTTTTTTCCATAATAAGCTGTGCTACTGCTTTATTTCTTTGTGACACACCATAATCTTCAGCAGAAAAATAGTTGCTTATTGAACCTACACTGAGGCCAGAAACAAACACAATCTTTTATTATTTTAACAGCAGGTTTGGTGCTATAAAATGAACCAGCAGGCCCTGACAAAAATCTCAAATAATAGTAAGAACTGTCACAGGCGCTAGAGGGCGGGGAGCCTCCTTCTCTCCGTTTTCTGCTCCCCCAACCACCTTGGCTTTACATCTCTAGTTCAAGGGCTGGTGCCATTGAGCAATTTTGGTCTTACCGGTAGCAGCTTCTAATTTTGGTCTTCCTTTGAGCAATTTTATTGATAATTTCCCCAATCACAGTGAAAACAAGAAGGCAGAAGTTTTGAGCACTACCTGACAACTGCCATGTTTCCGGAGGAATTTGAAAAAAGCAAAGTGTTTAGCTATTTACACAAAAAATTTCAGCAACTCAATCAAAACATCACACAGGAAGATAAGATAACATAGGCACTATTCAAAGAATTAACTAGCCAATTTTGCTCAGTTTATGAAAACGAAAATTCCAATATTTGTTGAAGAAAACAATTTTGTGAAGGTAAAAAACAACAGTCAAATATTCAACTCATGGGGGTGCAATCAATTGCTCACATTATCGGTGCAATGCGTGTGCCCATGCATGGGCGAGCAATCACATGAATTATGTGACGAAGGCTGATATATGTCAAGAATGTCCATGGTTAACTATTCAAAGAGATTAATGTACCCCCCACCCCATATAGAACTGTAAGACCTCTGTATTTAGCTTATATCATTTGAAGATGTTTGATCAATTATTGGCTGTGATGTGAATGGACGTTACCAATTATGCTTTTCAATCATAAACCAAAATTATTCTATTTGTTTTAAGAAAACAAAATATCAAAATAACTGACTCAATCTGTAATTATAGTCCTGATTTATGGACCTGGATTATTGTGTTGCTTATAATTTACCTGTTTAGCCTGTGTGTTAGTTAAGTAGACTGCCTCTTTCCTGCAGGCATCTATACAATAATTTTTTATATCCTCTGTATGGCCATTTCATGCCTCTTCTCCTCTCGAAAAATATCAGGGTCTGAAAGGTGCTATTAACCAATTATTTTCTATCGCTCAGCTAGATGAACCAGCTACAAGTAATTCTGAAAGAAAGAGCCCTCCATTGCAACCCGGTACCAATGAATTTTTAGTTAAATATTTTGGATGCGTTGAGGTGGAACTTGGAACTGGAATTGAAACAGTCCAGGATGCAGTGGAGGTAGAAATATTGTTATCCTATTTTATATGGATTCACAATGATAATTGAATTACAATATTCAATAGAAGCATTTTTTTGTTACAAGAGAATGTTAGGGCATATTTATCATGGTATAGTCAGACCTACCCAATCTCATGCATTTTGCACATCAAATACAGAATTCTCATGCATTCTGCAAAAAGTTCTTTGTTTGTTCAAATTGTTCATTCTTTATTCTCAATTATAGCAAGAACCCTTTTTTCCAGCAAGGCATAGCAAGTGACTAGATAACACTGAATCTGCTTAGGTCAAGTGATGTCATATTTATCGGAGAGCTATAAGATCAATATAATTGTCTCTTTTCTAAGACAGACAATAGATTACACCATACCCGATTGCTATCGGAGCAGAGCAGAGAGGAGTGACTTTTACTCGGGGGTGATATTTGGGAAAACAGTGTGGGATAACTAACAACACTGTGCTTGCTCATAAGCCTACAATTTCCCTGCATTTATTTTCTGGTTCACAGTGCCGTGAGCTTTTGCAATCTAAATTAACAATCTGATGATCTGGTGGGAGTTGTGTACTATTCATATTCTTTCTCAATAAAAACTGCCAAAAACAGCACCTAAAGTCGAGAGATAGTGTATAGTGTTAAAGCATATTCATCTCCACTTCAATGTTATTGTTTGGAAAGGAATGAAATCTAAATGTAAGAATGTAAAGACCATTTTTGTTGGGTGTTATCCTATGTCTAGCACAAAATGTCAAAAAATTGCTTGTTCACTAAAAATAAAAAATTTTCAAAGCAGAAAACAATAAGAAAATGCTAGGTGAATCAGATTTGTTACACTACCAAGCTCTACTAGAGAGTGAATCCAGAGCGATTTTCATATCACCACCTGGAGTGATTCTATGTTATAATTTGACTGATGATGACATTATCCTGGAAAGAACAGGTGTTTCTAAAGAACTAGGGGGCATGGCAAAAGAGAGGTTTCTAAGACCTTGCCCCAGACACCACTTTTGCCTATGTGGCAGCCAGGATCACAAACTCATCCATTTTAAAAAATGAAACTTAATAGGTCTTTATGGTTGATATACTAATTATGTTGTTTTGCATATTTTGTAACCTGTAAATGATGACTAGATAAATGCATATGAAACCATTTTTTGCATTGTCATTCCTAAAGAAATTGTCAGGTGGAGCTATGATGATTGGTTATTTAGAGGTAACACATGGAGGATTGATACTTTGTGACTCACAAAGAACAGCACTTTCAAGGCGTGTAATTGATTTGGACACAGTTTCATACTGTGGCATCACAAGGTACATGAAATAATTATGACTTTGTTTCCCTGGAAAGTTTCTTAGTTTTTTTTTTGAAAAGCTTTTCTGACCCATAAAATGAAAAATCCTAATTTCTGTTTGTAATAAATAATTGCTTATCAAAGATCTACATTTTGAAGAAGTCTGAGAAAGTGTTGTTGTGATCAAATCATCAAATCCTAGGGTGGGTCAATGACATACAATTTGCAAAAAAGTGCATTAACAATTCCAGACCATTGTCTAATTGTTTTCTAAGAATTTTGAAAATGTTTCTGAACAGGAAGGGGGGATGTCTTCAATGAGAATAAAGTACCAAAGTGTGAGGTCATCAAAAATCTATTTTTAGAATTTCTTAAATTTGGCCACATAATCTGAAAGAACAGCATAAATTACCTATCAGTATGCAAAATTAGTTAGATATGTCCCAAAGTGGGCGAGATATGGCTAATAACAGATTTCAAGTTTGCTAACGGATTACTGTTTTTCTGGCCTGGTTCATAAAGTTATGAACCAAGATTAATTTACAGAGGTTTGATGGGGCAAGAGCCTGTGCTCATGTGACCATATCTCAACCAATTTGTAATACCTTCAACTGATTTTGCATATTTAGAGGTATTTTCTAATGCTCTTTCAGGTTCTGGGATCAAAATTATGAAATTTTGAAAATAGATTTTTATGACGTCATCACTTCGGTACTCTATAGAAGAACTATGGAGAAAACATCAAAATAACTATGGAGAACACTCTCATATTTAGACATTATGAATTGAATGTTTTTCATTGATATTTTTTTTCACTAAACCTCACTCTTCTCATCACTAGTGATAGATGTCATTTTGGACTTATTGTTTCACAAGGCAGAGGGAAGTATGCATGTCACGTTTGTCAAGAATATAAGGTAAGAATCTGACAAAAATCTTGTTAAATGCAAGGTCTTCTCTACTCTTGGGGATGAAATCTTTACAATGTACCGACAGTGTAACACTGTAATTGGAAGATAAATGCCACAGAAGAATCTTTCGTATTTTGACCTCAAAAGTGAATGATTTTTAGTGAAACGGGACTTGAGCATTGTTGTGTGCGATTCGTTCACTAATAATTCCATCCATCGACTAACATGTTATTTCCAAACCCAGCAAGTCTTATTTTACGTGCAGAGAACACGGAGCCAGAGAGAGAGACAGTGTGTTGCTTGATTGTAACTGAACTCTGAACTGAACTGAACTTACTTACAAATTAACATACTTTTATACAGAAATGAATATCTAAAATTAACACGAATGATGTGAGAAAAACAAAGGATAGGAAGGGCGAGTAAAGGTGATGAGTAAATTTAATAGCATGGCAAAGATTGACAAACAATAGGGATTAGCGAATGCGTGATATGAGAGTGACATGATATGAGAGGATGCCTGTGTTGCGATTGATGTAAACAGGCCTATGCAGAGTCAGTACAGATTAACAATATGAAGATTTATGTTGTTTTATGCTCTGGCTAGGCTGCCCTTTAATTATTGTTTACAATGCTTTCTTGTTTAGTAGAATTGATTGTAGGAGAATCAAATTTATTAGGAAACTTGACACTCATAAAATATATGGATTCAGTTCTCCAATAGAATTTGCATAGGTACACATTTTTACTAGATTTTTAAGAAAAATTTCTTTGGAGCTAATTTAACTGGAGAACATCATTTCATATGCTTTGAGAAGTTTATGTCATGTAAACTTGGGGAAATATTAGTTTAAAAATAATTTCTTATGAAATTGTACTCAGGGAAACATTACTCAGGGAATTGATGGCCCAAAACGAGGTGGTTTTGGCTGGTTTTGGGTTGTTCCTTGATTTAGTCAGGATGATTGTAAACATTTGAATGTTATGCTTTGATTTATACCACTGTTTATGTTTTATCTAGACTCCTGTTGGTAAAATTGTCAGTGCTGTCCATGAAATGCTGTGAGATGAAAAATCGTGTTTAAGGTCACTCTACAATTTATTTACCTGTTGTGACCTATAAATGACTCCTTGCAAGGAAAAGGTACCTACTGTGATTACAATTAATCTTGAAAAAGACCCAAATAATTTTACAGGTAAACAGGTGCAGGTCGAAGTTGTTAGTTTTCAGTTTTAGTTGAAGGAAACTCTGTATACAAAACAAAATAATGGACAAAAATGTACTTAAATAGCTTAAATATCAGAAATTCAGAAGTTATCCAGAAATTTATGATAAATACAGTAATTGAGATTTCTTAAGATTTAAATTTTATGAATTGTTAAATCGTCACTGTTAAGAAAATTTAAACTTAAAGGAACAAGGAGTTGAATTTAAGAAGTCTTATTTGCACTAGTGGAATATTTTGCAGAAAAGATGGAACTAAGGTTTGCATGTTCATTCAATTTAACTTTGTTACAAGCATGGCAAACTGAGTCAATCTCAATAACTTTATGAGTATTCAATTCTAATGAATTTCTGGGGTGTAAGAATTTAGGTTTTTTAAATTAATTTGACATTTTGAGGAATTCGTTTTTTTCACCTTGCGGGATAAATTACTTGTAATGGGCACAAGCAAACCCCCATAAAAGCAAAGAAGGATAACAGTTCAAATTCTTATCTAGAGATATTAAACTTCTTGGATTCAATATAGGGTAAAAAGCTCTTTGCTTTTTTGTTCTAGCTCTTTAGCAAAAAAATTAAGCAACTTGGATAATAACATGATTTGTGATGGCCACCACACATGTGAAGCCCCTTTAAAATTTAAGTGTCATGTACCAAGTCTTATTCATTGTGCAATGTTTAACTGGGCATTTAGGGAAACATGCCATAAAAATTATCAGATATATCAGACTTGCAAATTACTTGTAATTAAGTAGAAAATATTCTTACATATTTAGAAAACAAACATCACTGGTTTATCTAAAATAAAATAAGATAGAGTTTCTCAGTTTCTGAAGGCTTGAACCTAGAAAAATATATTTATTCAGTGACTTTAAAGTAAGGCTAAAACATACAAAGCCCATAAAGTTCCCCATTGATTAATCAAATAGAGTTCCTGATGAATAATTGTGAAGAGTAGGTTGTGTCTTTTGCTGAAATGAAGTGTCAATCTAAAGATTATTGACTGAAATGAAATTTTTCTATAACAATTAGATACATTTTCATAATAATAGGAACAGCAAGAATAGTGAAAGCCCCCGTATCCCCAGATTTAGTTGGCATGTATTTAGTTGGAATGGTGATAGCAATGTTTACATAATGCAAATATCTACAACAAGCAGGGGTTAGAAAAATCCTTTAACACCAAACATTAGTATGTTTTTAATGACGGCATATGGAAGAAATCATTCTGCTTATGTCAATTGATTTTAATGTATCGTTCTCTATAACAGTAGAAGCTTCACACAGCGTAACAAATCTATATGAAAAAGCTACTTTATTCTCTGGTTATCAGCATAGCCAAAACTTAAAGTATTACTCAGTCAGTCTACAAATTTTGTGAGACGTTTTTTATTCTGTTAATGTATGAATTGTAGTGATATAAGAATGAAAGTTAATTTGATGTTTTTCTACCTGTAATTGGCCACTTTTGGTTTAATAATGTGATTCACAACCCTGTGGAAAATTTGGTACTTGAAAAATCTTTAGATGACCTTGTTTGCTAGGCTTGCTTTCAAGTATATCACCTACCAAGGGTTTTAAGATATGTGATTTTTGCAAGAATGGATTTTGTGAAATGTTTTTTTGCATATTTTCTGGGCATAGATATTCATCGACAGGCTAAATTTGTGTTTCACAAAGAAATATTAAAAAAACACCTGATTTGAAATATTTTTGGCTGGAACATCTGTTTCTAAGTCATGTGTTTTTTTATTTCCATGATGTTTTCATTCTGCATTTGTTTTGAAACAAATAAAAAACAAATATGATAGCAAAAATGATTTTCTAATGATAATGGTTTTCTAATGATTTAATTACTGATATCTAGTTGCATACTTATGGCTGCATTACGCAACATCTTACACTAGAGCACCACAAATGGTTAACAGATAAAGAGCATGTTGTCCTATATTTAGGACAGTGTGTTGCAACAAGGAGTGTAGCTAGCAGGGGGTGTAGGGGGTGTAACACCCCCAATACTTCATGAATTTGTCTGTAAATCTTCAGTTTGTCTACAAAATCCTCAGTTTGTCAGTGAAATAATGTATCAGTCGGTGAAATAGCACCTAAATTCTTCTCGATCTTTGTCTTCGTCAGTAAATTTTTCAATTGATGACCCTCCATCCCTCTAGTCTGGAATGTCAAGCGGCACCACCAGTTGCAACCCACAGTGATTTTACACATTTAGAGGTATTTCATGGTATTCTCTCCAGTAAGGTTGTCAAATTCAAAGCTTCCAAAAATGGGTAAATGATATCAACAGTTTGACATTCTATTGTTTTTCTTTTACTCTATGGTCAAGCTTTTATGATAAAAACTCTCAAGACATTTTACCAGATTAGTTTTTATTAATTTCGATGTTAAATGGGATTGTAACTCAGAAGAATAAAATGATATTGCAGCATGGATGAAAAGTTCTAGACTGTTGCTAATAAAATCAATAATCTTGATATTTTTCATAACAATTACTAAAAACTAAACCAAAACACATTCTTAGAACTGTATAAAACTTATGCAACTTCTCAGACAAAATTTGCTTCAATGCAGTTTTAAATTTTGCCATCATCAACATTATGACATATACAGCATTGTGTTAAACAGTAGTTGTGCTGGGGATTGCATACAACTAAAATTTAAGTAATTTGGTAGTAAAGTGACATTGGTACAAACAATCTTCAATTCAAATTATGTCTTGGCAAGAGGTTAATTTGCATGGGAAGATAAAAATACTAAGTTTAGCTATTTATCAGAAATTGCTTACAGAGCAGTGGCATACTTTGTATGACAGCTCATTAAGGAAGATTATTTTGACAAAAATATGAATGATGCAATACTTTGTAATGGTCTTTGGATAGAATACACTGAAGTGAATGATCTTCTGCGGAATCAGGGGTTACCTTCTACTTTGTTCAGACATGCTCCAGGCCTTAGTATGCTAGAGTTGCCCAAAAATATTTAACAATTACTTTTTTGTCTATTGTTTTTGGTGGAATTATTCTTTGCATATGTTCATATACTTTGATTTGCCTGAAATTGAGAGGTAGTTTTATTTCAATGCTGGATTACTTTTTGCTGAAATAGAAATAGAAAAAGGTCATGCCTTAGCTAGTTAATATTACCTGAGAATTTTTAAATTTTACAATACCACCTTTTTGAAATATATAATTGCTTCATTTGATATTAATGTAAATGATTGTAATTAACAGGATTGTAACTAAGATGTCATTTTTCAATTGTTGATAACATTGATTGGTTTGTGGTGATATCTGAGAAAACAAAATTCAATTTGCAGTCAACTTAAGAGCAACAAGTTGGAATTCAATTTGATGTGTGTCATTATTTTTAAATGTTTTCAATTTCATTAACAATCATTATTATCCTTTACCAGTTAATCTCCAAGTTTATTTGAAGTAATTCCATGTTGATGTAGCATCTTTGTCAGCTCTCCAGACTCATAGAGTGATGACGTTTCATCCCCACCTCCAATGAATTTCCCTTTAATGAAAACTTGCGGAACAGTAGATTTTCCAGTTATCTCCTTGAGTGCTTCCTGACAGTAGAAAACAAACCATTTTTAACTATGTGTGAATTACTTATAATTTAGGCTCTTAATTTGTCAAACTCAGCTTAAAAAACTTTTGCTGGCAAGATTGTTGTTTTCAAGTTTACAATAGCATACATTAAAAATTAATTATAAATAATCTCAAAGGCTTAAAAATATCATTTAATAAAGTAAATAATTTTACTATGTGTTAATGCATATATATGCATTATACCAAACAAGAATCAATCAAAAGTTTCTCAGAACACTGTGAGAGCCAGAATAAAACATTATTTGAGCCCAGTGCCCTATTCTTTCAGCACATATATAATTCAATTGGGTTTTAAAATGATTGCTACAAGTTTTTATGGTGCTTATGAACAAATTAATGACAAAAACATCAACAAAAAGGAAATGAATCAAGGAGTTAGGGCCTTGAAGAGGAATGATTACAGACAAAAAATGAAATTTTTATCAAAATATTGCACCCGCTTACGCGTGCCCTTTCGCCTTACGACTCTATATTTACAAAATATTATGGGCAGAAACATCATGTCCTGGAGACACACAAGTTGAACATAGAACACCGAATCATGACAAACAGGAGATTTACTGGTCCAGGTCTAGCGTACTCCCAAATTCAATTTACAGTTTCGGTTTTGAATTGCATGAGACTGAATAATATACCTGTAAGTCCACCCCATTTTCGTGATGGTCAAGTTCCTGAACATGCAAGTTTTTGACCCCAGACTCAAGAAGAATATTTTTAGCTCTTGCTGCAAACGGTCAAAAGGACTTTGAAAACACCACAGTTGTGTTCCTCGAGATGACTTGTTTCACAAGTTCAACCCACTTTGAAGAAGCCATTTTTTCCGACCTGTCACAATAGTGAGGGACAGAACGCGATCGAACACTGGATCGACGTCGACCTCTATGCGGTTATGTGGCTGCAACCTATACAGTGCAAACCAAACATGCAACCATGCAATGCAACAATGTTATATTTTTGAAAACGCGGTTTTGAATGGCAACGAGGCCTTATGGGGATTCCTGACTATAGTAGACTACTATAGTCAGGACTATAGTAGACTACTATAGTCAGGAACACCGCAACGCAACGAGAATAAACAGCAACAAACACACAAATCAGTGTTGGCTAATATTTCGCCCCGGCATACGGGGCTTCATCAGAGCAAAAGTAAACGAACTAACAATTTACAAATTTCAAAGATTTCCACTTCAAAGAAGCTAATATTCCTGACTATTACATTTTCCACTTCCAAGAAGGAAGGAAGCAGGGGAAAAACCTTTCTCCCAGATCACGTGAGACATATCTTCCAATAAGGAACGTTTTTGAAGTCCCGTGATCCAGTTCTGTGGCATTGGCAGCAGCCTAGCCTGTCCAGTGAGCCTCTCGCGTTTGGAAGCCTTGCGAAGAACATTTTATAGAAATAGAAGTGCAAAATAATTTGTGAAACTTTTGTTTAATTGGGAAGTGTATTCGGATGACTCGAAAAAAGAAACATCGACATGCAGCACAACAGAAGACCGAGGGGAAAAAAAGAGCAGACTCTCCGATGTCAGAACAATGTTCTGATGATGGCGGTGTTCCTCAAGCAGATGATACATTTGTATTCCAAATGTCCTGTCGGCCTAATGGTTCCAAGTTAAACAAGCCAACAGATTTCTTCACCATGTTTTTCGCGGTTTGTGCAAAAGACAGTGATAAAAAAATCTCTTTTGAGAAGATGCAGTTTTTGAAAGACGACATTTTTCTTTTTCAAAGCAGCAAGAAACATCGTAGAGGTTTGTTTCCCTTCAGTTTTTGAATTTTTTGTTCATTTTTACGGATGAAATGAAAAAAAAGGTTAAACAGGGTCTCACCATCATTTATTCTGAATTAGTGAATCAGTCGTCTAAGTCCGCGTTGTTGCGAATATGATGATTTTCATTTCATTTTCATTAATTTCATTCATTATTACAGGGCCGCCGGAGCCGGGGGGACGACGGGGGCACAGCCCCCCCCCCTGTTTGGAAAACTTGTTTTTACTTTTTATCTTCTCAACTTTTTAGGCTGCAATCGCAGTTTTAAGGCTGCAATTACAGTTTTTAGGCTGCAATCGCATAGCCTCTACCAGTGGCGAAGCTGGACTCCCATGGATGGTCGTGCCCATTGGCCACTGCGCAACAGAAATGCGCCTCCGCAATATTATCCAAAAAAGTATTTCAGTGATCTAAGGAGCTCATATAGCAATTGCATGGCACTGCATTATTTTTCTGACACGACAGAAACAAACTAAATTTCTAAATTTAAAAGTATAAAAGCTGCTTTTGTGTCTCCCCTGCCTCTGGCTGATACTCAAAATTCATTTTCTTTCCAAAGTGTGATGGAGGTTCCTGGCAACTTTTTTTTATTTTTGGTATTATTTACCCAAATATCAGTTCACAGGATAATAAAGCTTGAACAAAAAACTTTTTCTAAAATTTTATCAAATTATTGCAACAATGGGACCAAAATATACACCTGTGGACTCAGATTTCAAATGTATAATAATTGCAAGCACTATTTGTTTTGCACACATAAAATTTAGAATTTCATTCAAAAAAGAGGCAAAAGTTTGGCTTTAAAGGCAAACTTGACTGTGAAGTGCAAGGCATGTATCAAGAATTAGATGACAAATGAAACAGATGAAACAGAAGTATTAGAATATCTACTGAAGACAGTACTGTCATGCAGCATTATTGATCTAGCCACAGTTAAAAAGCACTAAATAGTGAGTGGCAGAATGAAGGCAATATTTCTTTAAAATCCTTGAGACCTGTTTTTTCATCAGGTTTGTTGCATAAAGATTTGTAGGTAGCCACTTTGTTAAGCTGAACCAAACCACTCACAGAGATTCACCAATCAATTAGATACCTAATTTAAGGTTATGCCTTATGAGATAATGATAAACTACACCATGTATGACAATATTTGAAAGTTGCATAAGATGAAATAACCATTATAAGGTTTGAAAAAAATTCCAATTGAAAAGCAGCATTAAATTAATCATTGAAAAACAGATCATGACAATTTATGAATAAACAGGGCAGCATACACAAATGAAGAATGTTCAATAAATTTCTTCAGTGTCCAGCTAGGTGGAAATACTGAGATCAGATGACTGGGGTCACAAATTTAATACAGAATAATCATGAGCCTGAGAGTTATTTGCAGACAACAGTGTTTCTCGAGCAAACAATTAAGGGGGGTATGTGTAATAGCTTAAAGATGATTTCACTCTGCTTATTTAAGACAAACTGACTAATTCATGGACAAAGTTACCTATATTAAGGAAAATATATACACACCCAAGGAAACTGCACACAACCAAATTACATGGAAAGCAAGGGAAAAAATCAGAAAATCACTAGGCTGAGCTTGAAAACATATCATCAGAAACATAAACAAAATCATCAACAGGTTGATCAATGCTGTTTCATTTTTCCCTTTCACATGTTTTAAGGAGGGTAAAACTCCAGTAGAGCTAATTTGCAAAGAGGTTTTCTACTATAAATACTTTCAAAATTCAGAACTTTATACTGGGAAGATTCTAGTCCAAAAATACATCAAACACCTCGTAACTAATGTAAAATGAATAGATATTTATGTTCAATTTGCCCCAAATGTTCATAATATTTTCGTCTTGAACACCTAAGTATACTGTTGTCAAAATAATTATTGATTATTTTATTGATTGATTGATTGAGTTTATCCCGTTCAGTGTGCGTCTCTCTGGTACAAATCCGAGCGAAAAACTGCCATATTTTCCATTCTGATCACACTAAAAACATCCAGATGATATTCAAATTATTGTCCATTTTCTAGATAAGATAGCATAGCATCTTGCACATTTGAAGATCTTGATTCTGTTTAGGTGAATGAGAACTTGTTCGCCTACCAAAGAGATCCATTGGATTGATTCCGTATAGGCTGAGTCAAAATAATTATGAAACAATCTCTCCACAGTCGTTAACCAGTTTCCTGATAAATTACAACGGATCACCCTGATATCACACCAACATCCACAAACGCCTGCAGTATTGACAAGTAGGCACAACAGGGTGCAGATAGTCTTGCCTTCAGAAACGGGCATGACCTCGTGATTGATTTCCTCCAGCTTCAGCCAATCAAACGCTGGAAATCGTACCTCAACTATTATTATTATTATGACGAGGTCGTGCTCATTTCTGAGGGCATGACTAGCATTGTTTTTCTCTATTGTTGGGCACGACCAAACATAGGCTGTCCAATTGAAGCTTCTATTGTTGGGCACGACCAAATCACAAGGTACCAGATTTTGGGCACGACCAATATGAAACCCTGTGGATTTCTGCTCTGCTCCTGAAATAATTCCAGGGGCCCTGGGCGATTCGAGTAGAATTCACTTATGTCTGCGGGATAAGCTTGATCGATTTGTCGATTATACGACTAATTTTTGTCTATATTTGAAAACTTTTCGCGGAGCAAAATAAATTTTTGCCAATATGTGAAAACCTTACTTTTGGAAGTTTATGGTCGTGCCGGGCACGACAGGCACGACCTTTGGCTTCGCCACTGGCCTATACATATAATAGATCTACATGTAGGCTGCAATCTTTAAGGATGCAGCAAGAACTGAACACCTAGTTGGGGATAATTTTCGGAAACCTCACGTTTCAGGGACAGTTCTTTTCTTGGACAGGACAGCGCACACTTGCACATTTTTGAGTCTTAACATTATTCTTCCTACTTCCACCTTCAAAGAGATTTTCAAAACTGAATTGATTTTCCTGAATCAGACATAAGAACAACTAAAAAACTTTTGCACAAACAGGACACATTTATACCTTAAGAATTATTGGGGGCAGACACCCTCTATTCTGACGGCACTATAATTAGAACATGGGACTTTGATCGAAGAAACAGAATCATTGCCCAAGCCAAGTGTTACATGTTGAACTCTACAGTTAATGGATTTCCAAGAAAAAGAGATCACTAACTATAAACCATTGTATGATCGTTTTAATGCATGCTTGGCTTAGGTTAGGATATAGATAGACTAACCTGATCTAGAAGCATTTGATGCCAAAGCCAAATGTTTGTTTTTTCGTTTGCCTATACCTGGCTCACAAGGTCTATTTGTTAACAACAAACCGCACAAAAGCTTTATGGAAAGAGAGAATATCAGCTATTGATGGGAAGGAAACTGCTATGATAAAAAGTTTTGAAAAATATGAAATACGAAGAATGGACAAATTTATTCTTTGAAAGTATAGTCAATAAAGTTTCGAAGTTTGATTTTTATCGATTATTCTGTCCTGCCAAGGGAAGAAACGCTGATTATGAAACTGTAAAAAAAACATTTCTTGGTAGGGGAAGATTAAAAGAAGAGCAAAGCATATTCTCCTTACTTAGATGTAGTTATAAATTCAATTAGAACCTGTTTTGACCAACCTCATTTAAACGTTTTTTAAGTGGTCTAGAGTCATTTTCTATTAAAAACGCTTGATTCCTGACACATTTTGAAATCAGACTTTACAAAATTGCTTAATCTTTTGTTTTTAGTTGGAAGCTTCTTCTGTTCATATTTTTATGCTCATGTTTTATTGTTAAACTGTTTTTCATTTATTTCTTTGCTCCATTTTCTGGTTCCTTTTTTAATGTAAAAAATTTGATTACTCGCTGCACTAAATTGGTTATTCTAAAACTTTGCAAGACCCTTCCTTGTTTATGTAACCTCCACCTTTGAACTTGCTTAGCCTGCCATGGAGACTGGATGAAACATGGCAAAAGTAATTAATAGAGAACCACTGCTCAAAGTTCTACCCTGTCCTCCCCTCCCCCATAAGCCACTGCTGGTATTGGCTCAGATTTTCAGTGATCAAGGAAAGAATAAATTGTGTGCAAGTTTATGTGTATAATTACCCTTTCAAAGATGGCAAGTACCCAGCAGGCAGGATCTCTTTTATTTCGTTTTGGGACTCAGGGAAAACCTTTTTCAAATCTTGAGATGTTAGCAACATTACATGAATGCTGATTCACAATCAAGAAATAAACCTCTGTATTGATCAACTGCATTTCACTTGTTTATGTGGAAATCTATGATTTTCCAGCCGTTCAAGAGCTCCAAAGTAGAGGAGAAAGAGAATATGGTGCAAAGACAATAAAAGTCTTGTCTATTCAAAATATGAGACCAAATCCAGATTCTAAAACAAGCACTGTAGAAGAGGTATATGCATTTTGTTAATTATAGATTATAATTTTAAGTTCCCTTTTTACAAGGGGAAGCTTTTAATGTGGTAAAGAAGATTGTCCTGGAGTCTTATTAAGTTGCAATGGATGATGGTGCTTCAATAGGGCTCAGTGGTCTTTACATATTTTCAAAGGACCTCTGCCAAGGCTTCAAGTCAGATTCCTTGTTCTTACACATTTGAGCAGGGTATCCTTCAATAGACTCATTGATGGAGTATTTGCCCTTGTAGGCCCTTTTGATGATTTAATCAGATAACCCCCCCCCCTCGCAGTTAGTATTTTGAAAAAGGCACTGTTAAGGACTAGTTTTTCAAACATGGCCAACAAATTGTTTTTTACTCGCCATAAGACTACTGATGCAGATACTTTTCTGTAGGGGCCTTGGTCACTTCTAGGTCTGTAGAGTGATATCTTATCTGTCCCTGTGCAGTTTATATGTATGAATTATTATTAAAGGGGGCATATGTTAAGAAATGTTTTTGTGATTCTCATAGAGTGTCTGCGTTGATGGAAGAGTTGTCCGCGTTGTTGGTGATATATCTTCTGTTGGGATGGATAAGCTTCGTTCCTATGTCGAAAGTGAAGAATCAGGTGGTGGCATGATAGAAGTGGATGATTTGAAAGCAGACCCCGCAACCATAACTCTCTGGAAAAGAGAAGGTGAGTAGCAAATTATGGCCAGCTTCGCCACTGAATAGCAGTACGTCGAATGTTACAATGAACACAAATCCTTCCTAAAAAACTTATTTTTTTTTAGTAAAATGGGACTTTCCAAATTAAGACTGGGTGAAAATCTCAACCGGCGTAACATTCGATCCTTATCTCCTCACAAGAATGGTTGAAGGTCTTTAAAACGTCAGGAATTGATATTCCGTGATCAATCAGTTATTTCCACTCCAATAATTTTGTTCTTGTGTGAGCAGCTTTACTATTGGCTGATTGACTATGCTAAAATGAATGCCACAGCCAGAAACGCAGGTAGTAAGGGGATAGGGGATGTGACATCCCCCCCCCCCTCAATTCTTTATGAGTTGGTAGTTAATCTTTACTTTTCGATAAAGTCGCCTATCGGTTTGAGAAATAAAACATAAATTGTTTTTCATCCATGTCTTCGTCGCTAAATTTTACACTTGATAACTGAGAAACCATTCAATTGTTGTTCGCATTTTCCTAGTATTTTTTGCAACTCTGGTGCTCTCTCCATCGTCCATCCTTAAATTTTTTGCTTTTTGCTTAACCCAGTTATGGCTTTAATTTATGATATCGCAGCGCTTTCTTTGTAGCTATTTTCTGTTTTTGTCCGCATTTTTAAATATTGAAACCGAATAGATATGTGATCTCTATCCTATACTTAATTAAAGAAGACAAGTAAGTTGATCTTCGTTTCTGAGTTTTATTGATAAAAAATTATGAAATCGAAGGAAATGTATTGAATAACAAAATCATTTTATCCCAGCTGCATATGGGCTCGTTGACCGAGGAGTGCACACAATTAATGGAATTAGCGTTTCCTTCATATTAAATCATCCTGAACCTGAATATCCAAGTTCCGGGTTGCAAAACGATCTTGAAAGTGGTTGTACTGTGGAAATCGGTGGTAGTATTCAGGATATATGGAGCGATGTGCTCGTAACTTATTTCCAAAATCAAAATACGTCTGGTGGTGGTAAAATACGGGAGCACAACCTCGACAAAAGTCCTCCCACAGTCACGTTTGTCGAAAGAGAGGGTTTGTACCACTTTATACATTGATACTTGCAAAAGCTACATTGTTTAAGAGTGTCAAAGTGTGTTTCGAAAATGACATGTATGAACGAGTCGAAGGAGCTGAATGAAAGGCATGTAATTAAGGATCCAGAAACATTATTTAGAGCCAAGAATAAGTGGATATTTGTATTATAATCTTGAAGATAACAGTTCGTCTCATTTTTAGTGCGAGGCATTAAATTATATCTTGTTAGCTTTAGATTTGCCGTTCCTCAGGACTATGAGACTCTCTTTATTTCAGCTGCAAAAAGAGTGGTGGAAAAGAGGACTCATGTCGTAGATGGCAAAGTAATAACTGTTTGGTTTCCCGGCTCATCTTCCCAAGAACCTGACGAAAAGAAAGAAGGTACGTTGGCTGAAATCAGTCTTCCTTGGATAAGAGGTCGATTAAATTAAACATACATTCAAGTTATTTGTTTTGCCTTTGTTAGAATATCGTTGTTATAGTCTTCTTAAAACACGCCTAGAATACTTGATTTCAGAATGAAAATTGTTTCTTTTGGTGTCAAATTGTTGTTCGATTTTCTAAAGAAAAAGGAAAATTACACTCATTTTTTTAATAAGAAACTGGTTATAAGAAACGAGTTTTGGACAGTCTGAAAAAATAAGAAAATTCAGTACTCGAAGCAAAAAATTTAAGAAACTTTTAAATTGTGATAAAACTGAGAACAATAAAATTTTGTAAAATCCAAGAACATGATTGCCCTGTTGGGCTAGAACTTAAAGGGCCTCTCCAGCCAAAATTTGCAATTGCATTTTATTGGCTAATCTAAAGGAGGTGAACCTGCTCATCACGAATTCGTTATTTGTTTTTCGATATTTTGTACAGTTTGTGAGATATAAGCTCTTGCATTTCGATAATTGAATTGAATTAACCGACAAAATATTTTCGGTTTGGTGACACTGTGACGCAATTTTGACGTCACAGTGTATTTCGTTAGTCTCGCCTCAAACCGAATCGAACGTCGGCGATTCGCAAATTGAACACTGCAATTGTTGGTGCTCTCAGTTCTGTTCCACCAGCTTTCAGTTTGAGCATTTCAGACACCAATTCTGAAGCCTTTAGTTGTTCATCGTTTCTGGAAAACATCTTGAAGTGTCAATTTCGATTAATTATACGCGAGGGAAGAGCTGGAACAGGAAGCCGTAGCTTTGTAGGCCTACACAGGTGATCAAAACAAAGTCGTCACACAGCATGGACACATTCCGACCCGCAAACTTAGAATAATTGTAAGCATTTAATATTTTTCGATCCTAAAAATCACCTGCTGTAGATTTAGATACAGTTATCAACGCGTGACCATGACTCCTTCACGATTCGGTGGAAGATATAAGAAATTCATGACGAACGAGAGCCGCACACTGTGACGTCAGAATGTGACAAAACTGATTCGGCTTTTGTCGTTTTTTTCTCGGAAAGGTGCAACTTTAAAGCCTTATAACTTCTAAACTAATTGAAAATTTGCAAAAACGACAACTTTGCCATAATACACGCACCAGATGCTAACTTTTTAGTCAATAAAAAATTTTTTTTTGGCTGGAGAGGCCCTTTAAGACAAAAGGGATAAAAATATACCCCCACATCTAAATACAGCATCAGAAAGGAAGCGAATCTCTTGACGTGAGAAAAGGTCACTAACATTTCATAACATCATTCATGACATCAAAATTAAGAAACTCTTAAAAAACAATGAGTATTGAAATTTCCAGAGCATTAAGAAACTGGAGTACTCAACATCGACCTTTGTTTCTTATAAAAGAATGAGTGTATATCAAGTAAAAAGACAGTTATTCTTTGTTCAAACAAATGAGACTGTAGAATAAAAAACCTCCACCTCAAAGACACATAGTATCTTTAGATTTTCCAGAGGAATTAGCCCGCAACAAAGATTATGAGTGTTCCTTTCTCTTCCTGGCCTGCCATACCTTTGATACTAAATTAGTATAACTAATGTAAACACCTTAGTATCATTTTAGCTACTGTATAGCCGTTAGGTTCCTGTGTGCACCCTGATTCCATAGCCTTTCGTTAATGCATCCTCATGATGTAATTAAACGAACTGTTCCAAAGTACGGGGCAAAACCATTAGATGTTGTACTTTTTTTAGAGAATATATTTAATTGGGATTAAATGCTGGGAATATCATGTTAGATATCTGTGTTTTATTTTTAATTAGGTAGTTATGAATAAATTTTTATTAAATAAATCATAATTCGTATTTGTTTTGCATTTAAAAACCAGAAAGCTTCAATTTTCCATGTTTGTGACCAGGGGCGCAAATTGAAAATTGTTTTGGGTTTTGTCTCCTTAAAAACATAATAAACAGAAAATTCGGCTGTTTAATTCTTCCTATTTTGCCCTACTATTATGTTATCTCAAGTCACTTTCGCGAACGTAGGTGCATTAGAAAACAAGAAATAATGCTAAAACAAAATGTATGCAAAGCTAAAACTAAAAGAGCCCAACTTTTATGGTGTTCTTCAAAAATAATGAATTTGCTAGATGACTATAAATACTACTTCGGATTGACTTCATGTTTCTAACGAGTAGATATTCAAGTGTCTTTTTGACGAGGCTTCATTGAGTTCGACAAAAAGTTGGGATGGACATAACTCTCTTAACAGTTGCGTTTTATTTGGTTTTTCTTAACGTTTGATAGCATATTTATTTCATTTCGTATCAAATGACATATTCTTATAATCAATTGAAGCAGAGCCGTAGAAAGGACCGATATTTCACAATTATTTTTCAGTCAATGGACCAATATTCTCTCTTGCCATAATGTTCTTACCCAGTCCCAGAGCCGTAGAAAGGACCGACTTTTGCAATTATTATTTAGTCTGGGACCGACTGGTTGGAAATAGTAGGGGGTGTCGCACCTGTTAGCAAAAACAAAAGAATCCCATAAACCCCTTAACATACATACTTGCCTATGTCGCAATTTTGGCAAGAATAAACTGTGCATACCAAAAAAGAATTAACGAATAAGGCACGTTCAATTTCTCTTAATTTCGCATTTAGAAACACCACTAAATATAATTATTTACTAGAGCTTTCTCTCAGAATGGTTTCTTAATCGTTTATTACAGAGCGAATTGTCGTAAAAAAAGACATTGCGTAGACGTGACTAACTCTAGCATACAGCTCCCTGACACTGTTTCCAAAACTGGAAAAGGAAAGGAAACCAATGCTGCGAAGTTAAACAATGAAAAGGATGTTGAAATTCACGTGAACTGGACAAAATCGGACAAGACACACTTTTAATGTACCTAGAAAATAAAAGACGGTCTGGTGGGGGTGAAATTGAAAAGCATGACTTCGATTGCAGTCCAGCAACTGTAACGTTTTGCAGTGCCGAAGGTTAGTGATGGTTCTTATGCTCTAGTTTTAAGATGATGAACCTTTCGTCATGTTCCAACCGTTTCTTTATTGTTTCTATGAATTTAGATATACCATAGCTTTTGGGTGCTTTATTGCAAAAAGGGAAGAATCATTATATTGTATTTTGAGCTTGTCGCTTCTCAATGACAAGCATCAGTCACTGAGAATTGACTATAACGTTTCTTAAGGTATTAAAATAGCCTTTTATCTGCCTTGGTATATAAAATTCAATGTATCTGCTTATCTACCAAGTACCACACTATGATACACTAGTTCACTTGCTTAGCTGTAAATTTGCTTACTTTCCATTGCACAAATATTGCGAGCAATCTTAATTGTTTACTTGCTTACTTTTAAACCCAGTAGTATATTTAACAACCTACTTAAAGACTTGTTTATATATGCAAATGCAGATCAAATCGCTCACATGCTAACGTTATCTACACTCTGAGATGCTTTCCTACTATCATAAAGTGAACCTTCATTATTATTATTATGAGTAATATGCTGAGCCTTACTTTGGATGCCCTGCGCAACTATCGTTTTGTTATGCTTTATTGGCTTTATTGTGTGTTATGTAATTGGAATGAGTTATGTTTTGGATTGCAAGATAGTAACAAGCAAAGTGTCTTCTATATGAATTGGCCTATTGAATTAAGAGAATATAACACCTACGAACCTATCACCTACCCGATTATCTACTCAACCTATCTATCTACCCATCTACCTACCTAAGAAGATCCATACATACATTGCTATCTCCCTAACTACCTGACAACGGGCCTATCTACTGACTCAACTACTTACAAAATTACTTAACTCCCTACTTTTTTTCCTACAAATTAACCTACCTACTTACCTACTTACCTACCTACCTACCTACCTACCTACCTACCTACCTAACCTACCTACTAAACCCCGTTAATTTCACGTCCGCGTAAATTTCTCATCCGTTATTAAATGTCTAGCATTAAAGAAACTTCCGTTTATTCTATCCCACCTTAACTTTTTATGTAACTTTTCAAAATTACTGAAAATAGCCAGATTTTGGAATTATATCTTTAATATACTGTTATATCTTAAAATGAGGATAATAGAAAGCGCCCAAAATGTAAAGACCGGAAAGTGCACTTTTCATTAGTTCTATCGAAAAAAACATCTTTTCCTAGTTTAAAGTAAGGTACAAGATAAACTTAAAATACTTTTTATAACATTTGAACATCCTAAATATCACCTGTTTCCCCCTGACATTCCACATCTTCGTCATCATCTTCACCCTGCTCAATTCCTAGTACTTTTCGAATCATCAAAATACTCTCTAGTCATAGACCAGGCGGAGAGTAGGGGAATGGTCACCCGAGAGCGAAATTTATTGGACCAACCTTTGAAACGATTAAGCTATGTTTAGATGATCCGGTTGTTTTTTCATTAGTGTTATTCATCAGTTAGTAATTAATAGCGCTGCTTGATACTTCGGACGACAATTCAAAAATTAGTTGCAATAAAAGATATATTAAGCTTTTTAGATTTCTTTTTAAGGACACAAATTTAAAGATTACGCAATTTTCTCGTGAAAACGAGGCTTTTGGCCCCCACTTAACATACCATAATTTAATTTCAAGCATTTATGCACAAGAAATATGCTTAATTAACTTCAAGACTTTTACTTATTTCCATTTAAACTGTTTTTTCATTGATTACATTCATATACGCAAAAACGAGACTTCAAACACGAAAAGAGGCTGATGGCCCCCAAAAATCCCCGTATAACATCGATTTTCCAAATCAGCACCCTCGAATTGACCAAAATCACTTGGTCCCATAAATTTCGCTCTCGAGGGACCATTCCCCTATTCTCCACTTGGCCTATCGAGGGATATTCTATCTCTTTCTCTTTTGCCACTAAAATTACAATTTACCGTGACATGAAGTTTTTTGTAATTTTTTGTTATTTTTGTCTGTACTGAATTTGAATGTATTTCAGTAAAAATTGCTTTGCTGACATTACAAATTCGCGTTGATTAAATACCAGTTGAATATTTGAGTTTTGCTGATTCTTTTTAATTACCACACATTTTGAAATCAAATCTCGCAATTCACGTTAATTTGTTATCGCATTACTTTGTTCCGCGTTATTTGGTGTACAGCATTATTTTCGTGTAGTAAGGTATCTCTCTTTCCTACCAACTTTCAAGCCTATTAAAAGCTTCATGGAAAGAATATTAAAGTAAATCTTTGCATTAACAGTTGCAGAAAGAGTCGTCAGGAAAGGGAAACACTGCATTGATAACAAAGAATTTTTTGTGGAGTTTCCAAAAGCTGCTGCTGAAACTAGAAATGCAGAGGAAACCAATGCTGCTGAGATAAGCAATGAAAAGGATGTTGAAATTCACGGTGAACTGGACAAAATCGGACAAGACACACTTTTAATGTACCTAGAAAGCAAAAGGCGCTCTGGTGGGGGTGAAATTGAAAAGCATGACTTTAATTGCAGTCCAGCAACTGTAACGTTTTGCAGTGCCGAAGGTTAGTGATGGTTCTTATGCTCTAGTTTTAAGATGATGAACCTTTCGTCATGTTCCAACCGTTTCTTTATTGTTTCTATGAATTTAGATATACCATAGCTTTTGGGTGCGTTATTGCAAAAAGGGAAGAATCATTATATTGTATTTTGAGCTTGTCGCTTCTCAATGACAAGCATCAGTCACTGAGAATTGACTATAACGTTTCTTAAGGTATTAAAATAGCCTTTTATCTGCCTTGGTATATAAAATTCAATGTATCTGCTTATCTACCAAGTACCACACTATGATACACTAGTTCACTTGCTTAGCTGTAAATTTGCTTACTTTCCATTGCACATAATTGCGAGCAATCTTAATTGTTTACTTGCTTACTTTTAAACCCAGTAGTATATTTAACAACCTACTTAAAGACTTGTTTATATATGCAAATGCAGATCAAATCGCTCACATGCTAACGTTATCTACACTCTGAGATGCTTTCCTACTATCATAAAGTGAGCCTTCATTATTATTATTATGAGTAATATGCTGAGCCTTACTTTGGATGCCCTGCGCAACTATCATTTTGTTATGCTTTATTGGCTTTATTGTGTGTTATGTAATTGGAATGAGTTATGTTTTGGATTGCAAGATAGTAACAAGCAAAGTGTCTTCTATATGAATTGGCCTATTGAATTAAGAGAATATAACACCTACGAACCTATCACCTACCCGATTATCTACTCAACCTACCTATCTACCCATCTACCTACCTAAGAAGATCCATACATACATTGCTATTTCCCTAACTACCTGACAACGGGCCTATCTACTGACTCAACTACTTACAAAATTACTTACCTCCCTACTTTTTTTCCTACCAATTAACCTACCTACTTACCTACTTACCTACCTACCTACCTACCTAACCTACCTACCTAAACCCCGTTAATTTCACGTCGGCGTAAATTTCTCATCCGTTATTAAATGTCTAGCATTAAAGAAACTTCCGTTTATTCTATCCCACCTTAACTTTTTATGTAACTTTTGAAAATTACTGAAAATAGCCAGATTTTGGAATTATATCTTTAATATACTGTTATATCTTAAAATGAGGATAATAGAAAGCGCCCAAAATGTAAAGACCGGAAAGTGCACTTTTCATAAGTTCTATCGAAAAAAACATCTTTTCCTAGTTTAAAGTAAGGTACAAGATAAACTTAAAATACTTTTTATAACATTTGAACATCCTAAATATCACCTGTTTCCCCCTGACATTCCACATCTTCGTCATCATCTTCACCCTGCTCAATTCCTAGTACTTTTCGAATCATCAAAATACTCTTTAGTCATAGACCAGGCGGAGAGTAGGGGAATGGTCACCCGAGAGCGAAATTTATTGGACCAACCTTTGAAACGATTAAGCTATGTTTAGATGATCCGGTTGTTTTTTCATTAGTGTTATTCATCAGTTAGTAATTTATAGCGCTGCTTGATACTTCGGACGACAATTCAAAAATTAGTTGCAATAAAAGATATATTAAGCTTTTTAGATTTCTTTTTAAGGACACAAATTTAAAGATTACGCAATTTTCTCGTGAAAACGAGGCTTTTGGCCCCCACTTAACATACCATAATTTAATTTCAAGCATTTATGCACAAGAAATATGCTTAATTAACTTCAAGACTTTTACTTATTTCCATTTAAACTGTTTTTTCATTGATTACATTCATATACGCAAAAACGAGACTTCAAACACGAAAAGAGGCTGATGGCCCCCAAAAATCCCCGTATAACATCGATTTTCCAAATCAGCACCCTCGAATTGACCAAAATCACTTGGTCCCATAAATTTCGCTCTCGAGGGACCATTCCCCTATTCTCCTCTTGGCCTATCGAGGGATATTCTATCTCTTTCTCTTTTGCCACTAAAATTACAATTTACCGTGACATGAAGTTTTTTGTAATTTTTTGTTATTTTTGTCTGTACTGAATTTGAATGTATTTCAGTAAAAATTGCTTTGCTGACATTACAAATTCGCGTTGATTAAATACCAGTTGAATATTTGAGTTTTGCTGATTCTTTTTAATTACCACACATTTTGAAATCAAATCTCGCAATTCACGTTAATTTGTTATCGCATTACTTTGTTCCGCGTTATTTGGTGTACAGCATTATTTTCGTGTAGTAAGGTATCTCTCTTTCCTACCAACTTTCAAGCCTATTAAAAGCTTCATGGAAAGAATATTAAAGTAAATCTTTGCATTAACAGTTGCAGAAAGAGTCGTCAGGAAAGGGAAACACTGCATTGATAACAAAGAATTTTTTGTGGAGTTTCCAAAAGCTGCTGCTGAAACTAGAAATGCAGAGGAAACCAATGCTGCTGAGATAAGCAATGAAAAGGATGTTGAAATTCACGGTGAACTGGACAAAATCGGACAAGACACACTTTTAATGTACCTAGAAAGCAAAAGGCGCTCTGGTGGGGGTGAAATTGAAAAGCATGACTTTAATTGCAGTCCAGCAACTGTAACGTTTTGCAGTGCCGAAGGTTAGTGATGGTTCTTATGCTCTAGTTTTAAGATGATGAACCTTTCGTCATGTTCCAACCGTTTCTTTATTGTTTCTATGAATTTAGATATACCATAGCTTTTGGGTGCTTTATTGCAAAAAGGGAAGAATCATTATATTGTATTTTGAGCTTGTCGCTTCTCAATGACAAGCATCAGTCACTGAGAATTGACTATAACGTTTCTTAAGGTATTAAAATAGCCTTTTATCTGCCTTGGTATATAAAATTCAATGTATCTGCTTATCTACCAAGTACCACACTATGATACACTAGTTCATTTGCTTAGCTGTAAATTTGCTTACTTTCCATTGCACATAATTGCGAGCAATCTTAATTGTTTACTCAACCTATCTATCTACCCATCTACCTACCTAAGAAGATCCATACATACATTGCTATTTCCCTAACTACCTGACAACGGGCCTATCTACTGACTCAACTACTTACAAAATTACTTACCTCCCTACTTTTTTTCCTACCAATTAACCTACCTACTTACCTACTTACCTACCTACCTACCTACCTAACCTACCTACTAAACCCCGTTAATTTCACGTCGGCGTAAATTTCTCATCCGTTATTAAATGTCTAGCATTAAAGAAACTTCCGTTTATTCTATCCCACCTTAACTTTTTATGTAACTTTTGAAAATTACTGAAAATAGCCAGACTTTGGAATTATATCTTTAATATACTGTTATATCTTAAAATGAGGATAATAGAAAGCGCCCAAAATGTAAAGACCGGAAAGTGCACTTTTCATAAGTTCTATCGAAAAAAACATCTTTTCCTAGTTTAAAGTAAGGTACAAGATAAACTTAAAATACTTTTTATAACATTTGAACATCCTAAATATCACCTGTTTCCCCCTGACATTCCACATCTTCGTCATCATCTTCACTCTGCTCAATTCCTAGTACTTTTCGAATCATCAAAATACTATCTAGTCATATACCAGGCGGAGAGTAGGGGAATGGTCACCCGAGAGCGAAATTTATTGGACCAACCTTTGAAACGATAAAGCCATGTTTAGATGATCCGGTTGTTTTTTCATTAGTGTTATTCATCAGTTAGTAATTTATAGCGCTGCTTGATACTTCGGACGACAATTCAAAAATTAGTTGCACTAAAAGATATATTAAACTTTTTAGATTTCTTTTTAAGGACACAAATTTAAAGATTACGCAATTTTCTCGTGAAAACGAGGCTTTTGGCCCCCACTTAACATACCATAATTTAATTTCAAGCATTTATGCACAAGAAATATGCTTAATTAACTTCAAGACTTTTACTTATTTCCATTTAAACTGTTTTTTCATTGATTACATTCATATACGCAAAAACGAGACTTCAAACACGAAAAGAGGCTGATGGCCCCCAAAAATCCCCGTATAACATCGATTTTCCAAATCAGCACCCTCGAATTGACCAAAATCACTTGGTCCCATAAATTTCGCTCTCGAGGGACCATTCCCCTATTCTCCTCTTGGCCTATCGAGGGATATTCTATCTCTTTCTCTTTTGCCACTAAAATTACAATTTACCGTGACATGAAGTTTTTTGTAATTTTTTGTTATTTTTGTCTGTACTGAATTTGAATGTATTTCAGTAAAAATTGCTTTGCTGACATTACAAATTCGCGTTGATTAAATACCAGTTGAATATTTGAGTTTTGCTGATTCTTTTTAATTACCACACATTTTGAAATCAAATCTCGCAATTCACGTTAATTTGTTATCGCATTACTTTGTTCCGCGTTATTTGGTGTACAGCATTATTTTCGTGTAGTAAGGTATCTCTCTTTCCTACCAACTTTCAAGCCTATTAAAAGCTTCATGGAAAGAATATTAAAGTAAATCTTTGCATTAACAGTTGCAGAAAGAGTCGTCAGGAAAGGGAAACACTGCATTGATAACAAAGAATTTTTTGTGGAGTTTCCAAAAGCTGCTGCTGAAAATAGAAATGCTGAGGAAACCAATGCTGCTGAGATAAACAATGAAAAGGATGTTGAAATTCACGGTGAACTGGACAAAATCGGACAAGACACACTTTTAATGTACCTAGAAAATAAAAGACGGTCTGGTGGGGGTGAAATTGAAAAGCATGACTTCGATTGCAGTCCAGCAACTGTAACGTTTTGCAGTGCCGAAGGTTAGTGATGGTTCTTATGCTCTAGTTTTAAGATGATCCAACCGTTTCTTTATTGTTTCTATGAATTTAGATATACCATAGCTTTTGGGTGCTTTATTGCAAAAAGGGAAGAATCATTATATTGTATTTTGAGCTTGTCGCTTCTCAATGACAAGCATCAGTCACTGAGAATTGACTATAACGTTTCTTAAGGTATTCAAATAGCCTTTTATCTGCCTTGGTATATAAAATTCAATGTATCTGCTTATCTACCAAGTACCACACTATGATACACTAGTTCACTTGCTTAGCTGTAAATTTGCTTACTTTCCATTGCACAAATATTGCGAGCAATCTTAATTGTTTACTTGCTTACTTTTAAACCCAGTAGTATATTTAACAACCTACTTAAAGGCTTGTTTATATATGCAAATGCAGATCAAATCGCTCACATGCTAACGTTATCTACACTCTGAGATGCTTTCCTACTATCATAAAGTGAACCTTCATTATTATTATTATGAGTAATATGCTGAGCCTTACTTTGGATGCCCTGCGCAACTATCATTTTGTTATGCTTTATTGGCTTTATTGTGTGTTATGTAATTGGAATGAGTTATGTTTTGGATTGCAAGATAGTAACGAGCAAAGTGTCTTCTATATGAATTGGCCTATTGAATTAAGAGAATATAACACCTACGAACCTATCACCTACCCGATTATCTACTCAACCTATCTATCTACCCATCTACCTACCTAAGAAGATCCATACATACATTGCTATTTCCCTAACTACCTGACAACGGGCCTATCTACTGACTCAACTACTTACAAAATTACTTACCTCCCTACTTTTTTTCCTACCAATTAACCTACCTACTTACCTACTTACCTACCTACCTACCTACCTACCTACCTACCTACCTAAACCCCGTTAATTTCACGTCGGCGTAAATTTCTCATCCGTTATTAAATGTCTAGCATTAAAGAAACTTCCGTTTATTCTATCCCACCTTAACTTTTTATGTAACTTTTGAAAATTACTGAAAATAGCCAGATTTTGGAATTATATCTTTAATATACTGTTATATCTTAAAATGAGGATAATAGAAAGCGCCCAAAATGTAAAGACCGGAAAGTGCACTTTTCATAAGTTCTATCGAAAAAAACATCTTTTCCTAGTTTAAAGTAAGGTACAAGATAAACTTAAAATACTTTTTATAACATTTGAACATCCTAAATATCACCTGTTTCCCCCTGACATTCCACATCTTCGTCATCATCTTCACCCTGCTCAATTCCTAGTACTTTTCGAATCATCAAAATACTATCTAGTCATAGACCAGGCGGAGAGTAGGGGAATGGTCACCCGAGAGCGAAATTTATTGGACCAACCTTTGAAACGATTAAGCTATGTTTAGATGATCCGGTTGTTTTTTCATTAGTGTTATTCATCAGTTAGTAATTTATAGCGCTGCTTGATACTTCGGACGACAATTCAAAAATTAGTTGCAATAAAAGATATATTAAGCTTTTTAGATTTCTTTTTAAGGACACAAATTTAAAGATTACGCAATTTTCTCGTGAAAACGAGGCTTTTGGCCCCCACTTAACATACCATAATTTAATTTCAAGCATTTATGCACAAGAAATATGCTTAATTAACTTCAAGACTTTTACTTATTTCCATTTAAACTGTTTTTTCATTGATTACATTCATATACGCAAAAACGAGACTTCAAACACGAAAAGAGGCTGATGGCCCCCAAAAATCCCCGTATAACATCGATTTTCCAAATCAGCACCCTCGAATTGACCAAAATCACTTGGTCCCATAAATTTCGCTCTCGAGGGACCATTCCCCTATTCTCCTCTTGGCCTATCGAGGGATATTCTATCTCTTTCTCTTTTGCCACTAAAATTACAATTTACCGTGACATGAAGTTTTTTGTAATTTTTTGTTATTTTTGTCTGTACTGAATTTGAATGTATTTCAGTAAAATTGCTTTGCTGACATTACAAATTCGCGTTGATTAAATACCAGTTGAATATTTGAGTTTTGCTGATTCTTTTTAATTACCATACATTTTGAAATCAAATCTCGCAATTCACGTTAATTTGTTATCGCATTACTTTGTTCCGCGTTATTTGGTGTACAGCATTATTTTCGTGTAGTAAGGTATCTCTCTTTCCTACCAACTTTCAAGCCTATTAAAAGCTTCATGGAAAGAATATTAAAGTAAATCTTTGCATTAACAGTTGCAGAAAGAGTCGTCAGGAAAGGGAAACACTGCATTGATAACAAAGAATTTTTTGTGGAGTTTCCAAAAGCTGCTGCTGAAACTAGAAATGCAGAGGAAACCAATGCTGCTGAGATAAGCAATGAAAAGGATGTTGAAATTCACGGTGAACTGGACAAAATCGGACAAGACACACTTTTAATGTACCTAGAAAATAAAAGGCGCTCTGGTGGGGGTGAAATTGAAAAGCATGACTTTAATTGCAGTCCAGCAACTGCAACGTTTTGCAGTGCCGAAGGTTTGTTGTACTGTATATTTAAAAGAAATATATAAATCATGGTTGCAGGATTATATTTTTCCATATTAAAATCCTAGGTTTTTCTAAATGAATTTGTAATTTGTTTCCTTTAGCTTGGTATTGTTTCTTTTTTGTATTTTCTGGCTTGAAGTGCCGAAGTGTCTTTTTTTGCAGTGCCGAAGGTTTGTTGTACTGTATATTTTCAAGAAATATATAAATGATGGTTGATGGATTATTTTTTCTAAACAAAGGCATTTAAAATCCTAGGTTTTGCTTAATGAATGTGCAATTTGTTTCCTTTAGCTTGTTATTGTTTCTTTTTTTGTATTTTCTGGCTTGATCTAAACAAGAAGAATTAAAAATTCGTTTTTGCCACGTTTTGTTTCCATAAATATTTCTCTTTTATTAAATAAATGAGTAATTTTCTACGTGAGAATTTCTGTTCTGGACAAAAAGCTCAAGTTGTATTACCTAGTGACGTTTTCAAAAATTGCTTACCTTTCTACTTACCTGTCGCATTCATGCAATATTGCTAGCACTTCAACCTGCCGACTTCGAATTCCATTTGCAAACTTGTTTAATTTCATCACTACTGATTTATATACTGACCTATTTAAAAACGCTCTAACTTCTGAAGCTTGTTCGAAGTCTTTAGTCTTTAGTTAGCTACTTTATTCATATAGCCATGTATAAAATTATATATATACTATACTGTTTCTTCAAATAGTCTTTAATGGTAACTTGAAAAGGCAAATTCTCAAATTTAAATGATTTTTCTATTGACAGATGCAGAGAGGGTCGTCAGAAAAGGGAAACACTGCATTGATAACAAAGAATTTTTTGTGGAGTTTCCAAAAGCTGCTGCTGAAAATAGAAATGCTGAGGAAACCAATGCTGCTGAGATAAGCAATGAAAAGGATGTTGAAATTCACGGTGAACTGGACAAAATCGGACAAGACACACTTTTAATGTACCTAGAAAGCAAAAGGCGCTCTGGTGGGGGTGAAATTGAAAGGCATAACTTTAATTGCAGTCCAGCAACTGCAACGTTTTGCAGTGCCGAAGGTTTGTTGTACTGTATATTTAAAAGAAATATATAAATCATGGTTGCAGGATTATATTTTTCCATACAAGAGCATTCAAAATCCTAGGTTTTGCTTAATGAATGTGTAATTTGTTACCTTTAGCTTGTTATTGTTTGTTCCTTTTCGTATTTTCTGGCTTGGCCTAAACAAGAAGAATTAAAAATTCGTTTTTGCCACGTTTTGTTTCCATAAATATTTCTCTTTTATTTAATAAATGAGTAATTTTCTACGTGAGAATTTCTGTTCTGAACAAAAAGCTCAAGTTGTATTACCTAGTGACGTTTTCAAAAATTGCTTACCTTTCTACTTACCTGTCGCATTCATGCATTATTGCTAGCACTTCAACCTGCCAACTTCGAATTCCATTTGCAAACTTGTTTAATTTCATCACTACTGATTTATATACTGTCCTATTTAAAAACGCTCTAACTTCTAAAGCTTGTTCGAAGTCTTTAGTCTTTAGTTAGCTACTTTATTAATATAGCCATGTATAAAATTATATATATACTATACTGTTTCTTCAAATAGTCTTTAATGGTAACTTGAAAAGGCAAATTCTCAAATTTAAATGATTTTTCTATTGACAGATGCAGAAAGAGTCGTCAGAAAAGGGAAACACTGCATTGATAACAAAGAATTTTTTGTGGAGTTTCCAAAAGCTGCTGCTGAAACTAGAAATGCTGAGGAAACCAATGCTGCTGAGATAAACAATGAAAAGGATGTTGAAATTCACGGTGAACTGGACAAAATCGGACAAGACGCACTGTTAATGTACCTAGAAAGCAAAAGGCGCTCTGGTGGGGGTGAAATTGAAAAGCATAACTTTAATTGCAGTCCAGCAACTGCAACGTTTTGCAGTGCCGAAGGTTTGTTGTACTGTATATTTAAAAGAAATATTGAAATGATGGTTGCTGGATTATTTTTTCGAAACAAAGGCATTTAAAATCCTAGGTTTTGCTAAATGAATGTGTAATTTGTTACCTTTAGCTTGTTATTGTTTGTTCCTTTTCGTATTTTCTGGCTTGGCCTAAACTAAAAGAATCAAAAGTTCGTTTTTGCCATGTTGTGTTTCCATAGCTATTTTCGTTTTATTGAAAGAGTAAATTTCTACCTGAGAATTTATGTTGAGAAGAAATAGAATCGAGTTGAATCACCTAGTGAAGTTTTCTAAAATTGATCACACTGTAACTCTTAGTTGTACATATTTACCAATGTACCTTCTTTCGTTGTAATGTTTCTATCAATAACAATATATTAACAATATGCTCCTGTTCTTTTGCCGTATTTCCAAGCAGTTCTTTCCATTCCCTCATAAATTTTGACAAATTACTCTGCCCGAATTTTCAATGAATAATTCTATTTAAACGAACAATTGCATTTTTCTATTTCAGCTGCAAAGCGTGTAGTTTCAAAACCTGAGCATATAGTGGATAACAATGTTTTCAAAGTAGTGCGGCATGCACCGAAGTCACCAGCTCAGTTTTTGCCAAACACCATTTTGATATCAAACTTACACAAGGAAACCCATTTTGATTCTTTGAAACTTTACATTGACAAGTTATGTGGAGCTGAACCAGCTGATGTCCTGTACTCCCATGACAAAACGGCAGCCATGGCTACTCTACCTGAGGAAATCGGCAAGAATTACTATTAAATTGCTAGAATTTTAATTTCGCTTGATTTAAATTAAGGGCCAAATATTTCGGTGGGATTTATTTTTGGTGAAGCAGGGCAACCAAAAAATAATCCCACCGATTCTTCTTACCGAAATTTTCAATTGCTAGAAAAATCTCGTTTTACGCCGATGGACTTTCAAAATTACAAAAAAGTATTCCTTGAGCTTTGCATATTACTATAAATCCAGAACATATCAGTTTTCAACTTTGGTTTTCCTGCGTCATCAACAAATAAGGCATACAGCTTATCTTCACTTTCTTCTCTTTCGCCCTCTACATCGAACAAATTTCTTAATGGGCTGATCTGATCCTTCTACTTGCTCCAGCTGTTTCGATTTGGACACCTCGATTTTATAATCTAAACTCACAATCGATCAGATTTTCTAATCCCCTCGTTCCGATTGTCGATCTAAAATATCGCAAATTGTAGTGGCTTCAAATTAATTTTTCCTCCATGGTTTACAAATAATGAAATAAACAGAACTCCACTAATTAAGAATTTGTGACATCATTGACTACTCTACAGTTCAATTTATTGGGCTGACAATAAAATATTTGATTTTTTTAACTTTTTGACTGCGTTCCAGAAAATTTTGTGTTAAAGATAACTTATAGGAAGTGTTTCATTTCTATACTCACCGAAGTTTTTTCTTTCCTCCAAAATTTTTTCATATTCTCACTGAAAGTTACACCGAAGGTTCAAAAATATGGCCGAACTTTTGTCCACCGATAATTTATTCACCGAAATTTGTTGGCACCGGATTTGTTGGTACTTAATGTATGCTTGACAACATAACATTATGAAATGAATTAATATAGGCATGAGAATCATATGAGATTATTATTATTTAGGTCATGATTGTTTTTTTGAACTTTTCACTTTACAAATTTTGATACTTTTCACATTGCATACCTCTCCCTCCTAACTTTTCAATATCATAATCTGCTCGAATTACGATAAAAATACCCCCTGTTTGGAAAATAAGTGTTCTCTTTCCCACTACCGTTGCAATTATCAGTAAGGCCACCGACTCTTGTGGTTAGGGAAGCGATCTTCTATGCATAATGATGTCATTAGTGACATAGTGGCACTGCAAAGAAAGTAGGAAGTATCTTTGGGACAAAGTGTTGTTGTTATATTTTCATCGCACTCTGTTTTTTAAGTTCAACGTGCCTTGTCTAAAGCATATTCAATGTTTTCGTGCCTTCACGAAAGGGTTATCAACAAGTCACATTTAGTGGCATCACGTGAAAGATAGGGGGCTGGAATCGCGTGATTTTAATTTTTGAGCGGCCGGTCTTGAATCCCTGGAAGTTCCTTTAACCCTATCCAGACTAGGCTTTTTGAAACTTACGGGAGACTAGGCACGTTGAACACAAAGTGCCCCCCTCCCCTCTGTAATTTCTTTTTCCCTATAGCTAGGACAATGAACTTTGTTTGGATGGTACTCTTATCTATTCTCCACATTATAGTACTATTATTCAATTTTTAAGTCACGTGGTTTAACGAAGACGTCATCATAATGGTGGCCGGGTGGAGCAAAAATTAAGAAAAGTTTAGAAAATCTTAAAATATTCGTAAATTCCAAAGCATCTGGCTAAGATTTTAAAATACACAAATGTAATGCATTTTCTAATAGAAACAAGAAGAATGACACAATTTTAATGTTATTTCTCAAAATTATTAACGTTCCAACACAAGCACTCAACATATTTTTTATTTGGCTATAGTTCTATATAACTAAATGATCGATACAACCAAATGTCATGTTTAAGTTGATTTTTAATGCCTTAGAAGACAAATTAATCTAAACTGCCTTGGCTCATACCATCAACTTGCAGTTTTATTAATGTGATACCTATAAATATGTCAGCAAATGTGTGCGCATGCGCAGCAGAAAAATCATAGAAAACGATGTTGAATTTACATTTTCTGGTCAGAGTCATGAAAAGAGCACAAATTAATGCCCAGATACAAATTTTCATCAATATATCTACTTTTGTTGCGAATCCGTGGCAGATTAAACTTTTTTTTACTTGACTAGTTTTGAAAACGCTCCTACACAACCCCCTGATTAACAAAAAAAATTATCTTTTTATATGAACATGTGTCAGACAGGTTTAAACTAAAAGTCAGGAGGTCTGAGGGGTATTGCTTTGAAACTCCTGAAATTATGAAAGAAAAACCAACTAGGGGGGCACAAAGTGTCTGATCTGGATAGGGTTAAAGCTTACAACCCCCTGACTCCCGTTGTGTTGTTTTGCTGCTAGCTGTTGCCCCCTCATCCCCCTGAACAGTTTAATTCTTTAAAAAATTTTGGTCACTCCACTCTCATATACTATATAAGTTGTCTAACATTAATTTACAAGAAAGTTAAGCACTACATATTAACAGTTAAAATCGAAATGCAGCTTGAACATTTTCAACTTCTTTTTATAGACTGGGCAAAAGTTTCGGAAATACATAAAAAGCGACCCGCACTTAATGATAACATGTTGAAGGTCGAACGTGTCCAAGAACCTGACAGTATCTTCGTAAGCAACATCCCGGAGAACATAACTAAAGAACATCTTTTGCTCAAGCTGGAGAAAGTTGCTGACGTGGAATGTGATTTTGAAATGAACTATAAAGATGGACAAGGATTCGCAATAGTTGAATGCAATGATTTAGAAGGTGATATTTTTGGCACAGTAAACTCCGTTTTGGCTTATCTTTATTCTTGTAAATGCCTACTGCTGCTTTAAAAACTGACACAAAAGGTGCTACGATGCATGCGATTTTTTCTGGGATCTCCGAACTGCTCGTTATTTTGTTTCTTTTTTATATTTCGTTTCCATTCCCAAATGCTACCACTTATGCAACTTTTCCTCCAAGAGCAATGTTGGTAGCTAAGGTAGTTACCATAACATTCAGATAGAAAAATACATACTTCCTTAACATTTATATCAATTTGCAATTGCCTTGTCTGGTTTAGGAGCGCGTTACTACATTGCCAGAAGTTATTGCTATGCCTTAAAGGCTCTTGCGCAACCACCATTATTTGCGTCTTCATTTTCAAAACCGGCCTAATTTCTTACTGCATGAAAATACCGAATGCAGTCAATTTCTCTTCTCGTAAACACACAGATACCGCAAATCATGCCGGTGGCACAAGAGCCTTTAAATACAAAAGGGGTAGATTTTGAAACATTATTGAACAAACAATCTCATTATTGAGATGTCTGTAAATCGTGTTTCTTTTTACACTTGCGTTATGTTTAATCCACAATACAACTGCAAGATTATATTTTTCTGCAGCCATCTCAACACTCAAAAAGAAGAAAGTGGAGCTTGGCGGACAGCATCTGGCTATAGAGTTATATTTTCCAAAAGTTATACCAGGTGAATTGCTCTTTTGTGCACAATTCTGCTATTAAAGTTACCAAAATAACGATCCTTTTTGCTTTAATATGCCTTAGCACTTAATTCTTAGTGTGTTAGTTATTATTTTGTTAAAATTCTGGATGAATCTTTAAGAAACCTATCTGGTATGCAAAGAAGAAGAGGACCCTGTATGAAAGAAAAAGAACAATACAACGTTTATTGAATTTTGTTTTTCCTTGTGTATTATTTTGCAGAAGCAATGATAACAAAGTTTTCAAAGAATGTTAAAAATGAAAGGGCCGTCATTGCAAAGCCTTTTTGGTTGTGTTATTTTGGTTTTTTTACAAACACGACGAAAGAGAAAGAGTATATGATGCGTCCTAAGTTTATTTGTAGAATTTTAAAATCATTTATACTCAATATTTTGAATTGACAGATCATGTTTGGAGTTTGATTCACAAACAGCCAGCAGAAGTTCTAGTTGAAGCAGATCCCTTGCTTATCAAGCATATTATGCGAAATCACAAAAAGGAGATTTCTACAGCACTGAAATCTGAGGTTTACAAAAAAACAGAACTTTCTGCTAATGGCCAGCAAACGTTGGTCTATTTTGCTTTCGAAAAACAAACAGCAGAATCTGAGCTTTTTGTCATTGATTTCTGTAAACAGTTTTCGATAGAAAAGTGTCCAAGTGAATTTGGTCAAGACATTAAAGCTGAGATAAATTCAAAAAACTATGATGTTGCTGTTGAAGTAGATCAATCTGGTCAAAGTGTGCTTGTAGGTAAAAAGGTACACGTGCAAAATCTGATTAGTTTTATTGAGAAGATGTCAAATGACGTCGTCGAAACGGAACAGATAATAGAGCTGCCAAATCAGAAAATTGATGTATTGATGCTGCATGGCTTCTTGCAAAAGCTTGCTGAGACAATGATGCTTAAAATGGAACGAGGGAATAACCAAATACGGGTAAAGGGTAAAGAATCCAAGTTGATGTCATTCGAAACAAAAGTTGCAATTAAGATTGGAAACATTAATGACCGCTTCGAGAGTGTCAGTTCTAGTATATTTAAATTTCTTGAGGATGATAAAGTTCATAAGAGTGTGGTGAATCTCATGAAAAAGCGTGACATCCGTTTGATATTCAGTTCTGACACAGTACAAACAGGGGTGAGGTTTTATGCGTTGGAAGAAAGGGATCTAAAGAATGGAATCGAAATCTTCAAGCAGCATGTTACAGATCATCCAATGGACTTGAAGAGCACCGATGTTTCACTACTAAAAAGCAAAGATGGTGTAGATCAGCTTGACATGATCCTTAGTAAACATCTCGTCCATATCGAGTTGCGGGAAGACAAGATAGTTTTCACTGGTGTTGACGAAATTTGTTTGAAAGCGACGAATGAGTTGAAAGCATTCCTTAACAAACATGCTTACAGAAAGCAAACCCTTTCGCTTACTAAAGGCAGAGCAAGAGCATTGTTTTCAATTTATGAAGAAGAGCGCCGTCAGTTGGAGACTGCTTTCAGTGGCAGAGAAGTTACGATAAGCCTTTCCAGGGATGAATGTTGCATTGAAATAGCAGGCCGTGGAGATTCTGCAACTGATGTTGTTAGGAAGTTGACTGATCTAAGCAATGAAATCAAACAAACTGAATTCATCATGCAAAGGCCTGGACTTCTAAAAGTTATAGAAGCGAAAGCATTCAAAAGGGCGCTCACAGCAATAGAAAATTTGGACAAAGTTGTGATAGTAAACGCAGATGAAGACAAGGCTGGAAGTGTGCAAGATGAGGAAATAGAGAAAGAGTATGCAGTTATTTCGTCAAATTTAGTATGCCAGTTAAAGCTTGTTGATGGAAAGGCTCTTTGTGTGTACGAAGGTGATATTACAGATCACGAATGTGATGCTATTGTAAACCCAGCGAATGAAAAGCTTTGGCTTGGTTCTGGTGTTGCTGGTGCAATACTTTCTCAAGGAGGCCAAACAATACAAGATGAATGTGATAAACTGGTTCAAGAATACGGCCAATTAAACGAGGGTGAGGTAGCAACTACAAGTGCTGGCAGACTTAAAAATACAAAGAAAGTGATCCACGCCTTTGGACCTCGTTGGCCGGTAAGCGGACGCTCTGTTGGCGAAAAAGAATTGGAATATCGAAAAAAGGCTTGCAAGGAAATTCTTTTTGACACAATGAAAAACGTACTTGAAGAAGCTGATCCACGCCTTTGGACCTCGTTGGCCGGTAAGCGGACGCTCTGTTGGCGAAAAAGAATTGGAATATCGAAAAAAGGCTTGCAAGGAAATTCTTTTTGACACAATGAAAAACGTACTTGAAGAAGCTGATAAACAAGACTGCCTATCTGTTGCTGTGCCAGCTATTAGCAGTGGGATATATGGTTTTCCCAAGTGGGAAAACCATATATCCCACTGCTAATAACCAAGTGTAGCAGTGGGATATATGGTTTTCCCAAGGACCTCTGTGCCGAGCTCCTAACAAAAGCAGCTAGCACCATGTTGATACACCCTCTCTTTAAAACATTGAGGGAAGTTCATTTCATTAACAATGATGCAGTAACGGTTACTAGTTTCCACAAAACTTTTTCGACTTTATTCAGATCCAAACCAGAATTTGAAGATTTCGGTCAACCAAAAGTTTCTCGCAGCCATGTACGTGGAAATTTAAATCGGAAATTTGTGGATGAGTCCAACTTCCCAGGAAAAAGTTCATCAGAAGGCGGCAAATATATTTTGCTTAATAAGGACCGAAAAAGAGCTTTATCTGGCCTGCGAATCGAGATTGAGGTTGGGGACCTGGCAAAAGTGAAGGTGAGTGGTGTTAACAACCGATGAAAATTGGTATTGACAAAAAACGGTCAGGCCTCCCTCATTCCTATTTTCTCTTAAAATCGATTTTGGAACTCAGATAAGGAAACTGACCCCAAAACGTGTGAGTATTAGGCTAAGTATAAATTACGTTGATTCCAAAGCCTTTAGGCCAAAAACTTTTAATTTGCCTTGACACTGTCAACTAGCCCGCTGAATATTATCTCTGAATTACTTGTTTTCCGTGAAATTTTTTAAACAAGCTCCATAAGGCACTAAAGGCTCAAGATGTCTTAACAGTAGATTCCGAATATACAGAAGAACTCTGCAGGGTAAGAGAAGCTTAAGCATGGTTGGACTACTATCACTGCTGTTCTAATAATAGTAAGGTTAGCCCCCGAAAAACCTGAAATCTTTTTACTTAGCCTCGATCACAAAATGATAAGATTCGCCTCGGCACGAGCCATGTGGTAGAAAGAACTTGAAACAAATTTTGGTAAAATATTTTCAACTCACATTCCACTCAAATTAAAACTCACATTCCTGTGACAATCGTCTAAAAGGACCTAGCCTTTATCCCTTTTTATTCCAGCCCGACACCCTGATTTTACTATTATTAGATTCATTCGAACCATAGGCATTGAATGCGCTCGGCTTGGGAGGTAAAGCCCCCAATTCTTTAAAGGCTTTCTTCATTGCTGTTGCAGACCCACAGTTTCATGAAATAAAAATTTTCAAATAATTGCTCCTTAAAAGAAGTTGCAAATCAGTAAAGGGATTTTTTGCAATCGAGATTCTCTATCAAAATGATTCTTCTGCTGCATCCAGTTCAACCTGTATCATTAACACTTTTTAAATAAAATGAAACCCGTTTACTGAATATATTTTATATTCGAGTCTGGATGTCTTGATCAATTAATCAGTATGATTAAAAGGCCTTTAAGCTTTGTTCTAAAAGGCAGCCGAGAACATCTTCAGAACCACAAGCATCTTTGTTGTAAATTTTGGTTCTATTTAGGCCGATGTCATTGTAAATTCCACTTCGTCAGACCTTGTTTTGTCCAAGAATCCTAGTGCAAACAGTCTTAGTAAAGCCGCCGGACCAACCCTGCAACAGGCCTGCACCAGCCATGTTGCGGGAAATGGAAATGTGCCCGAATACCAGTTTGCTGTGACGAAAGGTGGGAATCTCAAGTGCCAATGGGTTTTCCACGCCGTTTGTGCACCTTACCAAGGGGTTGCTTCCGAGCAGGTTTGTGTTTTGTGTCTTATGAAACCGTAATAAAATGAACTTTCCGAACTGCGGGGCGAATTGGAAAGTACTTTCCAATCAGTTACTCTTCTTTCTCGTGCTATTTCGCAACCACAGTAACACCTAGTTTACACCTCAGTCAAATTAAATTTTTTAGGTGAAGTAGTGATAGTGCACCGGGACCCAGCTCCTAAAATGCCCCCAGAAAGTCATAAAAAAATATTTTGGCTGGTTTTCTGCTTAAAACTAAACTAGATTCCCGAAGGAATTGAGATGGGTGAATTGTGCCAACTGCCCTGGCGAAGGAGCTCTAGATCTTTTCATCAGTTGCCTGATAAGCGCATTAAGTGTGAGTCCTGTTCTGTAATAACCGTAAAATCTCGAATTGCCCCCCCCCCAAATAAGCCCCCACTTTAGAACTATAAATTGTCAATAAGCCCCCCTCCTCGAATAAGCCCCCACTGCTACCGTAAGTCCTCGAATTGGACCAAAAATATCAAAAATAAGTAAGCCCCCATGGGGGCTTATTCTAGGATTTACGGTATTGTACCCTAAGTACCAGAGCCCCAAATTTTCTGACGCGGAAAGGGAAAGTCAAGCTATCCTCTGGTTCCCTGCGCCTATCATCTATTTCCGCGCTCGTATTTATGTGGCTCTGGTACCCAGGGTACGTATCTATAAGCACTTGCAATGTGTCCAAGTCAGATTCAAAAGGTGTAGACGCGAAAAATTCACATAGTCGTTGACCAAAATACTCGAGCGTTTCGCAGAGTCAGTATATTGGAATTAGTTTTCAGTTAGACCCAATGACTAATACAAATATTCTTAAACCTAACATGCTATATTCTAAAACCGGGAGCACTTTACCTCAGACACAGAAATTAAACTCAGATCTCATTTTGACAACCCGTTTCTTCGTGGGAGCCTAAAATGTTAAACGACGTGCGTAAGCTTTTCCAGTCCATCTAGGTATAAATCAGCTTCCACTGACACAGAAACAATATCTCAATTCGTGATCGGCAATATGTATATCAGCCATTGGTTTAGAATTTGTCTCTATCGTTCTACTCTGTTGTAATTGTCCGTTATTTCTTTTTTCTCTATTTAGGCTTTAGAGAAGTTCGTCGCTTTCCTTCTTGACGAAGCAGTAAAGAAAAATGCAGAAACCTTGGCGATGCCAGCTCTGGGAACGGGAAAATTGGGCTTTCCCCGGGACAAAGTAGCTCGGATAATGATACAATCTGCTCAAGAATTTGGTTCAAAGATGAGGCAAAATTGCCCTTTAAAGAAAATCTTGTTAGTAGCCTTTCATAGCGACACAGGGACAATCCAAGCACTGGAACAAGCAATGGGGGATCCCTACTTGGCGACCCCAACCAGTTCAACGACAGCTGCTAAACGTGAAAGTGTTTCAACCATAGAGGAGAGCGTTAAGAAGGCTGCTATTGTCCAAGAGTATGTAAATGTTCTTGATGTAGAAGGTTCGGCTATCAAGCTTGGAAAAACTATCATTGAGATAGATCATGGGGATATCACCGAAGAAAAAGCGGATGCAATTGTTGTCATTGGAAACGAGACCCTTGATTTCATGGGAGCCGTTGGGAATGCTATTATCCAAAAGGAAGGGCGCAAATTTATATCAAAAGCAAAAAAATACTCACCACAGGGTGCCGGAACAACCTGCCTTATAAAAACAAATAATATGCCTTCGAAATATGTTGCACATATCTACCCAAAGTCAGACAAATTGGATGATTTGAGAGAAGGTACAAAGGGACTGCTACTAGAATGTGATCGAGAGAATGTAAAAACAATATCATTACCTGCGATCGGAACAGGGATTTTGGGAAAAAAGCCGAAAGAATCTGCCAATCTTATTTTAAGTGCCTTTGTGGAGCTTTGTATGGCGGATAAGGTGAAAAATATTGCAAACTTACGAATCATAATTTTTGAGAGGGATATGGTGGATGTATTCAAAGAACAAATGTTTAATATGGTCGCCAATCCTGAGAAATATTTACATGGTGAAAACAAAGGCCTTGTAGACTGGATCAAAGAAAAATATTCCATTGTAAAGGAATTGTTTTGGAGCCCAAATAACAAAGTTAAAGGTGCAGCTAGAGAGCAGTACCATCGGGTGACTGACAAAAAAAACCCTTTGAAGATGGTGACATGGCATATTTATGGCAGAGATACCAAAGTCCTAAAAAAGACTGAAAAGGAGGTAAGAAAGCTTGTGGAAGAAAACATCACAACCCATACAGTTAAAAATGATTTATTTGCAAAGCTTTCGGAAGACAGAATTGAAAAGATCAAGGCCTATACTGCTAGGAATGATGTACTCTTGGAACTTGAAAAGGACAGTGGCAGCATGAAGCTGACTGGGTTCTATCCGGACGTTGCGAATGTTTTCGGGCAATGCCACACGATGGCTTTTGAAAACGAAAAAGCACAACAAGAGAAGAACATGGAACAGAGCATCGCCAATTATGTTCAATGGAAAGAGAGAGGTGATGATGGAACGGTTATTAATTACGACCCAAAGCTAAACAGCATTGTCGAAAAAGCATTCAAAAGTAAGGAAAAGGAAATGAAGATTGACATGGAAGATAATGGAACCGTTAGCGAGTTCTCTCTTGATTTTGTAAGCATGAAAGTTCGCAACGTGAAAAGCGGTCAAGAAATGGAAATTATCAGAGAGGAACTTGGAGACATAAAAAGTAAGTGAAGGGAAATAATTGAAAATCTTGTGATCTAAACGGCTAGATTCATCCCACTCAGTTGTTGATCTGATTTAATAAAACGGAGGTGCTGGCTATTTCTGGCAGTTTTACTTAAAATTGTTTGCTTGAATGAAAGATCCAGCGTACTGCGCTGTTCTCATCATAATCCTGTGTTAATTGTAAGATTGGTATCGCTGCCAATGTTTTATTTTTATTTTCATCGATATTGTCATTGATATTTTCTTGTTCCATCAACAGTTAAATTGCCAGATAATTGGAAACCTATGACAAAGAAAAGTGACGGGACCGAAATGCCAGTGACCACTGAAAAGTTGTTACCCAGTTCCAAAGAGTATACCGACATTCTTAGCTTATTTAACGCCACTTGTCCCTCCAATCCTGTTGTTGAAATTCAAAGAATACAGAACCCACATCTGTTCAAATCATTCATGGCTAGGAAGGAAAGTATGGAGAAGACTGCTGGGGGAAATACTGCAAACGAAAAGAAACTATTTCATGGAACAAGAGGAGATGCCGTTGGAGAAATCAACGAGACTGGTTTTAATAGAAGTTTTGCCGGCATAAACGGTAAGGGTCAGATAAGTCTTTTGTACTGCAAAATTTAAAGATAGCATGGAAAGGCGGAAACACAGCAACGTAATTTCTTTTCGTTTGATGCTCCTCAGAGAATAAACGTTGGATAATGCAGTGTCGTCGGAATGAAATTGATATTGGGGGGGGGGGGGCTGGCCTGCCGCGCTTCCTTTTTTCTTCAACCTTTCCCATGATGATGCTTTTTGTGAGTCCGCCAGCTCTGATGTGGTGTCCAAAGAATTCAAGTTCCCTTTCTTCAATTGTTGTTAGCAGAGTCTTTCCATGTTGTTATTGTTCGTCCGTTTCTTTATTTCTTCCAAAACAAATTCGTTAGTTTTTTGTCTTTCCATGAGATGTTGAGCAGCCTTCTGTGTGTTTTGGTTTCAAATGCAGCAATCTTTTTTCCGCTGTTGTCTGCTCGTTGTCTGACATTGTCCATGATTCACATCCGTATAAAAAAATTAATGTGACTAGTGTCTGCATGAAATAGATTTTGCTTTTTACTTAGATGTCTTTCGCCTTACAGATCTTATCCAGTTTAACTAGTGCGCTTGTTGCTTTTCCAATTCTTTCTTTGATTTCTTGGTCATATATATGTGACACCTTTAGTTATTTTTGAGTCAAGATAACTAAATTGTTGGACATGTTCTAGCCTGCTGTTGCCAACTCTGCTGTCTATGGGTAAATTGTCTTCTCCTATTACCATTATTTTACTTTTTTCTGTGCCAATCTCAATTCCGTATCTTTTTTTCCGTATCTCCATTCCGCCACTTCATCTAGCCTTGCTGTCAGGTTTCTCAATTCTTCTTTGCTGTCTGCTAAAATGTCTATATCATCAGCAAATCGCAGGTCGTTGATGGTCAAACCTCAGCATTTGACCCCACCGTTGAAACCGTCTAGTGCATCTGTCTTTATCCTTTCCAGAAATAAATTAAATAGAATTGGGGAAAGGATGCATCCCTGCCTGACGCCATCTGTCGCCTCAAACCATTCGCTGTAACCATTGTCGCTAATGATCTTTGTTCTTGCATTCTTGTAAAGTTGTTGGATTAATCCTGTCATTCGCTTTCCAATCATATGCTTCATTATGGTGTCAAAGAGTCCGTTATGCCAAACCCTATCAAACGCACCAGGACTTTTGTTGTTTTTGAGGTGTTTTATTGCGGCTTCAATTTCATCTCCTATGATTGGTAGTTCGACATTCTCGTTCATGATGTTATCAATAACTTGAGTTATAATGCTGTCATCTTTTCCTATTTGGTAATTGTACAATGCCGCGCAATATTCGTGCCATCTTTCCCTCATGTCTTGATTGTTGGTTAGAAGTTGCCCGTTTCTGTCTTCCATAACACTGCTTTTAGGTGTTGTGTCTGCAGTTAGCTTCTTTTACTGTTTGGAACGCTTTTCTAGTGTTATTATCCTTCATGCTGATTTCCATGTCTTTAGCTTGTTGTTCTATCCATATGTTCTTAACGCTGATTATTTAAGTTTTCTCTTTTCTGTTTGCAATTCTGTATTCTGTCTTTTCGTGTTCTCCTCGAAATCTTGAAATCTACCAAATCTCAAAATAAAGTCAAGGAGTTTCAAGTTGTAAAAAATCAGACTGAAACAACACAAAGCTAAAAAGGTGACGTTTGGCAAGCAGCCCCCTCCCCCGTATCGAACTGTTGTTAGAGTTTCTATATTTTGACCAACTGATAGTAACTTTGTAATAATTGTTTCGTCGACAGGCGTTGTTTATGGAAATGGTGTTTACTTCGCTCGTGATGCTAGTTACTCAGTCCGCTATGCTGCACCAGATGCCATGAGCAGGCGACACATGTTCTTGGCTAGAGTGCTCACAGGGAAATATTGTGTAGGACAAAATGGGATGAAAGTACCACCAAAAGGGTTCGACTCAGTTGTTGATAATGCTGCTAACCCATCAATCCATGTCGTATTTTATGATAATCAGTGTTATCCAGAATACCTTATAATCTTTTAGATAAATCTGTTTGACTCAGAATTTCGTACTTTCTAGAAAAAGTAAGTCTACTTACACTCTTTTTTTATAAGAATATTATTTGTCCAGCCTCGATATCATTAGCTTGGGTATATTCTTGAAGTATTCTTATCTTTTAAAATTATATGGTTTCAGGAGATAGTTCCCGCCCTCAAGTAGAAACCCCTTTTTTTGAAAATCGAGATATATCAGTAAGTCGATTCTCTGTTATAGCCGGTTTCCACTTGATTCGCTCTGGTCGCGCGACTTGGCGAAAGCGAATCAACCAATCAGCGAATCGGTGAACGCGACCGGTCTCTCAGCGAATGAGGAAGTTCTGTTTGCGCATGCTCCAATGTCCATTCGCTCAGTCGCGTGACCAGAGCGTATCAAATGGGAACCGGCCTTCATGAACATCGCGATACAGGCAGATGCTGAAAAACCAGCACAAATGTGCCAGCTGAGACTGAGCAATATGCTTATAATATTCTTAAAATAGGATGATACCAGTGGTGTAGGGCTATAAAAACAAGGGGGGCTATTGACAAAATGTTGCTAAAACAATAGCCAAAGTAGAAATTGGCTAATTTTCGGCATCAACAAGGGAAGATTAGCCCCCTTAACCCCCCAGCATTATTCCCCTGGGTGATACAGAGCCTGGATATTATTTCAGCAATATTCGTATAAAAGAAGAGTATAGTTATAGACAGATACAGATATGTGTAGCTCCAAATATACTGAGCACCTGTTATTTTTAGGAGGCTGTAGCAAAAATCATTGTAGTAAAGAGTTTGTACCAAATGTGTCTTAATCGTGTATTTTACAGTTCTAGAGTAAAAAATTAGTCTAGATTTGCCAGGAACAGTCATTTGTGAGCCCGCCAGTCGATATGTTTGTCCGTATTGAAGTCCAGTCATTTATAGACTCACCTTCTTGTATCTTTGAATTTGGGCCCCATATGCATAAGTTCATTCATGTATTAATCCACCCACGTGTAAGACCATGTCTGACTGTGTCAGTTTTTTTAACAACAAGAGCTGCTGTGGCAGGGATAGCGAAGAGAGCTGCGCTGGAATAAAGACAAAACTTTGTGCAATAAATATGTTTTTAGCAGGAACATAATGTTACTGAGGTAGAGGAATAGAGTTTATACTGCGGGCACTCCCTAAAATCGCGCATGTTGAATTGACTTTCATGAGTTTCACTAATAAAATTGTTTAAGGCGCATGTTGGTATGTTGTTTGACAATAATTTTAATAACTCCAAATACTTACTCATTTTGACTTAATAATTTGTAGTAGAAACTTGAGTTCTTATCAGTTGCATACTGTCCTTTTTCTGTTGGTTCACTTGTATTTTCTGATGGCATGAGTTTGTGCCGCTATGTACATTTTCGTGCGAGAATTTCCCTAATTTTGTCGACCACAGAAAGTTAGTACAAGAACAGTCATTTCTGCGCTGAATATTTTCTTCAACAAATAATAAAAAGGTTGGACAAACTTGAAAATCTATTTATGATGGGTTCCACATAAAACCTTCTTGGAACATAAACCTACATAAAAGCCCTCCAGCTTGGCCTTGGCTTGTCTATGCAACCAGTACAAGACTGATAAGAAATATAGACTTTGAAACCGAACTAACTAATTTTTGAACCTCTATTAGTCCAATTGCACATTTAGTGACATGATGATAGCATAGACACAAAAAATGAAATTCTGGGTTTTGTTTTTAACTGTAGCTGGGAACAAGGCCAAAAGACAAAAAGGGAAAGAAATAAAATTAATTTGCGTAAAAGTACGACGTCAATAGACCACTTTCACGCGGCAGCCATTAGGTACGAAAACGAGGCTAAAGCCGCAAGATTCTCTGTTTTACTGATGGCGGAAATAGAACTGAACCGGTCGGTCGCAAAGGCCTTGGACAAAACTATTAAGCGATGTTCCAGATGTGACTTTTGGCTGGGTAGAAGCTTTCTGCCGAAGTGATGCTAAGTTGCCAAAAAGTCACGAAAGGAAGGGCTGGAATTTCTACATTGGGGGTTTCATTGATTGGGAGCATCTTGAGTTTATGAGGAAGGATGGCAGCGAATGCATAATTCGAGGTACTTGTTACCGGTCAATGAAAAAGAACGAGAGTCCACATCAACTAAAGGTAAGATAATTATCAAAACTAGCATATTATTTTGTAAAAGGCTGCTGGATTGAAGTGTCAAATGTGTTTTGCTGTTCACAATTATAACAGATAATATAGCCTAATAGGCGAAACAAATGCAATCAAATGCGTATTAACTAGCTAATTAGCTAGACTTAATTTTCCCTTGTAGGTTGTGCTTTCAAGTTGTTCAGCAACTACCCAACTAGTTTCCAGACAGTGTTCTTGTGTTGCTGACAAGGGGATTTGTAACCACATTGTTGCATTGCTGTATACACTTGCTCATTTCAAGTCTGCTGGTTACAAAATTGTACCACCAGTTGTTACATGTACTTCAGTCTCACAGCAATGGCATGTTCCATCCAGAACTAATGGTATATTTCCTCAACCAGTAAAGTCCTTAATGGTGCAGAGCCCACTTGACAAAAATGCAAAGTTGTCAGCCAGGAAAAGAAATCTATCGGAAATTGCAATTTCAGGGAAAAAAAGAAAACCAAAGATATATAATCCCATTAGACAAGGATTATGTGAAACAGCTTCAAGTTCTTCTGCTGACTTAAGAGCAAATCTTTACAAATTTGAGAATCAGCTGCAAATTTTTAAGGTACTACCAGTTAGCTTTTCAAATCATGTTAAAATTGATTCAGCTTATAGATCAGTTTACAAAGGATCTACGCTGGCAAATCAGAATCAAGTAGTGAATTCTGTAAACTTGATTCCAAACAAAGAAGTGCTTCAGTGCCCACCATTTCAACTGCCAGACATAACCAGAAAGTTTGCAACAGCATTGTCAGCAGCTGAAATTGAATGTTTTGAAGGGTTTGCTGTATCTGAAGAACTATGTGTCAAATATGAAGAAATGACTTGAGATCAGTCATTGTCTGAAGATTGGAAGCGGCTACGAAAATACAGGCTAACAACGTCAAAAAGTTTTAAACAGATTTGTTGCCGGAAAAAAGACTTTCACAAACTAGCAGATAATTTTCTTAATGGAAGATGTGTGACCACTGCTGCCATGCTGTATGGTCTCAAGTATGAAAATTAGGCCTCAAAAGCTTATGCCAAATTGACTGGTAATAATGTTTATAGTGTAGGCATTGTTATCAATCCTACTGCACCTTATCTTTCATGCTCCCCTGATCGACGAGTATTTGACAGCAAAATGATTTTGGCTGAAAGATTTGGACTACTGGAAATTAAATGCCCTCAGGCCAATTCTTACATTGAATTGCCATATTTACAGCTCAAGAATCAAGGCTATACGCTAAAGACCAATCATATGTACTTTCACCAGATACAAGGTCAAATGGGGATTACTGGTGCAAAATGGTGTGACTTTATGGTATATTGTAAGGAAGATATGCACCTGGAAAGGATAAAGTTTGATAAAAATGTTTCCAAAGTATGAAAGACAAAGTGGACACATTTTATTTTACTTACTTTTTGCCTGCTATCATCAAGAACAAGATTTAAAAAGTAACTGTTTATGACTTTTTTAAAAATTATTAAAACAAAGGTCCTTTAAAGTTTGATAACAAGAAGGAAACTGTCCATAATTGATTAACTGTCCCTGCCATGTTTAAAGGTATAATTCTGTCAAATATATGGTTTTCTTTAATTCTTCTAATTGCCCTTTCTACATGAATTCTGGCCCTTGCAATGTTTTGAGTTTCTTGAACTTCAGCTACCTCAAACTGGGCTCTGTTTGATGTAAGAAACGGTGGCAAATCATAACTGACTTTCAGTGGTTTCAGCAAATCTGCAATCACAAAGCCTTTATCTATCATCACAGAATCACTTTCCTCTAACAGGGATAAAATCCCAGATCTTTTTGTAATTTCTTTATCAGATATGAGTCCAGTATACAATTCGCTGACAAAAGTCACAGCACCAAAGGGTGCAATACCAATAAGTCCCTTCATGGTGGTGTGGCTTTTGTACTGGGAATAAAACATTGAATTCAAGACATTTGCTGTTGGTGTCTGGCATTTGATTTCTGTGCAGTCAATGATAACCCTGCACCGTGAAAAGCAATGCTTGAAAGAATCTGGCATATGTTTATCCACTGCTTCCCTTGCTGGCCATATAGGTAAACTTCCCAAGACAAAGTACAAATAATTTGCCCATGTTATGAGCATTCTGCTGGTTGTTGATGCTGATATTTTTGCTCTGAAAGAAATGTCAGTTGCCATTAACCCACCTTTTAGAAAACAAGTGAACAGAAAGAACTGCTCAAACAGTGGAATTTTACTTTTAAAACTGGTATCTTTGAACTTCTTAACACACCCTTTGTTTCTCTGATACTGGGACCAGAAAACCATTTTCTCAGCAGTTGGCTGGAGTGCTTCAAAGGTGACTTTCAACATATCATAGTTTTCAAAACCAGAATAAAATTTTATTTCATTTGGGCTTGACTTTAGACTTGATGTTCCAAACTTGTATGTTTCCAGATGACTTATAGTAGCCTCTAGCTTTGATATGTGTTCTTCTGCTTTTCTTAGCTTCTCTTCTAAAGGGATCACATCATTGCCAAGGTGGTAATCATGAAAATTGTCAACGGGAGGTAGTACTGGCTGTACACCATCCTCTTTTGCATGGTTATCACAATTCCTAGAATAATAACATTACAATGTGATGATTCTTTTGAAATTATATACCTTACATACAAAAAACAAATCATGGTTTTCATTCAGAGTTTAATTGAAAATAATCAACATTTGCTTCAACACTTGGATCAAGTATTTAAATATATTTTACATAATGAATAAAAGTTTCCATGTTTTTCATTCTTCTTGCATAAATAAAGACTGGTAGAGTATTTCTTGTACAATTTTTTAGTTATCTGCAAATAAGAACCTATTCCAATGTTCAAGCTGAATCAGCTCTCATTAGATCAGGGCCCAGTTAAAAATTCAGCCTTTAACTTCTTATTTAACCAGGCTGCAGGTTTTACCCCAAATCCACCTATGCTGGTATATAAAATATGATTTGATTTCAAAACAATACCTGCATTTTATAACCCAAAAAGACTGGATACCAATTACTGAATAATATTAAAAAAATTGTTGCATTAAGCCTCAATAGCTAAAAATAAAACATCAATTACCCATTCAAATTTCCCCTGACTAAAGGTGGTCTTCTGTTTGTTGGCTCTAAAAAATTGTTCCATTCAAAGAAAGTAGGAACAGCATTCTTCATTAGCAATCGTTTTCCGTTTGGTGTTTTTCTGATAAGATCTTTCTTGAAATGCTTTGAGCAAACTTTTGCTTTCGCTGTTATCTAGGAAGAGAAAAAATTAGGTATTAAGATCAGGGTTGTTATCTCAGACAAGCGCTTGAATTTATGAAAGGAGATAATAGCTGCGGGAAAATATCATATTAGGCCCCAATGAAAACAAACCTTGAAATGACATCCAGGATCACGCCTTATCTTGTTTATCCAGACTGACTTGGCTTCCTTGTCTTTTGGAAAAGTATGAAACGATAGCTGTCTCTCTGGGCCGTATCTAGCATCGGAAACAAATTGAGGAACACAACAGTGGCTGTGATCTGTTGATGTTGACGCCATGCCGAAAAGTAGAGTTCTTCTTGCGGCCTTAGCCTCGTTTCAATTTCCACCGTTAAAGAGGTCTATAAAGAAGTGCTTTTGCATGTAATTTAGAGAGAAGCAATGACTACACTCTTTATTATTAGACTGCAATAGTTTTTGCTCAGCCTTTATTTTTTTAAGAAATTTTCGTTTTGAGCCCTAATATGTTCTTAGATACATCCTTACTTTTTTTAATCCGATATGGTTTCAGGAAAAAACCGCTTGCTCTTGAATAGAAAACACCTTCTCTTTCTTTCCCCGACGTCACTAGAATTTAAGCGTGACCCTTCCCAATTTCTCCCAGAACAATAATCAGTGTTCTTCTGAGAAATGTCTATCCTGAACGGTATAGTATTTTGTTAAACTTGGTCTGGGAGATGCTTTTCTAGCTATTTAGAAGGTATGGTTTAAAAAATTTTCTTTCGCGTCGGCCCCAACCGTGGTGGGCCCTCCTACATCACTAAGCGCGATTCTCAGCCCCTCATGTTAAATTTCCTCAAGCTGTCTCTGAAAATTGTTATCAACTCAATTATAGAAAAGTCAACGTGCTAAGAAATATCTGTAAATACCTTCTATAGAGCTGAAAAAAAACTTTACAAAATCTAATAATCTTTTTTTTTGTAATTTTATATTCATATGCTCTGCTGACCCCCCCCCCCCCCCCCCCCCCCAATTGACATGACATATTTATGGGCCTGTCTGCTTGCAACAAGCAATGAAAACTAGCATTTAATTCGAATTCTCAATTTCATAGCAGAAATCGGGAATTCAATTACTGAGAAACTTACTTTTATCTTCGTGAAGTGCTGAGATATTTCTGTTAATATGGAGGTCGGAGAAGCTTCTCTTCTTGATTAGCCTTGCTACTGAGGGACTACCTTCTGAAAGATTCCCCGAACATATCAGTTCATATCCCATTGATACTTTTGCTTCCTTCATTTATTCTTTTCCTATTCAGCATATAAATCCCTGTAATTTAATTTTTTTGTTTCTTGTACAGGCACATTGTAATTGTGGAAATGTATTTTGTCGCCTGAACCAGATCAAAACTGAGAAACGAGAGTTCTAAGAATCTGTAGAAAGCCAAATAACACAAAAAATAGCTTTACTTGACCATATTTTTAGAAAAAGGCATGGATAAAACTCGCTGTTCTCGCTCCGTACTCCTATTCTAATAGATTTATGTCCGCAAACGAAACGACTTCCCAACTCGCAACTCGCAGATTGAGCATCTTGGATTGCATTGTTGCTATGGAAGGTCATTCAGGTCATTGTTGCTAATCGAAGGTCATTTAGGACAAAGTAACATGAAGTACCTATTTCCCACGGACTGTTGTTTCCGTGAATGCTTAACCATTTGTGCCCCTACTCATGGAAACCAGCAAAGGTCTTGGTTGACAGCAAAGGAAATTGAAGGTAACTTAATTTAGATTGGTGTTTGATAATTTGGAAATAATTTTACAGTCAAATTTGCAATTTATCATCTAAAGCCAGTAATACTCAATAAGACTCCCGTTAAAGATTGCTAAACGAGTGCAGCAAGGTAGACAAATGTCGCGATTTCCTTTTTCAGTTTAGAGCCAAAGTAATATACCATACAGCTATTTCTGCAGCTTAAATTCAAGATTCTTTAGGTCAATTTGTTTTGTTTTTAGTAATTTTGAGATTGACAGAGGGCCTTAATAAATTTAAATAAAAACCATCGATCGTTCTCATTTTTGAATAAGTAGGAAGGACATTCATAAAGTTCAGTAGGACAATAAGTAATGTTATCGTAAGCTAAAAATTCTGGTAATGTCCATCTTTGGTGGTAAATTGAATTAATCTAATTCCCTAAAGCAGTCCTGTGAACTTTGAACAGTCTTGTTGATTAATTAGACATCGTGGACATATCATATTAAATTTAGATCTTTGCATTTTTCTAAAGCCAATTGAATTTGTTTTAACTGTTAATAGCAGGAAAAAATAATAATAGAAGGAAAGCTTGCTCTGAGGGAGCTTGATGACTTCCACACCACAGCCAATTTTATTATAAATAGTGAAATTAGCCAAACAGAGGTAAAGAGATACCATTCTTAACCTTTCTCAGAATATATCGGAGATTCCCTCTTACCCTAACTTTTTGTAGCCATGATGAACTTTAACCACCCCACTACCCCCCCCTAACAATCAGGAAGCAGAAGGTGCTTAAAGCAATCCAACTCTTCAAATGGGTGCCAAAGGGCAGTTTAAAAGAGTGTGAAGAGAGAAGACAACTTATCAAAGCCCAACTCCAAAGAGGTACACATTTCAATGTAAAGACATCTTTCTATTGTCTCTTTCTTTCTCCTCCACACCAGTATATCACTCCCCCACTTCGACCTATTGAAAATCCTTGGACCCTTGGAGCCCAGGGTAGGGCCTGGGTTTGGATAGCATCCTAGAATCCCTTGACAGTCCACCATTGCTTATTAAAAGTCCATACTGATTTGATTAACCTCGTAAAGGTAGGACATCAGATGTAACTTTTAAGGAAAATCTTTACAATTAGATTGATACCTCAATTTTGCACAGCTACATAGCCTTGAATTTTTAGTTGTAAATTTCTTTTGCTTACATTCTTATATGTTCATGTTTTATTGTAAATTAAACTTGTTCCTAAAATTTTGCAAGACCAGACCTGCCAACTCTCACGGTTTTGCCGTGTGTCTCACGGTTTTGGCCTCAATCTCACGTTCACAGGAATTTTTGTTCATTTCACACGGTTTTTCAAAAACTTATTTTCAATTTACCAATGCAGCGATTTTCAAGATGTTTAGATTTTATTCAACTTTTCCTCTGCAAATTTTATGCATGATTTTATGTACAATTTCCCTCTTCTGTGTTATCGTTCTTGAATCACATCACAGCGCTGCTGACATCGCTGGTTGGCTTAGAATAACTCCCTCGGCCCCCTGTCCCGCTTCTCGCTCCTATGTTTGCATGCAAACGAGAAGCAATGCTGAAGAGGAGAGATTGTTTAGTATTGTGAGAAAAAATAAAACTGACAGCCATTCTTCATTGAAGTTGGATGGCACTCTGTCGAGTATCTTGGCAATGAAGTCCAGATTCCAAGAATCAGTGGTTCCCTGTTATAAATGGCAACCAGAAGAAGAAGTTTTGAAGAATGCGAAAAAAGCAACTTTGAACTATAACAAAAAATGTGTGTGAAAACTGTTTAAGTTATAGTATACAGGATACAGTTTTACAGTAACAGCAATGAGTTTATGGTTAATCTTGCTATTTTTGGTGAAAAAGTTCGTGACGCAAAATCTTCAGGTTTTTAGCAAAATCTCCAGGTTTTAATAAAGAAAAATTTCAAATATCCAAGTTTTTAAGCTTGGGAGGTTGGCAGGTCTGTAAGACCTTTAACTTTAACCATGTTACATTCATGCCAAATTGGAATAAGATAAAACTATAGTGCAGGATATCAAAAGTAAGCTTATAAATATTCCTTAGTACCTTCCTGGGCTTAAATCCGTTTGTTGCAGAAACAGACTTTTGATGTAGCTTTGGTCATCACTAGAAAGTGTTGCAGTAGAATTCCATTAAGGATGACCTTCAAGTGGTGTATTGAAGGAATGGAATTATATAGCAAATGTTCAACTTATCCAGGATAGGATTTTTGCCTTGAATGAGTTAAGGAAGTCCAGTCGGAATTGAAAATCAGTCCTACTTTGTGAAAGTCCAATTTAACTGTGGTAGAAGGTATTAACAGTATTCAACTATTTTTTCTTGCCACATACCATGGTGACACCCTGTCATAACCTCTGAACAATCTTGAGATTTTGGTATGATAATAACGGAAAATTTATTAATATTTTCTAGGATCTTTCTTGGATCATATTTGATGTTGTGAATATTTTAAGTAAGTCATTGTCATTCAAAAACATATATGCAAAATTTTACTTGATGCCAACCATGGTGGTGGCCACACTAAACCCCTTAACAAGCTTTAACATTTTGACATAATGTTAGGGAGAAATTCATGAGCATTTTCTATTATCTCCCTTGGGTCTAAATGTATGTTGTAAATATTTAAGATGATTTTCAGCAATCCTAGAATATCATACTTGTGAAATTTTTCTTCCAGACACCCATGGTGTTGGCCTTCACAAAACCCCCTGCAACAATCTAAACATTTTGCTCCTCTACTTACACTGTACCAGGCAATTGGTTCTCTAGGGGCTGGCAAACAAGATTGATGCACACTAGCCAATCTTGAGCCATCATACTAGTGATATATATATATTTTTTCTTCTCTTATTTTTAAGAAATTATTTTCTTCTTAGGTATGCTTCATTTAGACATACAGCCGGTGAGCTCTTGCAAGACTTTTGTCAGCCAGAATGGTGTATTTTATTACCTGTGAACCTGGTTGAATTATGGATAAGGCGATAGAAGAACAGATCAATGCTGTTACAACACATGATACACCTAGGTCCATTGAAGTTAATCAGAAAAGCCCAGAAAGTAGTAGGACTTTTTTAGAAAATTTCAGTCCAAAGCCATTTATTAAGAATAAGCCCCAGCTGCCAAAAAAGCCAGCATTTCTTTTTAAGTCTAATATTTCAAATCAGGGATCTAGCCCTGGTCAAAATGAAAGGTATGCTTCTCAATTTGAGAATACTAGGCATGAAGAAACTGATAAGAAAACTTCTTTGAATTGTAAAGATGCTGGATTCTCAAGCAAGGGAGAAAATGGAGACAAAATTGATTATGGGAATTTATCTTCTTATAAGGACACAACAGAGGGAAGAATATTTCCAATATTGGGTAGAAATGGTAAGGGAAGCAATGGTATTTATGGCTTGAATACTGAATCAAGTAATGTTTTTGATGATGTAGTGACAAAAAGTGAAATGGAAGATATGGAAAAGGACCTCAATTACACAGACAAGGAGGTTTGTGTATCACAACAGGTTGGCAATGCTATGAGTGACAGCTCAGTATCAATGCAAGATTCTAAACTCTTGACTGATAATTTTGATTTTGTACAGGAAGATGTTTTCAATTGTTTTGAAGACATAACAAAAAATCCAGATCAAAAATTTTCTTGTGATAAGGAAAAAGAATTTCCTTTGAGTGGTATATCACAGAGAGATGAAATATTGTTGGCATATGATAGAACATATGAAAATGCTTCAGATCAAAAGAATACCAATTGCAGAAATTCTGTTGCTGTGAATAATAAACAAGAAAAAGGGACAATTTTGAAACCTCGACCATCCAGACCACCACCTCCACCCCCTCAAAGACAAAAATACCAACAATTAAGTGATATAAATTTGGATGAAAAGAGCAATGCTTTAAACCTGCTTGATGATTTCAGTGAGCAAAAGATTTTTGGTTTCAACCAGAAAACAACTAACTATGGAAAAGAAGATAAACTTTTAGAAAATAATGTGAAATGTGAAACAGTTACTTGTGATAAAGATGGTGTTCAAGAAAAGGAACCTTCAAAGGAATGTATTGACAAAAAGACTATTGGGAAAGTGGATGATGAAATACTCACGATGAAGGACAAAAATGATGAGCAGGGAAAAATTGGACCTGTGGGGGAGAGTCTAAACTTACCACATTTAGATGGAAAGCATTTTGAAAGCGTTTGCTCGAGAATTTCTGGTCAAGGAGCAGTTCCAACTTCGCCGGTTATGAAGAGAGAAAATAGGGTTGCGATAAAAAACAAAAAAGAGAATCGTAAAAGCTGCCCTCCCCCAGATACCACAACTGTAGAAGCGAAGGAAGAAATTAAAGAAACTGTACTAAATAAATGGAAATATAGAAGCTTTGCTGTTGACAGTCAAAACAAGAGGCAAAATTCTTCCAAGGTATTTTCTTTTCTTTACTACTTTCAATTGATAATTTCAGCATGTTAAGTTGTTTTTATTTTGGCATATTTTTTAACATGGTGATTTTTAGCAATACCATCAATTGCAATAGAAGGTGTTGAAAAGAGGACTTTTTACCAAAAAGTGCCAATGCTTGGTTATAGTTTATCTTATGAATACCACAGGGGGTGCTCTCTCCTCGATTAGTCTATCTTTTGAGAGAGCTCCTCCTTTAAGAATTTCCTGCATGCAAATATCCTTTGTTTTTGTAAAATCAACTATATTTTTTTCTTGTTTTCTATTTCTCTCATTGTATGTAATTTATTTTGGAGGTAGCTACTGTGAACCGCCTTGTTTTACTCACAAAACCATCTACAGTTTTGTTTATACGACACCAAATACTCTCCTACAAACGATTTGACGGGCAATACTCCCCTGTGTAACGAGCCCGGTGAAAACCGTTCCCAGTGAGAAATGTGCTGGCTGACGAGTCTTCTTTCGAATAATCGGATGACCCTGACATTTTATGCATTTACCCACGTCACTCGCAACCTGAGATATTTTCTCCACAGTCAGTCTTAACGTCCCTCATTGGCACAACTTCCAATCTAAGCCCTTGAGTTTATGGTTTTGTTAAAAGACTGGAGGTGGGGGCTCTCATCTCGTTAGTTTACCTTCTTTAAGACCAGAGTCCAGAAAAGTTGTTAACCTTGCTCCAGACAAAAACATCCCAGAAGGCAAATCTTTCTCACAAAACCGTGGCTTGGGTGTGTCATGGGAGCTTCTTCTGTTTTTCGTTGAACTTTCTCTGGTCGATGGCCGTGCGACCGTAATGTTTTCCTGACTCTGTTTAAGACCCCGTCCTTACGAAGTCTCTTACATCTAAATGTATTTTGTTGTTTTCTTTATGTTGATAGTGTTTTGTGGTAGAATTAAAATATTAAATTCAATTGATCGATCAATCCCATCCCTTGCCAGTCCAAAGCCAGTTTTTCTTGCCCACTGCCATATTCAGCTGCTATCTCCAGTGAAAGACTCCTCGCTGGACTTTTTTCACAGGGTTGTTGTTATAATTGTTAAGATTGTTAATACATTGTGATTAGATGTCTAAAAGGAAGCTCGGTTCGGCAATGGCGGAATGAATATGAAACTGCGATGAAAACTGATTTTCTATAGCAGAACAAAATCCTCGACTAAGATGACAAATTACGTATCAACTAGCGACGAAATGTTGCCAGTAACATTATAAGTTAGAGAGAAGTTAGCAAAACTGTTGCAAATAAATGACCAGTTGTTACAAGGATTTCTCAGCTTCGTAAAAAGCTAGAGAGTGGCTGCTGGAGTTTTCGAGAAATTAGACATGTTACTCAAAAGATTTGCTGGCAATTTCGTCGATTAAAATTTGCTAATAAATAAGAAAACTGGTTCAGCCATTCAAGGACATGATTTCTGATTTGACATGAAAACATGATGTGCGTTAATGTTACAGCCAGAGTTGTTACAGCGACTACAAGAGCAACGAAAAAAGTCAGAGGAAAAAGGACACGAAAGCGCGACAACTTTTTCAAAGGTATGATGTCTTATTAGCACTATTGATTGATAGCATTTTATTCCATCCTTCATAGTTAATTTACAAAGTTACGTTTAATCGTATCTTTGAATGTCAATGCTTAGGCTCAAATTGATTGGAGGGGATAAGGAATTTTGATCAGTTAATGTTGCAATAAAAGGCGAAATCGCTGAAAGAGTAATGACGGGGTTAAGGTTACACTGTTGCTCAATGCGTGTAGCTGCTCAAATTAAAGGGGATATTTGTATTGTATATATTGTGAAAGAATGGCTTTGTCAATTGTTGAAAGCAACAACATACATTGAAGGGCTTTTTCGCTAAAGATTGGTCGTTGATGCTCTAGTGTGACCTCGTATGCTCTTGGTTTCTCTCGGTCTTCTACAGCCGCGTCACGTTTGTGAGCATCACAACCCCATATCTGGTACTGAATACAGAAGAAAATACCTTTAGCGGTAAATTGCGAGGGGAAAGCCCATCATGTTAGGTGTTCGACGATACTGATAGTTCCGTGTCATTAAATGTAACGTAATATAAAGTCTAAAAATGGCTTTTAAAAAAAGAAAACGTTTTGAGTCATACTAAAGCTTTTGGTCTGGCACTTTTTAGAGTATAAATGTAGAAAAAAATCCCAAAGATGTATAAAAATCCTATTGTTTGCTTTATATATTATGTTACAGCTTTGTGGCTTTACCAACCTCCAACCCCCCCCCCCCCCCATTAAGTTTTATCTATCGAACATCTTGCTTCTGGTGTGATGATAGCCGCCGTGTTGGCAACAAAGAAGTATTTTCCAAAATGTATTGTTGTTATGTCTGTCGTAAGAGTCACATTAGCTGGTTTTCATTAGCAACAGGTGGTGGAAGATAGAATCGATTTTATCCCATGCAAAAGGTTGTAGTTGTTGTATAGCTGTCGTATAGAGTTCTGTGGTGTAACGTTACCAAAAACGAATTTTTAGAATTTTTGAATTTTAACCACATAACATAAAATATCACAATGAAATACTTCCAAAAATGCTAAATTAGTCAAATGTGTCAAAGAGTGGTTGAGATGTTGCTAATGAAAGATTTGAAGTTTGCTAACGAATCACTGTTATTTTGGCTCTGTTCACAAAGTTATGAACCAAGACGAAATTACAGAGGTTTGATGGGGGAAAGAGCCAGTACACATGTGGCCATATATCTGCCAATTTGTAACACATTTGACTGATTTTGCACATTTAGACGTATTTCATGATGCTCTCAGGCTATGGGATCCAACTTCAAAAATTCTAGAAATAGATATTTATGACGTCATCGCTTAAGAATTCTCCTGGACTGTTGTGTAAGAGACTTCCAAAAAGGTGTATCTACCGCAAGTTGTTCCTATGACAAAAAACCATAGAAACAGCTGTATAGAAACGAGGCTTTAATTTCATTCTGGTCTCTTGGTGAATAACACAAAAAAGCTTGTTTACTGTTTGGTTTTGTTAGAATACCAAAGAAATTCTAGAATGTTTGAAGTTTTGAGCTGGAAAGCGTAATACACGTTGAAGGCCTACAATATGAGAAAAAAGGGTTCAAGTTAGAAAGTTGGATTCCTGCTTTTCTTTTGCTATCGGAAGTTTAGTGTAAACCGTAAGGCTGCACTATAGACTGTAACATACAACAATGTGGTGGCAAATTTTAAAACGAGTTAATGGAGCACAGAACGCCTTATTTAAGATCTGTAATATTTCTAAGGTTTATGATGACTTTTAAAGTTAGATGACATGTTTGTTTGCAGCCAAAGTCACTGCCAGCGATTAAGGATGATGTTGATGAGGAAATGGAGGATGCCGTTTTCTTCGACTACGTTTTGGTTGTTAAACTTCGAAACAGTAAGTCTTCTTAGCAGTATCTCAGCAACACTGGCAATATTCTAAAAATGTCGCTGTTTCCCAGTAGTATTTAAAGAATCGCATTGTAATTGATTGAAGACCTGTATCTTACCCTGCATAATTACAAAATTGCATTGATTGTTCTTTGTCATAATTTTGAAAAAATTATCATAAATATTTCTTTACCAACCCGCAGGTGAAAATGGATTAGAGCCATACATTTCATTCAGATTTCCACCAAAGGTAGGAATTGAATCTTTGATGGACGACGACCTAGTATGCATTAACAAGAGGAATATTTTAAAGCACTACTATTTGTCGTTACATATACAGATCTTTAGCAAATATTTAATGAACTATAATGAAAGCTAAAGAGACTTATAGGGCGTGGTACTTCTTGTAAAAAGTCAAATTTATAGCCAGTATGTTTACAAGTATCAGATGGGCGAATTGATTAAGCCAAAACAAATTAATGAATTAAGAAATCACTCACCTAGGCATTCTACCAGAGAGACCTAGGCATTCTACGTAGCACAGTTAGCCGCAAATCTGCCAATTTGAAGTGTAGCTGCTAGAGTCTGTACTAAACCATTCTTTCTTAGCAATATGATTTTATTCATATTTAGAAACATAACAAAGCATCTTGCTATGCTTTTCTTATTATTATGCAACAATACACGGACAACACCTGGAGGAGGGAGAGACAAGATACGTAACTTACAACAAAATGCCAAGAAAGTAACTAAACTAGACTAAATAATTTAAAATGCAAAGTGAACTGAAAAATGGTAGTATGGGAGTTTGCAGCAATAGAACACTTAGTGGCGTTCGGCAGCATGAATAAGTTTGGGGCTGCCTCAAGTAGCTTCTTACTGCTGTCAATGATTAATTTTTTGTTGCCATTTAAAATGATTTCAAGTAAAATTTTCTCAGCAGAAAAGTGTTCAGCTGTCCTATAGCCAAAATCCAAATATTTACATTAAACATGTATTGAAGGCATTAGGGCCCAGACTCTTTAGTTATTGATCATGCAGTAATTGTGGTAGTTTGAATTGAGATTGTTGTTGTGTTGAGTTGGAAAAGAAGTTTATTCTTTACATCCTCTCTAAGCAGGTACAACAAAACCTTCCTTAAAAAACCAAATTAAGGCTTTGGCTGGTTATGGTGAAATTATTATATTTCCTTAATCTTTAATCGTGCGATTTCAGTGTTTTCTGGACTTACTGAGAATGCTGTTTCTTTGCCAAGATGTAAGCCCGCCATGTTTGGAAGGAAGCTGATAAAAATATCATTTTGCAAAAAGCAATTCAGTTTTACTTAGCGAACTTGATAGGCCTCCTCTCGAACTGGCAACCCTACCTAAATCTAGAATGTTCAGTTAAATGTATAATGATCCAGGTTGAAAATCGTGTGATATTGATTCATAGTATTCTTTTTGCTAGCAAAAGTATGATAAAGAGATTGACGAACGCGTTGCAAGCATTCCTCAGTTTTGTTTCCCCGACCTAAAAGCTGGAATGAGGGCAGATAATTATTTAGAGCATCATGTAGGGTTTGCATCAAGGTAAGTGTAAATACTGTTGTTTTTTCGAGATTATTATATTTACATCTCTTACTTTGTTGAATGATGAAATCCTGAAATCTGGATTCTTATCTAACTCGCATTTTCTTTATATTGATCATGTCAGAGAAACTAAACTCTTTTAAAGAAGCAGTCTTAAATTCTTCCTAAATGCTCTTTAACATTTAAAAGTCTTCAAGGAATTTTTCATCGTATGTACCATTCATGACAAGTTTCTTACTTCCTTCGTTGTTGCACTTCAACCCCTTCCTAGAACAAAAGTAGGTGAATAACTTTCCATCAAAACCATCTGATAAAATTTGTTTAGAAAATGCAAAAACTCTGAACTCTTTTTCAATGAAATTTTGAGTGAAATAGGAAATGCTATGAAATGTCTATAATGTTGGCCTATCTTCTGGTAATTATTTGAGATTTAAACTTTGAGCATGTGTGGAAAAAGTATCGGACAATGAGACCGGGTTATCATCTCCCTTGAATAGAAAGGCTATAAAAATTAAAAGGTTAAGCTAGTATAACTACATCTATTAAATAAAACATTTTAGCGGATAGACTGGATAATACGAGTGTTTCTTATGGCCTTTATTGTCTATAAAGGTTAAGGCCTTCTTAATGTCAACTCAAATGATACCTTGTTTTGTTCTGAATCTGAAAACATGCATACAGATTTCAGATTTCAGACTTCCTCGTCTCTATTTTTAATCTAAAATGACTGCCAAAAGTCTCGAAACAGTAACGTCAGTTTTCAAGGACAAATTTAACCAAGGACCCTTAAACAATAACAGTTTATCATTTAAGTACGTTTTTCACCTTAATGATATTTTTCTAAACTATAAACATTGCTTTGGGGGGGGGGGGTTGCAGAAATAGCAATATTTGGTAAAAGAATTGAGAAAAAATTTAAAAACACAACGTTAATTGTCGGGTTTGAGAATGGACTGCTGTTAAATTTAATTTCATAAAGTTTTTCGATCAACCCTAAAATCAGCAACTTAATATACATATTGAAATTAAAACAGGTTTTATGAGATGAGTGATTTTAACATATCTTGAATCCAGAGATTTAGTATAAAAAATATGTTTCAAAACGTTTTATAAAATGGTATGCTACAATTAACTTTCTCAGTTCTTCGTGAGGAATCTTTCCTTTAGATTACTAATAAGCTTCATTTGATTCATTTTCTCTTCTTTTATGGAGCAGAAATTTTTAAAGCCAAATTTGCAGCCCTATAAAAGAGAAAGGTCTTTAGCATTACAGTTTTACGTATAAGTCTCTTTTTCAGTAATCGCTTCACCTTTTTTCGTTATGGAAATGCGCGTGCTTTATTTAAAATAGCAAACCGTATTTTCTTTCCCGCCCTCTCTACTATTCCCGCCCTCACTAATATTCCCGCCTCTCTAATAATCCTGCTTTTTCTATACTTTTAAATATTAATCCCGCATCTCCGACAATCGTGCATGCTAGTTTAATTTAAGAAAGGATTGCAAATGGATTCGATTGTAAATTTGCGTGTCTTGCCGTTCTTATTTGATGACAGATGGATGAAAAATGTTTCAGTCAATAAGCGTCGTTTTTCCAATCAACTTTCGTCATGGCTCTACGCAGTTTCAGTTGGCTTTTTAAAAGCACGTTGAAAAATTAATCCCGTCTCTTTGATAATCCTGCCTCTCTAATAATCCCGCATTAAATTAGAAGGTTTTCTTTGTATAACTGTTAGTCTATCATTGCAATTTTCTTCTGTTTGTCCTGACTAGCACAATAGGCAAGGATTCAAGAATTGTGAAGGTTCCTAGCAATAATTCAGTTTCCTTGCGTTAGTTTTTCCCGCGTTTAACGTGGATAGCTGTTTTGATTTGCTGTTACTGCTCTGAGAAATTTAGTCTCATTTGCCATTATTCAGAAATGGGCACGAGCTAGCTGAAAGATGCGCCGTGAATCTTCTCCAACATCTAAGTTTTGTTTTGATGAAAACGTGTTAATGCTTTTTACTTGTCCCCGAAATTTGACGATATAAAGCAATCTCCTATTAAAAGTTTCATTAGAAAGACATAGCATGTTGCAAAACTCCGAAGAAAACACGCGAAGTGGCAATTTTGGTATTATCGATATTGACTCTATCTAAAATTAATGCTGCTCACTTTCGTCTTGTTACAGCGAAACTTTCTCTTTCGTTTTAACTGACATGATGGGGCAGCGACTCTTTGGATATTGTCGTCAAATCCAGGTATTTTTTAGATGCATAAAACTCAAGTTACACCTGTAGTCGCGTCCACACTCATGATTATTGTGTGAATTTGCATGCAGTTAGCACAGATTTAGAAAGCCTTGTATGCAGTGTAAACACTAATGTAGTTGCCTCGGAAATAATGTTAGTAAACATTTCGATGCATTTATTACTGACATTTGCATTCCTATGCCTAACAGTTAAAGGGGCTATGCACACGAAGAGAAATACTCCATTTACTTTCTAATCTATCATTTATGGCAGGTTTTGTTTTGCAATCACTAGGCTACCTCCTTCATGTGTTGATCAACTTGGTTGCCCATAGGCATCTGTTGGTTAATTTATCTTGACTTAGGCCAGCATTGAAACTATCAAACTTCTAACGTCATGTTTAAGTTTGAGCTTTATTGATAATCATTATTTTTGGTTTTATGTATTTGCTCTGTATGATATTAAAAGGTGAAAGAAAGATCACGGGAAAAATCTTCAGCAGCCTTGTTACCTGAAGTGTATTGCATCGTTAGTCCATACGGACTATTTGGTTTGTATTCCCAGGTATGTACTACTCATGATTTTCACTGTACAGTGGATCTTCGCGTATCTGAGTCCTTTTCATTTAAAGTCTTTTTTTCCGGCGATTTTGGCCTTTAAAGCAACTCCCCCTTTACCATGACGTACTTAGTTCTAGATTTTCTTTTTACAAGTACAACCCCCTCTTTTTCTCCAAGGATCGAATTTTTGCAGGGTAAATACCATGTTGCCATAACGGCTTTTGATCTTTAGGACCGTCTATCAAGAGATTTATCTAGTCTTCTTAGTGTAAGATTCTATTGTAACACCAGAAGGCAAGACGTCCTTTGCTAGCTTTCTGTGCTGCTCGAGGAAGAGCCATCTGCAAACCATCAGCAATAAAGCAATATGGTTGTCAGCAAAATTTTATCTTCCTCAATTAGAGAACTTCCTTACATGGCCTTATTTTTCTTGATATGATGTTATTAAAATTATTAAAATATCTTCACTTTGAAGTCACTATTGTAAAATTGTTAAAATATTAAATTGTTAAAAAGATTTTTTTTTGCATTTCTACAGTTCTTGTGAATCTTTTTCAATCTCCCTTAGAAGTTGTGCCTTTGTTTCATTTATCTTATTTTTCATTATGTTGATTAATTCTATGTAATTTTTCTTACTTCTTTTCTAATGGCATTTTATCTTTTCAGATTCTCGATGAAGTTGAACAGCAGTGTGCTTTTTCGTCTTCTCATGTTTTTGTTTTTCTGAAAGCGGTAAGTGTTTAATAAATCACGTTGCATAACAGAGGTGTAGGATACATTGCTTTCACTGTTAGAGCACAATAATTCAAATGAGCTAAACTAACGGGTTTTTCGGTTTCATTTCAAGGAAGGCACGAGTTTCTTGATTATCATGGTACACAATACTATATTCAAATTCAGTTCTTTATTCCAACCCCAGGGAGTGTATTTGAGGAAATTTTAACGGGGTAGCTCAGCTTTTTTTTAAGTCTGAAATTTTTTGATTCTCTCTTTTCGGTTTTGGAAAGAAATGCTCTTTTTTGGCAGTAGGTTTTCTGTTTTTGAAAAGTACTGACTCAGGCAAAAAACAAATTTTTTCATTTCGCTTTTTTCTTTCCATTTTGATTCTACCTACGGATGTTTGTCCCAAAAAGCACTCGTAAGATTTACTTTGGGCGTCTATGAAAACATTTGTGCTGAGACTTTCCCCCTGTCATGTTTGTATTAGATTACTCTCTTTTGGACTACAACAATTGCAATTTCTACAAGTTAACATTATATCTTAAAACAGCTGTAAACTTACCCAAAAAGGAATTCCTTTACAGTCTAAATGTAACGAATCAATTTGCTTGGAAAACTTCAAACTAATGCTCCTGTTATTTGTTACTTTGAAAGAATTTTGACAGATTTACTTAATTTTGACAGAAAAAAATTCTTAATGTATAATGGTAAGGTAAAGTGATAGTTCGATTAAGGAAAAATTAAAAAATAAAAACATTTGCGCTACTGAATAAAATTGGGAAAGCTTGTCATGATTTCTTATGATAAGATTAATCACGAAGTTTAGGGTTAATCATACAAGGTAGTGATTGGATATTTCATTTTTGTACGAAAATTAATATTTTATTTTTCTCATTAATATTTTATGTATGTATTGATAAATTAGGTTTTGAGGCTCTTATTAAAACTTTTATCCCAAAGTGTATTTAGTTAAAGGTCTTGCCGTCCTTAACAATCTTTTAGCGAGGCTAAGTTTACGCTTGCAGAAAATTGTCAAAAGCTGCAACTGTGATTACAATGGCGACTGTTTGTAATCCTATCTGTTTTAATTTTGCCATTAAATTGTTCTGTAGTCATTTTTGCAGTGGGGGACCCTAAAGGGCAAGGAGGTCGCCGCCCCACCCTAAAGGGTATAATTTCATAGTAAAAGGAATAATTTTCAACAAAAGATACAATATAACTTTTTAGCGAATTTCCTGCTCATAACATCAATATTCAATGGGTACGAAGTTAGAATGGGCCTACACTATTGCAACATAACAAAAATAAATTTCATGTTAACATTAAGTAAGGTTGCATGTTTCATAGAAGATAATTCTGCCATTTTGATGAATGCATTTATACTTTATCTAAATCTAGAGATTTTAGAAGGTAATGAAGAGTGCTTTCTCTTTTGGTAGTCTTGAGCCCCATTGGCATGAACGAATAGAATTACTTTTCTTATTTTGCTTGATATAAAGAAAGAATTTTCAAGTTTCTAGTTGTAGAATCAATCAGGCAGGAAAACGTCGAAGGTGAAATGTTGGAAGCTCTTCTGCCAGAATTTATTGATTAACAAATTGACTTTCTTTTGTAGGTTCTTTCACATTCATTACCAAGAGCGGTAGCTCTTAATATTACCTGCGATAAATGTTTATTACCTAAGATAAATGCCTCTTTTTCTAACTGGTTTCTTCCAAATATCTACATTATCTGTAAAAAATTGAATGTAACACAACATTGTCAAATATCTTAATATTAGTTAGTCTGAGAATACGTTGCCTGAGAATGAGACAATTTCTCTCAACCAGTATAGACAGATTCTAGCAAAGTGACAGCCACACTGTTAATGGCCACAAAAAGGTTAGGTAAAAATAAAAGAGTTTGATAAGGCACACCCACGTCATATTTAGGCCACGCCCTTTCAAGCCGGGTTTTGTTTCGTTAGCCAAGGTGAATGAGCACTTTTCTTGACAATAGTTTAAAACACGTTTTCACATCTCCTTGATATACGATGTAGAAAATTTGTAATTCTTTGAGATGATAAAAAAGCCTGTATTCTTCTATTATTGAGCCATATCCTTAGAGCCTTATTTGAGTAAACCTTTGTTAAGTAAATCTTTGTTTTTAGAAGATTATTTTTAAGAACTTTTGGGAATAACAATATTATGTTGACGTAGTTGTTTTATTTTTCAGGGTGGAACTATACAAGTTTCATTTTATTCGGTATGATTTAATTTGTATTTAGATCTGAATGTAGAATCTTGAAATGCATATTTTATGACACACACTTGTGAATATGTGTTTTTCAAATAAATATGTATAGATTTTTAGCTTAAGTTTTTTAAAGCTCTTTTATGAGTTGATTTTTTCTCCTGCAATGAATTTTATTTTCTACCACCACTGTGTCTCGCTAAATCTGTGTCTCGCCGTGTTCCATAATAACTATCTTGCCAAATCTGCATCGTTCACAGTATAAGGTTGGAGAAAGACTCACAAGATAGATATCGGTAAAAGCTATCGAGTAAAAGATGTCGAATATAGATTTAGAACACTTTTATGACCTATGAAAAATTCAACATTCACCTTTCAAAATAGCGAGTTCTTTTGTTTTAACAGAGTGTCGATTCTTGAAAACAAACGTTCTATCGAGTTTATTTCAGTCAAACGTGTCTAATAGTTGTGCACTTGGTAACATTTATACGTCCTGTATTTGTCAGCGTTCTGATTTCTTGCAAGCTGTGTCTGTGATATTCTTTCGCCAAATAGCTTTTTCTTTGATTGACCAGTCTCTCTTTTTTTAGGGTGACTCTGTAGGCCTAAAATCTTTAAAATTGAAGAGGGAAGCTGACTCATCCATCCACGAACACGTATGCATTTTCTTTTATCAAGATAAAATAAAGAACTTTCTTTAAAATAAAGACCGTGGCGTTGGACGATGGGCCCCTAACAGCGCAACGTTCTATATTGAGTACGGGGCTAACCTTTGCCTTAACCTTCAGAAACTAACTTTGCAATTTTTAATTGAATAAGTCATTTGCTCCTATGTTAATAAGTCGAAGGGTTCGTCTTTTTAGTTTTAAAGGTTTTCATCTGTTTTTTCCTACTGTTATTTGTTTTGAAAGGCATTTTTCATTATCTCAACGATATAGACAAATATTGAAGAATACATTTTGAATTATTCCACAAATCAAAGGCCCATATAAAACTGACGAGATTGCACCCTTGTGTTAACGACATTATCTATTCGCTATTTCTACTGGGTGTTTTAAGCTTTTAAAAGAAGCTGCTTCGTGTAAAATACCATAGATCAGCAAACCAACAACATAAAGCATTTCCTCTTAAGTAATTTACATAATGTGAAGGAAATTATTTGATACAGTGCGCGAATGATTTTGATAATCAATACAGTGCATTATGTTGAAAGTCGATGAATAATGAACAAAAATTAATAAAATTAAATAAAGACTTTATACATTTGAAAGAAATATAATTTCGAAGTTTCGAGCTTAACTCTTCACCTGATGCAGAGTGCATTCTTCGAATGCATTCTTTCAAATGTACAAAGTCGTTATTTAATTTTGTTAATTTCTTGTCACAAATGATTCTATTTGAACTTAAACCAGGTTTAAACCATATGTGATGATCCCAGCTCTACCTACTGCTAGTGGTTGGTCGATACACGAGGTTGGTCGATGCACGAGGTTGATCGATGAATGCATGATTTAAAAATAATTTTATGATGATTGTTTACCGTTTTAGGTCGATTTAAGCCTTTTGTTTGAAAGACTGCCTGTTTCTGTGGTAAGTTAAAGTTTTATGAAAAATTTGTACTGAAGCTTTTTACTTGTTTTTTGCATAAATTTGCTTCGAGTTTGATTTTTTTCTTTGTTCCATTGCTTGAAGCGAATGACGTTAATATAAACTGGTGATCTCCAAGAATTTCATGTCGTCCTAAAAATAGATTCGATCTTCCCTAAATGAGTTTGCGTAAACGAACTTATAGGAAAGGTTCCCTGTGATCAGTTATCATCACAACTCATGTGGGCATGTCTGAATTAAAGTGAACTTCTAGCATCGGCTTTTTAGCTTACGTCTCTCACTTTAGTAAAGTCATTCAAATAAGTGGAAAAGCTGGGGACCGATGGGTGCGTCTCTCAAACGATGAGAGTCGCGCCCATCGGCTGCATGACGTGCGGAGTGACTGTACGCTGAAACGCTTACAGCCGGGTTGGTAGGCGGCGCAATGTACCTGGTACGGAGCACGTTGTAGTTAATTAGTTTTTCAAAGAAGGAGTCAGCTGTGGTTTAGCCAGGCCTTTGAATATTTGCCTGGAAAAACTTCTGACCTGGCGCCACATTGCCCCAATGATATAGTTTACAAAGATTTCTGCCCCCTTCTGTTTCATGAATCATATATGCTCTTTATCCTGATATATTTTGATTATGAATGCCCTGCCACGTTTTATTTTGAGAACCCTTCCTAGGTTGAAAACAATGAGCGTAAAAATTGAGGCTTGCAACACAACACATTTATGAAATAACCATTAACGTGGGCTGTGCCGATATATTAATCATTGCTTTTGAGATAATAGAGTTTTATTTCAAATCATTTCCTGACCTTTGCTTTCTTCAGTTCTGAAATCTTGATGCTTTGAATTTAATTTTTTACCGTGTCTTTGGATAATATTTTTAACCGCTTTATCATATTCTTGTAGATTTTGAGTACATTGAGCGCTCTAATGTTGGAGAGAAGAATCATCCTAGCGTCAACACAGCTAAGGTAAGGATCTCTTTATTTAAATTTTTTTCATTAAATGTAAGATTGTAAAAGCAGGAGCTGAGCATCACTTTCTTCAATTTTTTGTATTTAAATGAACAATTTCAACTCAGTTGAACTGATATACTAAAGTTTTGATTTGCAAATTCAGAGCTTTTTTAAGAAGTAGAGAAAAACCTTTTTGTGTATTTTTATTGATAATCGTTAACAAAAGGTTTCTGTTTAATGTTGCAAACATGATTTGCTGTCCTAGCTCTCAAGTTCAAGAAGGGTTTTCCTTTAGGGTTTTTCATCAGTACTAAGAAAGGGAAATCCAATTTCGCAATGTCTTGTCGGAGAAAGAAATTCATGTTAGCACTGATAATTTGCAGTGTCCATGCGAATATTCTGACATCGTTTGGCCTACTTTTCGTTATGGGAAACAAATAAATGATTTGTCTATTAACATGCTTCATTTTACCCTACACCTTAGCTACATCATAAAACACATCCCTCAATCACAGAAAGACAATCTTGTAGCTACATTAGTAACTTAGCAAAGCACATGAGATGACATCAGTGTTTCAATCGATTTTCAGCCTTGCCCCTCAATCATGCAAATATGTGCTTTATTTTCATTAAATAAAGCAGAGCTTTTTCTAATAATTCCGTTAATTTTATGAGCTGTTTTTCGTTTTAGTTTGCTCTCTGCCTGCTGCCATGGATTTGTTTCGTTACTATATCCGTTCATCTGGCAGGTATCTTCAATTTTTTGCTGTAATTGTTTACTTTTTTTGTTTTTCATTTCAAATATAAATTAGCATTTCTGTCAAGCTCAATATATTTCCCTTAGCTAGCACTATATTTTATAACACGATTTCATTTTATATTCATTTCATTTCAATTTAAATTATTTAAAAACGCTTTACAAGTCATTTTCTATGTTACGAAGTCTTTTTTTATGTTTTGAGCCGACTTTTTTACAAGCAGCTTACATAAGTATTTCGGTGCGAGGTGATCTCTTCATCTCTCCGGCTTTTCTCATATGTGATTTTACAACCTAAGGCACTTGAACACCCATTCCACTATTTTTTCCTTGCTGAAGACATTAAATTGATGTCCTATTGTTTAAAGTATACGAGCTTGCTGACTAATGAATTCAATTTATCGTGACGAGATATTGATAAAAGTACGGCTAACCTTTATTGCCAAGGAGGCCTCATTGTGGCTTTTAATCGACACTTGATTGCTAAACCCATTCTTTATTTGTTATTCTTTGAAAAGCTGATTTCTCTTTTCTTCTTTTTGTTTTTCACCTGTTGTATGGGAAACTATAGTAACCAATGTTTGGATGTTGCATTTCTTCGGGTGATGTCATGTTGCTTTCTAAATGTTCTATCAATGCCCCAAATTCAAAAGATTGCATCATGACGTTTGTTTCTGTTTATATGCAGTATATAAGAATACTTGTTGTCCCTAAGTTGCATTCCAAGTACGATATTCTTCTTTTGCAGCACACATATATCCCCGTTCTTCCCTGTACCCTCGTTGATATGTGTTGTTTGCCGACCCCGTATCTTCTTGGAGTTCTTTCAGGCTGCTTACCAGAAATCGAGGACCTGCCTATTGATGAAGTGAGTTTTCGCATTTTACAACCAATAAAAGATGGGTTTCACATTACCAAGCCAAAATTTAAAATAAACCCCCTTCTCTAGGAAGCCCCCCTCTTTAGACCTTGATGTCAAACAAAGAAAATATGCACGTTGAGTGGGTCTCTTGACGGGTGTGATGATGATAAGATCATGTACATTAAACATGGTCCATGTAAAGATTTCCTTGTGCGTCTCAAGTCATGAGTCAAGAGAATAGTGATGTTGATTCTTTTGGAGAAATCCCAGAGCATTATTGCATTTTTATAATATGTTTATTTTGAATAATCAATAAGCCCCCTCTCTAATAATCCCTCCTCTCTTTTAAACCTCTCATTAGGGTCTTAATAGAGATTTTACGGTAGTTTACAGGTCACGTGGTAAACTCAAGACGATGAAAATGGAAAAATTGTTTCAAAGTTTGGATATAGGACTTTCAAAGCCTCTGATTCCTCTTTTTGATCATCCACATGAATTTAATTTCGTGTGAATAATCAGACTTTTTCTCTTCAAGAGCCATTTTTAAACACTATTCGAGAGTATCCACAAAGAAATTATTTTTAATACTTCAAAATTGTCATCGTAGGCTATCATTGTTAATCTTGATCAGAAAAGAATTCTGAGAAACGTAAGTAAATTTTGTTTATTCTTTGATGCTATCCTGGTTTTTTAGCAAACTAGAAGGGTCATGCAAAAATTTTTGTGACAAATACTGGTGAAAGTAAGTTTTGTTAACTTCTTTTAAATCATTTAAGTTATTATTAGGTTGCACTGTTTTTTCTGCTAATGGTCTTCTGAACCATACTTTAATCAAGTTTGTTTAATTCCACAATGTTTTTGTTATGAAACTTTTGATCTTTAGATCTTTCTGGAATTTATGTGAAAATTCGTGAAATAGCCCGGATGTAACCAGTGGCCACTACTGGCTAGATTGTGTAAAGAATGGTCACCCCAAAACTTAGGTTTCCAATTGTATCTTTTATTTTTACAGCAGAGTAGAAATACTTTTTTAACATTGAGTACAAACATTGAATAAGGCAAATATTAAACTTGTGACAGAACTAACCTACTTTAATGCTGGTTATATGGTTTAACTTAATTCTTGTCTTGCATTTTGTCAAGTCTTTGATCATCCATGCAGAGGGATACACTCATGATTCATGTAGCAAACTTGCTTGTTATAAGAAACATGTGCTGGGCATTCGGAAAAAAAGAATCTTTAGCACTTGAAGCAAAAATTTACAAAAAATTAATTTAAAAGAAAGGAGAATTCCGGAATTGTATGATTCTCTATTAAAATGATTGACTGGTCTTCATTAAACGTTAGATGCGATCGATGAAAATTCTTCCATCCAACTTCATTGATGTTTCTTTTCTAAAAATGATTTAAGTCTTTATAAACGCATCCCTAAACAATGAATTTGACTTAATTCTGGTTGACATACGCCATTAACTTTAATTTGAATAACATTGCACTTTCTGTTTTAGACTGATATGGACAGTAAATGCAGTTTACCAAGTCAGATTGAGAATCAGATTGAGAGTGGTTTGGTGCGTCTCTTTATATGTCTTTTACATAATTTTTGAATATCTACATTCCTCTACAACAGTAGAAGTGTACCTTTCTCTTCTCCGATGATCTCCCACCTTAATAAATGACCTCAGCGCTCTGGTTTTTTAAGGTTCCGAAGATCAGTATGGGTTTTTTGTAAGCCTAATGTTATCATCTGCCAGTTATTTCCTTTTCAAGATTCATGTTTCAGTTATATGACATAGGTTTTTATTAACTTTCTCAAGGACAGGAACATGTCGATGAAGATGAGTTTCCAGAGGGTGTTAGGGGGCTGGGGGTAATGGGGCAACTTTGTCATATAAGATCAACGTCTTTCCTCATTACGAACTGTTATCGTAATGAGCAGTATTTTAGAATGAATAAATTTTAAAATCTTCGTTTGTTAATAATTCCAACACTATTTATAAATTACAAATTACATAATTACACTACATATAAATTATTCCTTGAGACGTCACTCCTGTTGTCCTTATTCCATTGCCGTAGCTAAGCTGATAAAAACGCTTTCTGTTGCTTCCTTCGATACCTTTCTCCGCCTGAACCAATGAAAATCGTTCAGGAGGTCGGACTAATGAACCATATTGACTAACCACACTAATAAACCATATTGACTAAACAGACCACCATGGACCAACCGGACTAATGAACCATATTGACTAAACAGACCACCATAGACCAACCGGACTAATAAACCATATTAATAAACAGACCATAGACCAACCGGACTAATAAACCATATTGAATAAACAGACCATCATGGACCAACCGGACTAATAAACCATATTGAATAAACAGACCACCATGGACCAATCGGACTAATAAACCATATTGAATAAACAGACCATCATGGACCAACCGGACTAATAAACCATATTGACTAAACAGACCACCATAGACCAACCGGACTAATAAACCATATTGAATAAACAGACCATCATGGACCAACCGGACTAATGAACCATATTGACTAAACAGACCACCATAGACCAACCGGACTAATAAACCATATTGAATAAACAGACCATCATGGACCAACCGGACTAATAAACCATATTGACTAAACAGACCACCATAGACCAATCGGACTAATAACCATATTGACTAAACAGACCACCATAGACCAACCGGACTAATAAACCATATTGAATAAACAGACCATCATGGACCAACCGGACTAATAAACCATATTGACTAAACAGACCACCATAGACCAATCGGACTAATAAACCATATTGAATAAACAGACCATCATGGACCAACCGGACTAATAAACCATATTGACTAAATATTCCGCTGCCAATTAATTTTATCTCATGTCAACAAAACAGAGCAGATTGAAATAAAAACACACGAAGAACACCCAAGTTCAAAATTAACCAAAAATAAGAACATGGAACTTCGGGAAAAATTAACTTATTCTTTTAAAAACGATTGTAATGACCGGCTGTTCTTCTAAACCAGTGGCGGGCACCTGGTGGCGAAGAGGGCGAGGGGGGGGCAGCCCCCTTCCCTAATATTTAGGCGGACAGTTGTCTTTTGTTCTTAAACAATGGGGAAATGTGACGTCATTTTATCAAAACAATAGGCTTGACTCTATTTGACCAAGTGTCCGTCCATGTTCCATACTTTGCTTCGCCATCATTTTGATTGCTCTAAAAAGCAAAGTAGAAAACTAGTTATTCATTTGAATACTTACATGAATTCTATAGATCTGATTTGAATTGACATTCTATTATGCATTCTAAAGACCGTAGGTCTGGCAGCAAGCAAGTCATTGGAAAATGGTAAGGAATGCCTTCAATGGTCCTTGATTTTTTATCAATTCACCAACTGCTCTGTTCTAATGAATTAAGACTATCAATATCACTCGTAAATGAAATGTTAGTTGATTCATCCGTTATCATTGTCACTATCATTAAATTCTAAATTAATTAAAGAACATGGTCATCTATATAAGTATGAAAGAGAATTCATGTCTTCTAATTCGTTATAACAGAAGTAGAAAGATGCCCTCATTTAAATTGAACCTTAGAAACCTGCACGTATTACTTTTGACAACAGCATGATTTCTTATTCTATGCCTTCAGTCGGTTAAAAAGTTTTTTGTTTTACAGTGTTAATGTAGATTTAAACGCATACAGGTCGCTGTGTGCAAAAGCAAATTAATTACGTTCTGCATTCCAGACGTATTCTATTTGCTAATTTCAAGACTTGCACAGACAAGTCAATTAAAAAGGGGTTAATCTACCCAAAACATCCTGTTCATTCAGTATTTTACAGATAATATTGCTTAGGACAAATGCAAAAGTAATTCAGTCTGAATCAGTGCAAAGCTACCTCGATGCTACGACGAGGCTTTGAACTCAAGCAGTACACTAATTTCGCAATCTGCATGAATGTTCGCACTCGGACCTCTCTTTACTGTCGAATCGCGCACACTGACTGGTTCTGCCTTTTATTCGCAACCAAACCTTTGGCTTGTTTATAAATTAAATACTTCATTTACTTTCAGATAAAAAGAAAAAGAATACAATGATAACTGAAGTTTTTGTCCGATGCGCGTATTTAAATCTATTGGTGAAGCGAAATATTTTAAAACCATTGACACGCATCATCTCAGACCTTTTTGAGTTGTAGTGCAGATTAACTTCTCAAGCAGACTCAGCGTGTTGTTCTTAACCCTGACTTGGTCATCAAAGATCTGCAAGAAACTACCTTTAGATTTGTCTTTAGAGATCGTCGTACAACACTTTGTAAAAAATAAAGGCCTAGATTGATGAGCAAACCATATATTGCAACTCTTTCTATCAGATTAACGGACAATAACAATATATTCTTATATGAAAAAAGTAAGAAAGTCAAATCCATTAGTCGTTTAAAATTGAAGTTTGGTCATTCCATGCCAAGTGGGATAGGGGTTTCCACACGCACCACCTTTAGTTTCTCATGAAAAATTTGTTAAAAATTTCATTTATTATAAGATAGAAACAATTCCCGAAGTTGGCTTGATATATTAATACATTACAAAAAAAATGGTCTTCAGAGTTTCCACTTTGCTACTGAGGCAGATTTTTTTGGAGACGGAAACAACCTTTTTGCAAACTTGGAGGTCCTATATTTCTTGATCCGATTCTGGTAGCTTCTTCAAATTTGAAATATAGGACTTTGTGGAAGCAAGTTTATCAGAATAAAATGGTACAAAAATCTTATTTCTTCAATCAATTTCGTCCATTGACGACAACCTATATTGTTAAAGATTTACTCGGGAGTGTGAAAAAAAAATTGTGAAAGGAGCAAAGTTTTAAATTCAGACTATCTAAATGTAGAATAGACTAATATCTAAATGTTAGAAAGACATATATCTAATGTAAATAGGGACTATATATCTAAATGTATAATAGACTATATGCATCTTTTAAGAGTAACCACGATTTATTAAGCAAGCAGAAAGGAAGAAATTATTTTTTTGGAAGTTAACGAGGCTCTTAATTGCTTCCAAGCCAACAGTTGGAAGAAGAATTCTGTCCTGTTTGAGCCCCAGAAAAAAGATGGAATCCTTGAACAGTTTTTTGGCGTACAGAACTTGAAAATAGGCGCTAAAAAGCTTTTTCGTCTTGACACCCGTCGAGCATAAAAACGTCAGAATAAGGGTCCGAAAGGAAACACGATGAAAAATATATATTTATATTTATATTAACATTCACAAGAAGAACAGGCATGCCCCACTGCATGACGATCAAACTTGTAAAAACTGCTCACTTGTGGGATTCCAATTGAATGTTGATTATCGTTTTTACTTCTTTGCGTTTTTTCGTTCAGGGCAATTTCACAGAATTCTTTTTCAGTCTCTAGTGACAACCGATTCAGGTACCAGAAAACTTTCGTAGCAAAATAGTCGTAAAGATGCTATGAATCTTTAAGTCGCAGTACTAAGCCTTTTTGTGCTGGTTCTTAATTCTGGTTTCTATCAGCGTTGACGTCACGGTTCTACGATAACCTTTGCTTAACATTCTTTAACTTCATGTGATCAACCCAGCGTTCACCAATAAATCTAAGCAGCTTCGAAAATCTAGCTACTTTTATTTAGTATACCGTTTTCTAGTGATTTTTACTCGTACTTTTGAAAGCTCTTTTTAGAAAGAATAACCAAAAGCCCTTAATATCGATATTGGAAGCCTTCAAAGTGATGTAGGGCTTTTTCTCAACCCTTATATCTAACATCACAAAACAAAATTTTAACTGTGTTGACCCTATCGTTCAAATTAACCAAAAGTAAAGAATGGCCTTTTAACTAAGCTTGCAAATAGATGCTTTCCATGAGCTGATGTTTTGGAATATGAATTTGTATTACCATTTTAAAAGGTTTGACACGGTTTCCTCACTCTTCTATCCGCATGTCCATACTAATGTGATTATCGCTGATTACCCTAAGCTGAGAGATTATAGGGCTAGTCAGTTCAGTACCTGGATGGCCCACATCAACCATTGATGGAAACTTCTACTGTTGTAGGTTATTTATTTCGTAGACTTGAAGAGCTATCAGTTATGCTCTGTTGTAGGCTCTTGTCGTGTCATTTTCGTCCCTACGTGCAATTTTTATAGATGTTGTTTAGATTTACCGAGATTTTGATAAAAATGATGATGTGTAGTTGATTTAGTTTGTTACTAGAGGGTTTCATATATCTATTGACAGGCAACAGAATTCTAACAGAAGTTCAAAAATCGAAAGAAAACGAAAACAGGTAACTAATCGCTCTATTGATACTCCAACCAGCTTTTCATTTAGATTAGTCGACAGTGTGGGACCCATAGCAACATTTTTGCCAACCATAAACAGCAAGTAGATAATTCTTATGCCACCCAAGTACTCTCCTTGGACGAAAAGGTAACATTCATATAAGGTTTTCTTCGCTAAATCTAAAGCCGATAATCTTTTCAGTTAAACATAAACTGACGAATCTTCTAAATACAATTCAATCGCTAGGTTATCTCTGGCTATCTTTCCCCATTGCGCTATAAACCGTAAAAGCCTCTACAAGCACCCCCAGGGGACTATTTTTCAGTCATGGGCTTTTCTTCGAAAGAATCAAACATCAGTATTCCTTTTGACTTTTTACATGGGCCGTATTTATGGCACATGATGTTTTCTTTGTTTACAGGGGGCTTAATAGAGAGGGGATGCTTAATAGAGAGGGGCCTCTAATAGAGACGGGGCTAATAGAGAGAGGCTTAATAGAGAGGGGCTTAATAGAGAGGGGGCTTTCTTAGTTAGAGAGGATGCTTAGATAGAGAGGTGGCTTATAGGGAGGGGCCTTAAATAGAGGGAAGGGCTTAATAGAGAGGGGCTCATAGAGACGGCTTAATTAGGCTTTCTTACGGTATCATTGCAGATACGTCCTTGTTGAATTTTTTAGCTTTCTGAGTCGCTTTTTGTGTGAAAACAGGACCGATTCTACGTCTGCAGCTCCGAGTTTTAAGCTTCTTCAACAATCGCCAGGCAACTGTTCATTATGCGAACTGTTGTATGATATGTTCCCAGACTAAACTAGCTTATTTGTTCTTTCCCGCATCTTAACCATTCCTTCTCTAGGTTTACTTCATAAACTGTTCTCCATTTATTTGTTTTATTCTATTTCCTTTCTTTAAATTTTTCTTTTACAGTTTCTCAAGGTAAATTTGTTCGCAAGACACAAGCACATTATTTCAAGAGATTCATTAGCCTCGCACACAAGAATGGTGACCAATTCTAGGTACAGGAAAAAGCGCTTGATAAACTTCTTGTTTGGCATTCGAAGCCCTCTACGGCATACGCTGCACTGGATACGTCAATCCCCAGATTTTTGTTTGCTTATTACCCAGTAAATCAGTTGCGGTCTTACAGCAACAAGATCATTGAATTCTTCCGAATTGTTTAAAATAAAGACATCTATACAAAAGACCATTTAGATCAAAATCAAGAAATCTCTGGAAAAACATAAAAAATTTCGAAGTTCAGGGTTAAAATTATTATTTTAAGCACTTTAGTATTGATTAAAATCAATATGATGGTTTAAATGCAGTTTTACTGTCTTGCTAGCTAGAAACAAATGAACGAGGTCTTTAAAAAGAGGACTGGAGTAATGAATCGAATAATTAACTAAATCATCGTCTGAAGCTGATGCCTTCGTTCTCCCTGGAAGAAAACCGGCAACCTTGGTTCTTGCATCTGCATTTACAAACCTTTGCATTTCTTCACCATTAGACAAGCCTTCTCCATTAATGGCCCGTCCTTAACCACATGTGTTAGAGCAATATTGGCGGCAACTAGTCTTATAGTGCTATATAACCAAGCGTCTTGCTGGACAGTCTTTTGCTTTACAGCGGCTTTTACTTACAGCTTTGCTTTGACAGAGCTTAGTCTCATCAACTATGCTAAAAAATTTAAATCTTTAGGCAAGCTTCACCCTTACAAGCTTTAGCTGACGCTTACTACAGCTTTGCTTACAGCTTTTACTTACAGCTTACTTTCAGCTTTGCTTACAGCTTTGCTTACAGCTTGCCTTACAGCGTTTACCTTACTAGCTTTGCTTCAACAGGCTTTGCTGTACAGCTGTTACTTACACGCTTTGAGCCTAACAGTTTTCTTTGCTTACAGCTATAGACAGCTTTACTTACAGCTTTGCTTACAGCTTTGCTTACAGCTTTACTTACAGCTTTACTTACAGCTTTGCTTACAGCTTTGCTTACAGCTTTACTTACAGCTTTGCTTACAGCTTTGCTTACAGCTTTACTTACAGCTTTGCTTACAGCTTTGCTTACAGCTTTACTTACAGCTTTACTTACAGCTTTGCTTACAGCTTTACTCACAGCTTTGCTTACAGCTTTACTTACAGCTTTACTTACAGCTTTGCTTACAGCTTTACTTACAGCTTTGCTTACAGCTTTACTTACAGCTTTTAATTCGATGTTGTTGTATATAAGACTTTGAAATTCTGTGAATATACCTTAAGTGAAAGCTATGTTTCCATTCGTTATGTTGTACGATACCACTGGTTGCTAAATACGCATCAGAATCCAGATTTTTGGGACCGACCACTTCTACAATAGTTTATATATGAAAACTGACCCTATATTTGCTCTTATTATCCATCAAGTGTACATCGAGATATCGATCGATGTAGTCACTAAATTATCTATCCATCGGCAAGCGTGCCTTTGCCAACACCGAACGTTTTATTTTACGTGCAGTGTACACGGAGTCAAAGACAGTTGAGTTTTGTAACGAGGAACTGGATCATAGATCTGAACTCATAAAACTCTAAACTGAAGTAAAATGACTTACAAATCAACGTACTTATATACAAAATTTAAGTGCTTGAAATGAATGTGCTGAGTAATGATGTGTTAGAACGACGCAGTGTTTCTGAAATATGACGTAATGTAGAAAGAAAGATCTAGGCTTGAGGCAAGAGAAGCCGCGTTTATTAGAAAACAAACCAAACAAATAATAACGAATAGTTGGTATGCTTACTATTCGGAAGCCATTAAAGTTTTCATGTCACAGACGCGAACTCTGACAGAGACTGTGACATTGACATCCATTACCTGAACATATCTTTTGTGAACTTTAACGCATTTTTCAAAAAATCTTCGTTACATGTTTTTGGGAAAGGAAAACATTGTTTAAAGTCTGTTTTTATCTATTTTTTATCGTACTTTTCTTGTTATTTTTCATTTGACACGCTTTTCATTTTGTACTGAACAACGCCCTATAAAGTTCTTTAGAAAAAATACTGTTTCAAATGTTTTTCCATTTGAAGAGAACCCAAGGTTTATGTTTTGGTTGAGTAGATGTTACTCTTTTTTGGGAGGATTGACTTTTCTTAATGCTATCAAATTCACCGTAGGCCTACTTGAAACAAAATTACATGAATGGCAAAAATCAAGGTAATTGCTTTATTGATAGATATAACTGTTGTTTGTGCGTGCGGCTATAGTCTTTGAATATACACAACTTTTATTGTAATCTTCATGGCTATTGTGTTTCGTTGTACGCCGTTATATTGTGAGTATTAATTAGACCGTGCCCACCAAAGTTTAATCTTAGTAACGTGATCATAAATTGTTTGCTGCTTGCCTTTGATAGAAAGTCGATGCATTCCATGGTTTTGCGCACATTCATTGCAAATTTTATGGTTTGGAACGATTTCAAAGTTTGATGATCTAGTCTCTGGCTAAGATTTAGCCTTCATTTGTCAGTATTTGCGCATGAATATAATCTAATTTAAATGAAAATGTACAAGACCCATCTCCAACCAAGAATAACCAAGATAATGTTATCCGCGAATCACTTGCAGGGGAATTTGGATGGCATAAAATCAGCAGTACAGATTCGGAGAAGTTATCGTCAATGCTCCTTCAAAATTACTTTTTTCACACATATTAGACTCTTTTCGACAAAAAAAATTAATGCTGGAAATGGCCAGACTAACCTTTAGTTTCTGTCTTTTTTAGGAAAAATAAAGGGAGCGAAAGTGGTAGGTTATTTTTTTTCATTAGCTGTGGTCTCTTGTTGCGGATCTCGATGCTTTCAGAGCCTGCTAGAAATTTAAACGTGAACGTTTTCGCGCGTAATGCACTGTAGTCAGTGGCAGTTCCAGCCACTAGGTTTTGGGGATGATAAGATTTTGAAATGGAGAGCAAATAAAACGAGCCAAAACACAAATGCACAGAGTGGAGACCCAAATGGGATAATTTTTCAAACGCTAGCATTGATAGCTTCAGTGCATCTTTTTGTGGAACAGTTGTGAGGCTGCAAGACGTGGGCTACAATGATGAGCTTGAACTGTGTTTTATCTCATTTTCATATACATAACTATTTACATTATTAACGCTGTGACTGAAGAGTCTGTTGTAAACTCGATAACTCGCGAACTCGACTCAACTCAACTAACTGAAACTGCCACACCTATCTCGCATTAGCACGAAAGCGAGGTTGTGACGCACGCATGCCGAAATGGCATTATAACATGAACATTTTTGCATCGTTTGTACTTGTAGAAGGATGCATAAGAACCTTTCTAGGGGATAGCTTAACTTAAGTAATAAAGCAAGGCACAAAATGAGAACTGTAACATTGCCTCAATATATGCACTACTTTCTGAGTATTTTTTATGCTTGCCAAGGCAAAAACCAGCCAAGTGGTAATTGAAGTGAAGTTGTCTTGCCATTTATGTCAACCCATTCTGATATTCGTTGTTACCCTGTGTTGGTTTTCCCAATACCCTGATTACTATGAGCAACGAAATATTATAGCATTATGTGCGAATTAACATAATTCATGCATTTTATTTGCAGCATGGCACAAAATCAAGGGAAAGTTAAGACCTGGACACAGGTAGCCGCTGATGAGCTATTATCCAGAAGGTTTCTGTGTTAATTCTTATTTGGTTTTGAATCTTTTTCGTGCTCGAAGCAAAATTTATCACCATTGGTCAGTTATCCAAGCTGACTGAAGCTGCATAGTTGTATAAACCATTAAAATTGGCTATTTGAATAGAGGCTTATACTGAAAGTTTCTTTCAAGCTGATGTTTGAAATGTTATTAATTTAGACAAACTAAAATTAATTCTATATTTTCTAAAGATTTTTTAATCGCTTTAGCTCATTACGAATTGTCATAATGCAAATATGTAACGATCCACTGTAAAAAATACATTTTTTATAAGCCAATAAGTTGACTCAACTACTTTGTAGGAAGGTATTGCTGCGATAAATCAAAACATGCCAAATGATAGATTATTTATACTCACAAATCTTGGTCCTTCCAACATGCACTGTCATTTTTTCTGCATTTAGCAAACCTCTTTGAGATTCAGTATGGGAAACTCACTAAAAGTTCGTGGGTACAGCAACTGGGAATGAATTTAATTGCAGAAAATCATATTTAGATATGTCAAGATTTGCCTTAATCAGGGTGTTTATTATCATTTTTCTGCCAATTTTTACTTTTAAGATTTTGATTACCCTATCAACCTTGTTAAATTGTTTTTTATTTACATATTAATGAATACTTGAAAATGTTGTGTTTATGGCATTTAGGTATTTTATAAAGAATCGTTTACAGTGTGAACTATCATTTCAAGCTTTAAGCAATGAAAATGGAAGGTTGTACATTAATTACGTAAGATTTTTATTTGTTGAATAATGTTAAAATTTTCAGGTTTATAATATCAATGTATTGTCATGAATGAATATCTTTTTTTACGTATGACTAATTTCTATCTTTTTTATAATAATTATACCAGATAGATGGCAAGCTGTTAAAAATGTTTTCAAAATGTTAAAGACTCATTGCTAACAATGAGCCATTGCGCTATGCAAGCATAATGCATTTTCAGACAGTCTGAAATCAGTTCTGGTTAATCAGTTGAAGTTTACTGCCATTGTTTGGGTCGTCGCCAGGACAGTTTGTCGCGCTCGCAATGGCTCATTGTTAGCAATGAGTTTTTAAAAAGGTTTTCCAAAAAGACCAGTTGTTTTTCGAATGCTAAAATTCTCGTTCGTTGGCCTTTCGATGTTAGTGCTTCCCTTATCTTCCCGGTATAGATTATTTTGTTTTTGCAACCATAGGTAGCTAAATTTAATCAGATAAAGTTATGATATGCCAATGTAGAATGGTCTAAGAACTGTCACTGATACAATATTGAATCTGAAAATTGAATATTGAAATTTATTTTGAATCTTTTGTCTTTAAACATTTTTAGTATCATAAGGGTTGATGATCTAAGAAAGGCTTTACGAAAGTTTGTAAATGTATTAGGTGCTCTAAACGAAGTAAAAACTCTAAATAACTTTGCTAAACGTTCCTCTACGCAAAAATTAACTTTATTATAGCACTTCATAATGAATGCTTTAGGTAAATAATCACTAAGATTATAAAACTAGGGTAGGTAGTGCAAAAGAAAAAAGTTCCCATTTCTCCATCACCGATCAAGCTTGATAAGTGGCACAAATTAAGTCAACAGCAAGCTAACGTTTCATCCCCCTCCTCTCTGGGAGAGATGGAGTTAGATTTAGCCGGACCAATGTATGCCTAACTTGTTTATCATCCCCGTGTACCATGTTAAAATGAAACATACACTATAAAAGAAAATTCTGGTTCTATATTTTCAGTCAAAGTTGTGACCGCTTGATTCTTGTTAACCAAAACAACTGTTAGCATATAAAGAGAAGAAATACATTAAGCACAAACAATTACAGGCGACGAAGAACAACACATTTTAAGGAAGAGTGACTCTTGGTTCGGAAAAAAAATTAAATGAATTAAAACCGAGTGAGTTCCTTAAATATATTGAAAATATGATAAGATTACCTAGTATGGCTACGCGGGAACCCTGAATGAGGGTCTGAGTTTAAAAGCTTAGTTGTTTCGAGGGTATAAATAATTAAAGAGCTGTGTTGACGGTAAGGGGCGGGTGCGATAAAGTGAGGTGCATTTTGTGAAATAAAATGGTATCCTTTGGTATTTAAGCAACTGTACTGTTTCTTGTTGTAACTTTCTTTGTCAGAAACCTTGGCTTCACACAAGAATCGACTTTTTGTCATCTATCTGCCATTATACCGCTGTCTATTCCTTCAGGTTTTCATTCAATCAAATTAGGTTATGCTTTATATGGCAGGGTTCGAATTTTGATGCCCTTGGGTTTTCTGCACCAATAGATGTTGTGCTTAGTGTAACAATGCTCGAGTAAGCGTTGCATTCCATATTTGAAAATGCCATAGAATCAAGCATGCAAGCGTGATTAGCCTTAAGGATAAAAACTTCACGCTGGTATAGTTTATTCCTCTCATGGTGTAAGACTTATGGAGTTGGACTGTTGGAGGTTAGCGAGGTTCGTTTCATAACAATCCTTAAAATTCAATCCAATCTAGGTAATACAAGGTTTCTTAACTTGGCGTACAGACATCCTATTTCTTTTTTAATCAATAAGTAAATTACTTGATGGCTTTAGAATTTTTGCATGAACAAGGTGCAGAAGTCGAAGGAGGAAGGCCATTGTTCTCTTCTCAACCCGTAGAAATCTTTGGGTTTATTGTGTGGCTGTCTTCGTACTAACAACTCCAAAATGTTCTGAATGGTAAGAGAACACCATCCACATTATTGTTTTCAAAAAGGTCGACTATTCTGAGGGCAATCTTACCTTAATTTTCTACCACAACTTCAATAAAAGTGGGCTAGGTGGGCTGTAGCTCCCCCCCCACGTTTTCGCTAAAGTGTGATATCAAGGGTGTGGTATCAAAGATAATGGTGGAAAACTACGTAAGGAGCCCCAAATTTTCTAAGCCCCCGTCCTCTGCTCTAAACTGTGCGTCTCTGTAAAACATTCTAAGAGCAACATTGTTTTCGTAAGGATTTGACCTAGAGTCTCTATTTTAACCCTAAGTAACTTTCCTCTGTTTTTGGTCTAGGTTAAGGGTCTGGAGCACAGGCTACCCCCTCGCCTCTTCCCACGAAATATTTCGCCCCAATATTTTAGGTTACACTTTACCTCTTTGGAGGAGCTCTCGTGTCTCCAAGCCATTATCAGTGACGGCATCACGTGAAGAGTTGCTTAGGCCAGTGGATTTGCAATTTCAACGACGTTAGTAATTAAATTGATGGATTTTGTACTGAGCTGTGTAGTTAAGTACTGAAACATTATGAGTGTCGAAAAGGAAAACTCTTCTATTAATAGGCGTAATTTTGGAACAGATGTATTGCAAGGAAAAATGCCATCTTTGGATCTAAACGACGGTTTTCTTGATAAACATAAACACGAAGAAAACGACAATGAAAACAGTTTGTCAAACCCAGCTTCGTACTGCGAAGATGACGAATCTGTCAAACGAATTGGCCTGTCAAAGAAGAGATGGATTGTTTTGTTTATATTTTCTCAAGTAACGATGGCTAATGCAGCAATATGGATTACAATACCATCAATAAACAACATTGTTCGGGCTTATTACGGGGTCAGTGATATCGTCGTAGACTGGTTTTCTATGTCCTTTCTTCTTAGCTACGCAATTTTCGCTCTCCCCGCGTCAGCATTCATGGAAAGATTTGGTGTAAAATCTTGCATTGTTACAGCTGCAACTTTAAATGCAGCTGGATCCTGCTTAAGGTACTCCGGTATTGACCGAAGCCGGTTCGTTTTTGTTGCTATTGGTCAAATGGTTGCTGCGGTCGGATCTGCATTTGTTTTGCAAGTGCCCCCAAAACTTGCCGCCGTTTGGTTTGGGGAACACGAAAGGGCCACAGCCACTTCAATTGGTGTACTGATGAACCTGTTTGGTGTGGCAGTAGGATTTATTCAGCCAACCAGCATTGTAGAAGATTCGGTCAATATGGAGGTTGTTCATAATGGACTTTACATTTTATTATCCTCGCAAGCCTGGTTCTGTATAGCTACTCTAGTACTAACATACATTTTTGTTGAAGAAAAGCCACAGCTACCCCCTTCAAAATCGGAAGCATTGAGAGATCAAACTTCTGGGGTATATGAACACCTTTCTGTAAGCACTTCTTTGAAGATGCTTTTCAGAAGCAAAGATTTTAATCTGACATCTCAGGCATATGGAATTATATTTGGCATGCTGACTTGTATTTCAACATTGCTAAACCAAACTGTAAAATTAAACTACGAAAGTGTGTCAGATTTCAAGATTGGCATGATGGGCTTCGCCGGGACTTTACTTGGAACTGGTGCAACATTTCTGGTTGGGCTCCTCCTTGATCGATATGAGTTGTATAAGAAAGTAGGGATTGCATTGACAATGTCCGCAGTGCTGGCTATGGCAGCATTTTCAATTCTCTTACTCCACTTTCAGAATTTTATTGCCCTGTTTGCAACATTCTGTGTTTCACAGTTTGTGATGTTACCCTTTCTTAGCAGTGGTTTGGCACAAGTTGCTGAAATCACTTATCCAGTGTCTGAAGAGTTATCATCCACCATCCCACTGATTTTGGGAAACTTTTATGGATTTTTAGCTGTTTATATTTTTGGTTGGCTAATTGGAAATGGCCTTGTCCAGCTTGCTTATACCATAATTACTGGTCTCATAGCAGTGGCACTGCTGCTTATCATACTTGCAAAGGTTCCAATGAAAAGGACATCTGCAGAACACTAAATTTAGAATAACTTCTTTCTTTACAAGACTTGGATATATTGCCCTGGATCAAATCCTCCCACGGCAGCTCTCGATTTCACTATCACTAACTTTTCAAATAGAACTCAATTTTTAACATTCTCAATTTATCAAAATGATTCAATTATTAAAAGCTTTAATTAAAAATTTTATTTGAAGAAAAAATATTAGTAGTTCTTTGGAATCAAAGAGCAATATAGAAGGTGCTTTGATTCTGTAGAAAATCTGAAAGTTTAGATTCACCTTTGGTCTATTTTGATACATTTTGATAAAATACGAAAATTAATTCCACCTTTGTTAGGGTTATTTATACTATGTAATATTGTAATAACAGGGATCTGAATGGAAAAGGGGCAATGTCTAAAGGGCCTGCAGGAAAAAAGAGGCAATAAACATATAAATGTGCAATATTGTGTAGATATGAAAATGTTAGGAAGCATACTTGGGAAAGAAATATAATGAAATGAAACTGGCTCAGAATTCAATTGAATTTTGCAGGCATTCATTGCAGAAAAATGAAAGAATTCTGTCCTGTCTTAAAAAATGCACTGCACAGAAAATCATTTAAGCAGATTGTTATAACTCTTTTGGATCATTGTTTCCAGTTCTTTCTCTTTGGTACAATTTGCATGAAGTAACACAACAATGGCAACAAAACATTGTTATATCAGGGTTATAATCAATATTACTTTTCTTATTCTTTCAATAATTTTATTTGATGTTCCATTGGGAAATTTGTTTTGATATCATTTCCTTGAATAAATGTTACTTATTATAAATGAAAGAATTCATAGATATTTATAATCTTTAACTCATTTTATTTGATAGAAAATAATCAATACTGTCATTTTTCTCTAAATTTTTCTTCCACTGCTTCAGGATTTTCTAAGAACGCAGTAAATGTTCTTCACAGGTCTCTTGTAAACAACATTTCCAGTGTTGTTTGTTGTGAAGCAACACAAAGAGAGACATTTATGGGAGTAAGGTGCTGCACTTTCTCCAGCTGTTCAACTGTTGTGTTTGGAAATGTTCTTGTGACTTGTTCCATTTCAACTGATTTGCTGCTGATCTTCAATGAAGTCTACTGTTGGTTTCTTTTTTGCTGCTCTTCCAGCTCTGCTGCATTTATATGTCACTTGTGTATGGTATATTTGAAAACAATTGTGAAAACATTGACGATTGTTTCCATCAATTTTTTTGGTCTTCTTCCCAGTATTTGTTCAGGTGATGATGTCATCAATATAGAGGCTTTTCTGAAATTTCTTCAACGTCTGCAGGTTTTATTTGCTTCCACTCATCCAAGTACATTTTCTCTTGTTCCACCGACTGAAAAAAGGTATTGGAAAAAGGCCAAGATTCCCATGCAAATCAGTAGATTCATACTTGAGGCGGGTCTTTATTCATGATCCAATATAGACATAGGGACTTTCGATCTTCTACTCGTAAACAGACTGGAAGGAGTGCTTTTCTCGCATCTTGTGCCAGCACCACAGGCTTGGGATGATTTTATTGAAGTGCACTCAAAATCAAGTTTTTAAGAGATGGACCTTCCCCAGGCATTCATTCAAAGAAGGACTTTTCTTGATTGCTTTTCCTGTTACAGCAAAGAAAAATTTCATTTTTGTGTCTCTGGAGACTTTCCTATTAAAGGTTTTGGGGATGTATAACACTACCCTTTGGCTCGTCCGTCACTTCTATGATTTCCGTTCGTCTATGATTTGTTGTTAAAGTTGCTCCCGGATATTGAACTAACTGTGGTGGATTCCCTTTTCAGTCTTCTCAGCAGATTCTTCAATCCTCTAAGATTTCCACTCTTGTTGTCCTGTCCATTATGTAGATACAGTTTTTCACAGTAAAGGCCGGTTTCCACTTGATTCCCTTTGGTCGCGCGACTGAGCGAGTGGACATTGGAGCATGTTCAAATTGAACTTCCGCATTTTCTGCAAATGCGCGACCATTCGCCGAGTAGTTCAACTCAGTTGAACTACTGAGCGACTGGTCGCGTTCGCTGATTCGCTGATCTGTTGATTCGATTTCGCCAAGTCGCGTGACCAGGGCGAATATAGTGGAAACCGGCCTGAAGCCGGTCTCGCAGCTCGTAGGTAGCTCAAGTTATCTGCCCTGATCATCCATAATAACGTTATTGTGGTGTTTGTTGTTCAGTGATGTGTTTGTACTGTGGATGAGGAACGGAAGCAAGACTGCTTTATATTTGTGAGCAACCATTTCAGAGTCATATCGAAGCATTAACCTTCTTACTCGTCGTGTGTATCATCATGTAAACTTGTTTGGTATTTTTCGGTTTGAAAGCTGCTTACAATAGACAACTATCAGAGATGCTTTCACGTAATTCTTATGTTGAGCCTCAATATCGCAGCTTAAACTCTCGGCCTCCCCTTATTACGTTTTACCAGTATTCCTAGATATCGATAGTGGTGATGATCTAGCAAAGATTTTTTCCCAATGTTCAAAGGTACCTATTTAAGTTATACTTCAAATCGGTAGTAGATTCTTGTAGATTTATAAATTTTCGACTCAAATCAAAAAAATTACTTTCGTCATCCCCCATGAATTGGAGTATTGCCCTAGTGGGAATTATATTCTTTTTTGTAACAACCAGATGAGTTTTTCCGAGGCTCGATTCTCTAGCTTTTTGGAGTTTTTCTTTATCTACATGCTATAAAATGTTTCAGACTGCCAAACAACAGTTTTGCAAGCCATTTTTAGTTGCATGGTTGATTTGCTACAGAATCCCTCTTTTTTCCTTTTTTTACATCTGGGGCTGGAAACGTTCTTACGTTTCTCTAATTTTTTGGAAAATTGAGCCTTAGTGTTACGAAATGAATGTATTTTAACCGTGTTGTTACTTGTACTTCAATCATACTCGTTACGATTGAAGCAAAGTCTTTGATTGAAGCAACGACATTCTATTGTTCAATCAAATTCCTTCCGCATTAATACCATATAGAGAAGAGATATGATTGATAACAGTACCACCATCAAGTTACGGGTTCCGCATGCTATTGTTCTTCGCCTACGATTATGCAGCACTATTGCTCAACGCTCTGCGACCAATAAAGGAGAATGAACAAAACAGAAGGAATAGTTCTATGCTCTGTGATGGGTAACATTGCCAAATAAATTATTTCTGCCGGAATAATAAAACCGAGCAATGTTCCCGTACGATAAATTCAGTTCAAGATCAACAAGAGGAAAACAAACTGGTTATAATTCCAAGGTTCTCTCAATCAGTGGTATTTGTAAACAATGAATCTTCAATCTAGATTCCAACATAACCGATTACTAAACAATATCCATATATTCGCGAAACAAAATCAACTTTTATTCAATACACGCGTTCGTGTTCCAATCGATCAACAAAACCATCTGCATTCAAGCAATCCAACAATTAAAGTCCTATCAATCAAAAGTCCCATCAACGAAAGTCCCCCAACCTCGAATAAATCCCTTTATATACATCACGGAAATAAACTAAACAATACTCATTATTTACAATGTGTCCTCCGCAGAGTCTTCATGTTTTCTAACACTCTGTTAGTTCAATGCCCTATTAATATAAATCAAAATAACTAAAGCATTTTCTAGGCTAGTTAGGTAGCTTTTGTAAAAGACACTGCATTGAGGTAACGCCCTACGATCCCGGGGGGTAATCCATGGCCTGCACACGAGAATGCATCAAAGTTCTGGACCAAAAGGATCTGGGAAGGGGTACGCTGTTTCTGGAAGTTTTAGGGGTTTGGGCTTTGTTTCTGCTGAGAAATCTAGTACTTTTTTGTTCAAGGTCATGTTTGATATTAAATATTGCATATTTCCCGGTAACGTTCGCTCTATAACAAACTCTGCATATGTTCATTGCCTATAAAATTACACAAAACCTTTAAAGGAGACATTTAGTGAAGAACTTTGAGACAGTCTCAATTTGAGAACATGTCATAGCTTCTTATTCGAAACTCTATGATTTGGATATTATTCCTATTCCAAATTTAATTTCAGATGATTTCGTGTGAAATGGCACCTGATAACACACACCAATCCAGTCTGTTAGAATTCCTCTCAAAGTTGAAGCGAACTTGGAGTAAGAAGTACGAATGCAGCTTTGCTCAAAATTTTCGCGTGAATAGCAAATCAAACGCATTTAAGGAGGTAAGATCAACAGAAGTTAACAACGCTCTTTTCAAAAGACACTCGGCACTATATTAGACCTTACATGATTGTTAAGGAATCGTAAAGTAACAATTCTGATTGCAAAAAAGCCATACAGCGTTAGGACAACTAAAACAAACAACATCGGGTACAAACATCAACAGATATGGTTGGAGCTTACCGACTGACCGCAGTACAACAAACATGAAAGTTATATGGCTCTATATGGTTTGAGTGAAGGAAACTCTTTAGCAAAAACCTTGGTTTATTAGCATATAGCCAGTTGGAAATTTTGTACCCTTCACCATCCCAAAAATGTCCGTTAACTGACGCTCCTGCTCCTTTGTTAGGTGTGTCAGATGTTCAAACAACTAAAATCTTGCAGCATTTTACCCAAGTGACAGAATGTCATAGCAACTACGGGGATTCGCAAAAAGGACCAATTGTGACTGCGGACGAAAATCAATAAATAGATGCAAGATGCGCGCTCGGAAGAAAGTAATAAACTCAATTCTTATGAAATCACTCAGCAAAGCTACTTCACCTGCACCAAGTCGCTTGGCAACGAGACGTGTTGCAAAAATTATGGAAGTAATATTTAATGCATGCAAAAAAGCTACGAAATATAAACTACCAGTGCCATACCAGTGCTGGATATGGGGTTGTCAGGTAAGTCTTGCTGACTGCATGTGCCATTCATCTCTTTATAAATATTCTTTATGTTTAAAGAATTTTAAGGTAAGTTCCTTTTCTGCTACTTTTTCAGAGACGGTGCCTTGAAATTTAATCGGGAGAGGCCCACCATGGTTGGTTCAGACTTCTAGAATGGCTAAAAAAGCATCTCCTTGACAAAAATTTAGCAAAATACTAGACCGCTCAGAAAAGACAAATCGTTGTTTCTCAAAAACACTATTTATTGTTTATTGTGAAAAGCTGGGTTTGGGAGGAGTCATGCTAAACATTAGTGACAGACGTCGAGGAGAGAAAGGAAGGGTGACCTTTAGTTCAGAGTGCGCATCGATGGAATAGACAATTAAAAGAAATATAGTTAAATAAGTTAGTTGAAAGATCACATGAAATCAATCAGTAAACAGACAGTCTACTTTTCCCTTTGTATTTCATACTCTGTTGAACAGGGGTTATTCTAAGAAAAATTTACAACACCACAAATTCAATTACTGGTATTTTTTCATTAAACTTTTTAACTTTACTGTTGAGAAAAAACCAAAAACAACGGTAGTATAAGAGCCTCTGACCTCATACCCCGGGTGCCACAAAATTTGGAGAACGGAGAGGAAAACCAAGCGGAGAAGCGGAAGAGCATTTAGCTTAGAGGAAGAAAAAGAAGCTTTTCGTTCCACTCAGATGGATCCAATGGATGGATCTGGCACCCAGGATTCTCAGATAGATGCTCCTCCGCTTCACCGCTCCTAACTTCTGTTTACCCGTTCGAAATTTTGTGGCTCTGGCACCCAGGGTACTGACCTCAAAAATAAGGTTTCTTTTACTTCAGTGTAAGCATTGGCGTTGTAGACTGTAAATTTTGAGGGGATATGGAGGATGGTGTAGTTTTACCTAAATAAATAAGCAAAACTAAAAAGGCCGTAGAACTTGCCCCGAATAACAGGGCACAGCCCCCTAGATTCTATGCACATGAGTGGTAAGAAATTGAGAAAAATTAAGACCTTGTTAGACTAATGAACATACAGGCACCCATTGAAAAGTGCACAATAGAATATGCTTTGATCTAGACGTTACCGAACTGGCATTACAGCATCAAAATGTGTTCAAAATACGAATCCGCAATGAAAAATATAAAACTGGCATATTTGGTTATGCCTCTCAACATCAATAAACATGAATGTCCGTATCTTTTGCAAGCATTGGCCAGGGTGCTAGCTGCAGTTCCAAACTCATGGGATGTTAGGAGGCTAATGAGTGCATGCAATTGAAATTTATTCACGTGAATTAGAATCATCACTGTATCATTATATGTACCACACGAACTCTGTACTTGCATGTGCATTTTAATTTGCCAGTGCTCGAAATGTGGAACCCTTATCCCCTGCGGGGTTTACCGGGGTTAGAAAAATCACTGGGATGTGCCTTCCGCAATAATCTTTTTGACCCTGTCATGAAAAAAGTCTCTATAAACATGAGACCTATATTGCAATAACAGCCTCAATTCCAAATTTGTGGGGGTGTGACACCCCCCAATCTTTCACCCAGTTGGAAAATTTGAGGACAGTCGGATAATTTAAAGCTGTTGGTAGAAAGCTAGGTTAATCGGGAAAAAATTTGAATCATTTGTGAAGTTTGAAGTTTTGACTCAAATGACCTTGTGAACTGTAGCTCAAAGAGAAGCATAAGAAAGGTATAAGTTCAAAAGAAATAGTTGTATGGTCAAAGGCAGTCCTAAAAAGAATGAGAGGTGACGCAATACAGAAAAAACGAACTTTTGTATGAGAATGCAAGTATTTTCAACTACATTCGTCGCAATGGGGATAGTGTGATAATAATTCCATCAAATTGCTTCTAAAAACGGGATACTAAATATTATTCTTTAGATAATAATTAACAGTAATGCTTAAAGAAGCGCAGTACATTTCCCATGACTTGTCAAGAACGTTCTCCGTTCGCGATCGACCGATGTAACATAGGCGGCACCAGGTGGAGAGCTGGGGTTTTCAGCCCCCCCCCCACTTTTTTGCAATAATGTATTTTTAAGCAAATAAAAAGAGTAAAGGAAAAAGTATAAAGAAAAGAATAATCCGACAAATCATTTAGTCGCTTAATTTCCAAGGAATACGCCGAGGTCTATGGCGCCCCATAATGAATTCAGTTTAAAGACTTGAATTAATCAAACATTATGTGAGCATGCCTTGAAAATAACAAAATGTTTTAAACGATTGCAAGAAAATACCTGCAAGAAATATTCTGAAATGTATTTTAAGCTAATCTAAGAAGCGTGGTCGTAACAATTTTCTGCTCGACCTTCCAAATTTACGAAATCTAGAAACTTTATCATACAGCTGAATAATTATTTACGAGACTTCGACTTCGAAGATGCTAGGAATGTCATGAAGAAATGAATATATGCTATTTTGTGAAGAATTTTTGTTGTAAAGAGAGATTTATCCTAATCTTGATGATATATCCAACTCTCGATAATATTTTATAAGTCTTCATAAGATTCTATCCTGTCTTGAAATTTTGGCTCATTTGGCACCCCATTCGTAGGGGTCAGTCACAAAAAGCTACATATGACTGTTGTGTTTGATTAGCAAACCATTGCCACGTAGAAAAAGCCATAGCTTTTCCAAACGTATTTCACGATGCTTTTTTAGGTTCTGGGATCAAAATTGAAAAATTCTAAAAATATATTTTAAGACGTCATCACTTCGGTACTCTATGTAACTAACCTAACCCCCTGACGTTCTTCACAGAATTTAAAGTCAGTTCATTGTAATTCCTTTTGTGCAAAAGAGGAAGTATGATTTCGGGACAATACCAATGGCAAGTGGGTTCTTGGAAGGTGCACATATTCGTTCGCAGGCTAACTTGAAACTCGGTATGTATTTGATAAGTTTCATTCTACCTTAATTCATCTAGATGTTTTTCAATAGATGTTGTTTGTGGTTGGCCCCCTCCCCTATATGCCATTTAGTTTGGAGCACGTTTGGTAGTGTGAAAAGGGAAGTACTCTAACATTTATGTAAAAGAGTATACGGCCTCTGTGATTTGTTAGTTACACATCCCTTGCTGCCATTTCATAATTTCTGCTGTTTACGAGAGAGTCACAGTCGTCGATACTTTGGTGTGAACCTTTTTAACCTGCTTGTAGTTCTCGGTAAAATTGGCAGTACCTGAGGGTGAAACTCGAGTGCTTATTTCCGGGAGACCTTTGGCGCTGGGTATAGGATTTTGGTGCAAAGTTTTGACATGGAGCAAGTGCTTCGTTTCGATTGACTTTGGCTCGGAGTTTTTTCAGTCACGATGTCATCTCGCTACGTAAAGCTCATTAATCAGTCAATATCTTGTTATTGTTACGTAGCCATTCTCAGTATCGCTCAATGGGTTTAAGCACATGCGAGGTATATATGATTTTGCGCAGAAAGAATTAGACCACGGCGTACCTGATATTTTTCGGCGCACAGTGACCGAAGATAGAGTTATAAAGAGTTACACACTGAAGATCGCAACTCAATTCATTGCACAGTCGTTTTGCACTGGCTCACAGGGAGAGCCTTAACGCAGTTTTTGCGCATGAATCCATGGACCTTTTCTGGCTCTCGCCCTGTTCAAGGGCCGCAGAGAAGATAGAATTTTGCACAATTATAGTTTAGTCCAGGACCAACTGGTTAGAATTGTTGGGGAGGCTGTTAGCTGTTTATGCCGTTCTACACACCCCCTACACCCCCTCATTTATGCCGTTCATATCTTTCAAGAAAAATTGCAGAAGTCTACAATGAAATGACTCGTCAATTCTCGCAACAAACAATGATTTCAAATATTTCTTTTTCACGTAATGTTTGAAATCTATCAATTCGACTTCAGCAACAGCGTTTTCGCAATTAATCGGGCCAAGAAACTTTTAACTAAGAACAAATTTAAGGCGACTGGGCCTTTGTGATCTGTATTTTGTACTATTACCCCCTGCTAATTGGTCAAGGTCCATGATTTGTTGTTATGTCGTTGCCATGGCACGTAGAATTGAAATTTAAGCTTTAACACAGAATATAGAAAAGTTTCATTTCTGTGGCCTTTATTTGCATCGGTCCAATAAGTCGGTTGTCTTAGTAAAGACTGCACCACGCAGGACCGTAAATTCGAGGTGGGGAATGGCAGGGGGACCGGACTTCCCCACAAAAATGGGAACAAAATTACACTCATTTTTTTATAAGAAACAAAGGTCGATGTTGAGCAGGGCCGGATACAGAATAAAAGTTGACGGTCGCACATCAACACTGCCCAGCGAGGCTGTCTAGGGGGCCTCCCTCATAGTCAAGGACGGAACCATGATGGGGGCCCCCCAGAACCAGAGCAATTAGGCCCTGAAACGTTCAAATTGTTCAGTCAAACATTTTACCTTTTACAAGGTTTTCCAAATTTTCCAGCAAATCCAACACGCAGTTGAAACAAAATATCTTGAGATTCAGAAGTGTACACTTCCTGTGCACCTCTTCCGTATACGTAGATAAAGAAAATTGGGACTTTTTCTTTCACAACTTTCAACCTCATCCACTTTCTTCCCTTGCCAGCAGTTGTGCGGCACAGTAATTGCCCGCAACTCGCGCGCGATAGCGCGCGAGTGAAGGGCTTATAGTCTGCCCCGCGTATAAGTAGCATATGGAAGCTTCAGTTCATGTTGTCAGCACTTTTTCAGCAGATTTTGTCACTTTTCTGCTGCCATGACAACTGTCAATCAATTTCATTGTCAATCAATCGGCTTTGTCGAGGAGGTCGTTAACCGCCACCTCTTTGTGCGGAAGGGAATTATCTTCGGAGCGTTGCTCTGCCAAGACTCTGTTAAAGGCCTTCGGTTTTTTGGCACGAAAACGGTGCTGCATCACAGCTCTGTTCTCCGCAATGGATTGAAGTTTTGATTCGAAGTTTTGGGAATCAAAACCAGTCGAATGCCACACTTTTCTCCCAAAAACTCGGGACCGTACGAGCAAAAGTTATGATTATCGTGATTATCGAAAAATAAATGTCAAACCCTCGAAAAACTTCATGATTTTCAAAAGGGCGTTGGACTTAAATCAAAGGCAAACTGAACACCAAAAATTCTTGATAAAAAGAATAGTTTAGCATCAACTAGAGCAGCTGTTTTTATAGAATTGTGAAAACCCAAGATGGTGTCTTCTTCGAATATCCTGACCTACATTTTCAAAACAATCATTATCAAGGAACTAATTGTTTGCGGGCAGTACTAGCAAGAGCTATTTCTAGTCTAACATAGTGTTTACAGACTTTTCGTGCCGCACAAATATGTGAAAACTTGAATTTTGATTGGTGAGATTTGGTAAAATATTTTCATAACAAAGAGCCCTGCATATTTGTGCGGCACGGGCGACATGCTTAAAGTGATTATTATGTAAAGAGAGCAAAATGTATTATCTGTTAAGAGGAGAATAAAAGATTGTGGTAAACATGATTGTCTTATTTCAATGACTGAAGACCAAAACTAAATTCTGAAAATCTGACGGTCTTCCGTGCGACCTGTGCGACACCCTGAATCCGCCCTGATGTTGAGTACTCCAGTTTCTTAATGTTCTGGAAATTTCAATAGTCATTGTTTCTTAAGAGTTTCTTAATTATGATGTCATGACTTTTATATTGGGTTCCCGATGAAATGTTCGTGACCTTTTTTATCCAATTAAGAGATTCGCTTCTGGGAAGTATATTGTTATCACTTGTGTCGTAAGTTGTAGGCCAACACAACAGGGCAATCATGTTTCATGGATTTTCCAAAATCCAAGTTCTCAGTTTTATCACGATTTAATAATTTCTTTATTTTTTTTGCTTCGAGTACTGAAGTTTCTTAATTTTTTCTGACTGTCCAGTACTCTTTTCTTATAGCCAGTTTCTTAGGAAAAATTAGTGTATTTTGTATGAGACGTTAATGTTTTTATTTTTCAAAGTAATGGGAACCCTGCTTTTACCACTGCGTCATGGTGTAAAGTTCTTTTGGTGTAAATCTCTAAAAGAACCAGTAAATTTAGGTTCAGGCTGGCGCTGACTGTTCTTATAATCTGAGGCTGGATTGTTCTTAATTTAATATGATGTAAGCAGTGATTCTTTAATTAATATGATGTAAGCAGTGATTCTTTAATTAATATGATGCAAGCAGTGATTTTCACAAAAAGTGTACGAGATTTTCTTGGAGTGATTTTCCCCTCGGGTATTCAGGCCTGATTTGACAACAAAGTGAATGAGACAACGCTTTGTGATAAAACGTTGTTCAAAAGGTGCATTTTGCGTAGCTCAACCTCAGTTTGTAAGTCTAGGCCTTGCCATTTTTAGCACTAGGAAAAGCCCTTTTACCAACAAGGAACGCCAATTTTACCTGAAGGGAACGCCCATGACTAACTTTTGGTTACGTAGGATTACATTCACAAAAAGATACGTTGCCAAAAAAATCACCCCTCCCCCAACATTTTCTCATCGAATTAAGACGGAATACAAAATTGGTCCTGCCGAGAACTGGGGGGAGGGGTGTGCCCCCTGTCCCTATCATGGCGCCGCTACTGCATTTGGAAACACTATATTAACTCACCTCATGGTTTGTTCCAAAAATCTCAACAAATCTGTTAAAAAAGAATCGTTTAAGTCCTCATGAATCTGGCCACACACCCACGCTATTCCAGGTAAATATATAAAAGTTTCGTAAAGTCTTAAGAATGCCAAGGAACAAGGTCAAGTTTCTCTGTAAATGCCTTCAGTCAATTTGAAAATTCTAGTAAATCTGTAATCTCATTCTCATACAATTGTTTTTCGAGTTGTTATGTCCAAAAACCTGCCATAAATTGCTTTGTGGTGTTATGACCCACGGCATACTCTTTATTCATTCGCTCTGCTGACCAATTGATATTTTCCATTCTTTTTCCTTTCCTTTTATTTCTACTTGTCTTCATTTTCCCTCTTCTTTTTTCAGCTTTCATTCACTTCCCAATCGAATATTTCGCAGGGTACAAAAAAAAAATATTGTATTTTTTTATAAGAAACTAAGGTCCGGTGCTGTAGGCAGTTTCTTAAATTTTCTGGCCATTTTGCTATCAAAAGTTTCTTCCATGTTTCTTAAATTTCTTAGGTAATTGTTTTTTTAAACGTGATGACAAATGTACATCGGTAAAGCCATTACGGACTGCAGGGCACCACATTGGTAAAATCAGGGATGTGCGGGCAAAAACCTTTTTCAGACCTCAGAAATTATTGGTCTAGTAAAGCCCCTGAACATCATAGGGGGAAATGGTAAGAATGTATACCCTTGTAGCAGTACAGTTCTACCAAACTCTATTATATACATTCATGAGTAGATTCTTAAACTTATTCTCTCTGTCTTGCAGTTGATTGGAAAAAATGCCGAGCTTATTCAAATTCGGAGACAAAGAGGTAAATCCGTCAGTTGGATTTCAAACAGGATCAACACATAAGCAATCTAATGTTCGAAGATGGCGTTGGATTATCGGATTCGGAATCTTTATAGTAATCGTTGTAGCTATTGCATTATTGGTTTATTTCTTGTTGAAAAAAGAAACTGGACCATCACTGTCTCCTGAGTTCCAAGGTGAACATTTTCTACGTTTTAGCATATTTTATTTGCTAATTAAAGGTATGCCGTGTTGTGAAAAAGTAGGTTTTGTTTAAATCAACTGCCGGTAATTTGCTGTTTTTGCTCCTCCGTCAGTGCTGCTGTGAAACATGGATTTTTCTTACCTATAGTATTTGTTACGTAAAGACCATATTTAAGCCTGAAATATTAGGCCGCCGGAAAGTTGAAGATATTTCTTGATATTATTGGCTAATTTTTGGGGGGTTGTCAGAGTCTAATATGAATGACCATATAATCCTTGCCCTAGATTGTATCAAGTTTTATAGAAATTAGTTTAACAAAGACTGTGGTTTATCTGAATTTAGTTTTCATAAATCTATTTTATTTTTAATAACTGAAAATCAGTCTGGTTTTTTTTGCTCAACAGAACTGGAAGGTGACATGAAAAGCAGCGTTGACCCATGTAATGATTTCTACGAATATTCTTGCGGAAAATACATCGACCGTTACTTGCCCAACAGATTTACCAGTCAAAATGTCTACCGAGATAAATTTGCCATCTTACAAGAAGAAAATATCAAGAAAGCAAAAGCAACCATGGAGTCTATGTCTAAAACAAAGGATCCTTTCTTCAAAAAGGCATATTCATATTACCAATCATGCATGACTGGGAGCAGACTTTTCAATGTCTACGTAACCTCTGCACAGCAAATCGGTGGTTCGGATATTACCACGTTTGGAAACTTCGACCTTTCTCGATGGAATCTTGAAAATGCAATCAAAGATCTTATAACAAAGTTCAATGCAAACCCACTGTTTTCAGTGAAAATACGGGCCGATTTGTTTAATACTTCAAGGAATATTATAATGGTATGCAAGCTATATCTTGCTTTCTTATATGCTAATTGTGAGAATCAGCACCCATGAAGTTCTTTAAAATGTTAAATCTCACACAAAAGTCTTGAAAGGAAAAAAAGACGGGACCACTTTTTTCCAGCAGATATGATGAAATATCTTGATTTAGTGAATTGAATTTGAAATGAAAAAACAAACGGGAACGGGAATCTTAAAAATGGCATTGAAATCCGAATTCTTTGGACTCTGAAAGGTATTTGTGGGTCTAGACACGAAGGCTAAACCTTTTGTATTGCTGCAGTGTAAACTAGCTTTCCAAAAAATTCTGATACACAATTTTGCATTCTGCTTTCGATTACTTTGTAGCTGATTTATCTTTTTGCAGATAGACCCACCCGATTTCAAGACGCTGTCGAAACTTGCCTCTGAGGAAGAGATGGTTTGCAATTTAGATATAGCATTTATTGTAACATTCGACGGCCAGACTAGTCAAGCTTTTAACTTTTTACGTTATGATACAGTTTTAGTTTAAAGCTACAGTCAGCTTCATTTCATATGGCAGATATGTAAACAAAAATTGCGTTTTCTGTAATGGTTCTATTAGAACTAGTGATGTCACCATTTATTGAAATGTTACTTTTCAATTTTCCCTTTGCTTTAATGTTCAAGGGCTTTGCTGGATATGCAGTATCTCAAATTGTGAACCGTTTTCATATATTGACAGAAGCCTTGCTTTTCATGATAAACTTGGTAGCAGATGGTGTCGGTGTCAGAGTTCTGAGATGACTTCCTGTTTTATTTTTAGGGATATTTTCCTGGTACATATAGTGATGAAGTCCTCGAAGAAGACATGGATACTATTTCATTGGTGAGTTATATTTCCTTTCATTTCTTGGATAATGTATTTCTTGGGTAACTGTCCTGACGCTTTGAGGAAAATTCTCAAAATCCATGGAGGGAAACAAATGGAAGCGTTTACATTTCTCAATATTTTTATTTCTCAATATATATTAATCGCAACGTAATTAGACTGATGGATGGCGAGCTTAAAATTGAGACACCAAAACTGAAACTGCTAGAACTTTTGAAAAAATGATCAAGGGAACTTGCAGTGTCGGTGTCAATCAAAGGATCAGTGGTGTAGCTCAAAAAGAACTTGAATCGATTTGGTGTACAATTTGAAATTCTTTGTTGTACAATTCGAAGCGGAAAGATAAGCTTGGGATTTATTTGTTAACGATGAAAGTGGATCAGACACTGAAAATGACATTTGGTACGTAATGTGTCTAGTAACAGGAAAAAATGTTTGAAAAATATATACCCAATTGTGGATCGAAATAGGTCAACAAGAAAAACGCAAGCACATGACCGGCATAGTTGTCCAATCAGTGCCGCATGCCTAAAGAAAAATACCACTGGAGTTCAAGAGAGAGAGAGAGAACTCCTTCTGTCTACACAATAGCGGCTTTTTGATAAATTTTATAACTATAAACAATGTTTGCAATTAAAAGCACCCTGCAGAAAAACATTTCATTTGCTTCTGCCAAATAGAGATTTTCTTCTTATAAGGGGGCTAGCATTCTTGTTTGCAAATAAGATTCAATCCTTACGATTTTACTATCCAAATACACTTGTATTTGTTTCAGTTTGTTTCACGATTTGGTGACAGAATCAGACACAAATTCATAGAAGATATAACGAGAAGCACATCAAAGACCACGTACTACACATGGTCGAAAGTCAATGAAGCTGAACGGTTTGAGATGAAAGTTATATCGGTACAATGCCTTTTAAATTTTATTCTTTAAAATTGAGATATGTTAACCATACATCGATATAGAGTTTTTGAGAGATGACGTCACAAAAATATGTTCTCAGAATTTTCAGAATTTTTCGATTTGAATCACATAACTAGATAGAGCATTTTGAAATACATCTTAATGTGTGAAGTCAGTTAAATAAGCTAAACATTGTCGAATATATGGTTACATGAGTAAAAGCTCTTTCCTCATCAAACCTCTGTAATTTTGTCCCTGTTCATAATCCTTTAGCAAATTTCGAATCTTTCATTGACCATATCTCATCCAATTTTCGAAAAGGAAAGAGCTGATGTTGTATATTTAGAAGTATTTCAAGGTTCTCTTTTAGGTTATGTAGTCAAATTTCAAAAATTCAAGAAATAGATTTTGTGGCGTCACACATCAGAACTCTATTGTCGATTTAGTTTGGTGTCATTTGTTGTCTGAAGTAATTTGATAAAAATTTGCAAAGCCTGAAGAACAGTTATGGCTCTTACATTCTATGCACATTCTATGCTTCACGTTGCATTATTTTGCAATCAGATTTGAGGTAAATTTGAGCCCCTTTTACGTTTTACTCAAGGGGATGTGCCTGTTAGTGACGGTGATCAGTATCTTTATTTACTGCTTCTAGCCCTTTTAGGCCCTTAAGCTTCTCCACCAGGTCCCTATTTAAATCTAGATTAATATGCAGTGAACTTTTAAATTAAGGTTTTGACCTGAGTATGCGCTTACAGTCTTCAGTACTGCAGACAAGTGCTCTAAAAGACATTGCCATTATCCTTCCAATATGGATTCACATGCCATCATCTGGTTCGCATGCTGCGAGACCCTTTGCTCAAGGTTCGTGCATGAAGAATAGTTGATACACACCATGACCTTTTAGTTATTTTAATCATTGTCATTTTCTAACAATTTATCTGTTTTAAAGGATTTGCAAAGTACCTTCAGAGGAGTAAAAATCCGTCAGAGATATAAAGTCATCAGCTTGTCACAGCTAAACAACTTGACAAGTTATCAGGTAAAAACTTTGAACTGTTTTTGCTACACTCTTGTTTTTATAAGAGCAATCTTTTAAAAACACGAGCCTCAAAATTTGTGAGAAGTTAAGATCAAATTAAGAACAAGCTGAGACTGAGCTGCTGTAAAATGCAGTATTGAGCAATGTTTTATCTCATAAACGAAGATTTCAGTCATTATTGGGTGCTTTTTCGATAAATATTCAAACTTGGCGGCAAATGAAGGTTGTCTCATTCACTTTGTTGACAAATGCGGCCTGAACATATCCCTAGAGCGAAAAAGCAAGCAATTTCACTGCTTACGCTCTATCAATTTGAGAACAAATTCAGAAAAATCCAGCCTCAGATTTTCGAAAATATTACGAACAGTCAGCCTGAACTTAAATTTACTGGCTCTTATAAAAAAAGAGTATAGTATAGTATCAAATAGGTACGCAATAAAAATTAGCTCATCAAAGGCTTGCAGAGATGGTTTCTCTTCATGAATGCACAAAAAGCAAAAAGGGTTCACTAGCCACACCACCCCCCTTCCCTGGGGGTGTTTTCAGCATCTTAATAAGTTCCTCGTATGAGACAATGAATACGACACTTGAATGATTCCCTTACTCGTAGCAATCAAATATGAGCAAGGGAATCTTTAATCGTAATCTGTTTCATATTACTCAAATTCTAAGAGCGTGCAACCAAAGACCCTTGATGGCGTTAACGACGAGCCATCTTCGACTATATATCACAAGCAACATTAGTTTATATCAAAATCAGTAAAAGATATAGGATTTTCTATCGCAGAATTCCTTGAATATGAAAATGACAGGTTGCTTGTATATCTTTAGAACTCGAGCATTACAATTCAAGATTTACTGACTGTAAACGTTCGAAATAAAGGAAGTTGTCTGAAAAACTGAACGTGTCTAAACGTGTAATATAACCTATAAACGTGTTTTAGTTTCACTAGTTGACTATATCCCATAAAACCTCGAAAATGTTTTTTTGGGGAAAAATGTCATTAGCCCCTCTTACGTGAACTTTGCCCGTACGCCTTTATGCATCACCATGTCATCAACCTGCGAATAAATTCTATTGCAAAAAAGGGAAACAGTCGAAAGATTTTGTGAATGAGATTTACTGCAGCTAATTTTAATGGCCTTGGTTGTTAAAATAGTGATTATCAGAAACTTCGTTGTTTCAAATGCCCAGTTTGAAAAGCAGATACAGTAGAGAATTGTCTAGACCCGTTTATTAACGTTTGCAGATTAACTGGCTTGGACTTCTGCAGAGCATATATCCTACTCATGGTATTTCGCTGAACACCGAGATCGGTTTGTTTGTACCTCAAACGTATTTGCAAACTCTATCAACATATGTCAGTGCGTCTAGAAGGTGAGTGTGAGACACAATCATGATTATGATTATTATCATAGTCCATACTTTCTGAATAGTTTGCGTAAAACAGAAAGGACAGCCTCTAACGTGAGCAAGAATATATTTTAAAAGTAGTTATTACTATCATTGATATACTCCATTTATTACAAAAACGCCATTCAGAAGCTGTACCGCTGCAAACTTGCATTTGCTCAAACATAAAAGCGTACTTGGATGTTACATGAATCGTTCCTCCATTTTTCTGCCTTCAAGTGTGCGCTGCGAGTAATATAATGTGATGGTGCAAGGCGTTTTAAGGCGAGAGACTTTTGACGTTAGTGTTTAAAAGTAGATCAAGAACAAGTATATGCGAACAAGCTTATAAATAAAGGATGAGTAGCAAAAAACGTGAGCATCTACTGTAATTCTTAAGGGGATGCGGTTGCCATGGGGAGGCTTGCAAGCAGAAGGAAATAGTTGGAAAATGAGCAACCCCTATAAGTATTTTAGCGAAGGAAGCATCGGTAAAGATCCATTTTGTTCTAACGTTCACCTTTTCTTATCCTTTATGGCTTGGTTTGTTTATTTCACAGTTTACTTCCAAACTTTTTTGCTCTGTTCTTGCTGAAGAAATTGAGTCCTGTTCTGCCAGATGCTTACTTTGCTGCATACTACTTTAACGGAAATGCAGATGTTATTGGAACGAAGGGAAAAGAAAGATGGCGGGCTTGCCTCTTGGATACTGAGACGAGTCTACCTATGTCAGTTGGAATGATTTTCACAAAAGCTACTATTACTGATAAAACTGTTAATGAGGTAGGCTTAGACGTGAAAGTATTTATTTATTCCCAGCCTGGAGACTTACTTGATATTGTATGCCCCCCTTGTGCCAATATTAGTTAATCATTTGAAACTGACCAGATTTTCTTCTCATTGATTCTATTTCTGGCAAGACTTTCCAAATCCATGGTTAAACTGCCATGGTACAATCGGCCCTGCGAGGTATTATGATACCCCTATAATGCTGCAAGCTATTTAGTTCTTATTTCGGTGTGATTATATACTATGTAAAAATTCTTCCCGAAACTGGACTTACTATATGTTCATCAAGGCACAGGCAAGTTGATATTGTATCTGCAAAACTTTTGATGTTTTGAAGCCGATGTAAGTTTTTTTAAAGCAAGTTCTTTTTCAGCACACCCAATTTCGAAACCAAAAGCTCAAAACATTTTGAAACTTTTGTTACCAACCCTGTTTGAATAAAAAGTATTTCTAAAATCAAAATGATTGATACTTTTTGTCTTATTTAGACAAGTACCATGCTTAAAGAAATACAAAAATCATTCGAAGAAGGCAGTACAAATCTTACTTGGCTAGACAAATCGACCAAAGATGCTGTGCACACAAAGGTTTTGTACTGATTCACATTTCATCGTCATTTAGCTAGCGAATGGATTTAGTTACAAATTTTTATGAGAATGGTTATAAAAAGTAAGAAGAGTATTGATGAATATAGAAGTAAGCAATGCTGGCGATTGAAGTCAAGCGTAGTTGTGCAAAGAATTTGGAAGCTTTGTGTAGAATTTGTGCAAACAAATTTGTGAGGTTGCTTAAGTGGGAGTTAAGATAGAAGATTTTAGGGCTTTATATATGGTTCTGAATATTAAAATATTTTTTAGGATGCAAAAGAGCCTTTGATGTTGAATCGCTGTTACTATATACTTACGTCTTACATACGTTTATTGTGCAGTCTACATTATTTTCCAAATGTTGCAAAATGTGTCTTTAAAAATGGCTTGAAGATTACAAAAATTTGAGTATTCTGGAGCTTTTTGTCTGACACTCTTCGTGTATAAAACGTCAGGTTCGAGTATAAAACGTCAGAACATAGATCGAGAACTCTACGCTAGGAAATATAAATACCCAGTTGTGGATCGAAATAGGCCGCTCAGAATCGCGAGCACATGGCTGTTGAGGTTGACCAATGAGTGCCGCTTGCCTTTAAAAGATGTTACCAATGGAGTCCTAAGGTGAAAACGAACTCTCTCTGTCTTTTGATGTTTATGTAGATAGATTCCAAGACTGCTAGATGTAAGGACGATTGAACTTCACCAATAATCCGAAACATGTCAACATTATAGTTTTTTGCACAATCTGGGTTTTCCAGTAAATGTTCTTGCAGATCAAAAACAACTAGTAAAACATGCGATTCGGCTATCGGGCGACATTTACTGGAAAACCCAGATTGTACAATAAACTATATTGGCGACATGTTTCGGATCATTGGCATAGCTCGATCGTCGTGAGATACAATTATTATGTTTAAGAACCCGTTTAAATGAGGTGGATTCGATAAATTTTGAATTGGCCTTTCATGAATCAAATCTGAGCTAGATCCCATGTAGACGTTTGGGCTGCCCAAGATCAAATCCGATTTTGTTGATAATCGAAAATGTGGCTGTGTAGTTTTATATTCGAGGTCATTTAAATTATTTTCTCTTGGTTTTTTGCTTATGTTTTAATTTTTTGCTATGTTATTGTTGCTGGTCCTTACAGACTCCTGTCCCTTGCCACTTGTACCTTGCAAAAGTAAACATCCCTCAAAAATTGATCACTTATTTGCTTTACCATGCTCTTTATCCGGATACTTTTGGATCCAATCTGGTTCAGGTCTCCTGTAAAAATAAACCGACAATTTTTCACCGAATGGTGTACGTCCAAAGTCTTAGGTGTAGATTACCACAATCAGAGGCACCGCAAATAGTTTAAAATGGCCTTTCAACTAATCAAGAGAATGGATGAATCTTTGGGAATGGGAAGATCATTGATTAATAGGAATACCAGCATTTTTCCTCTTCGTGTTTAACCATTTTGTCTTTTGCAGATTCAAAACGTGATTGATATCATCTCAGGACCGAAGGTCTTCAAAGATGGTTGGCTAGATAGCACTTATCGTCAGGTATCTGTTTCAACCTGCAGTTTGAATTTTATTTTCATTTATGCCTGTAAGTCTTTTATATCCTATATCGTATTAAAGATCTTGCAATATTAGATTGTCGCTTATAATTATTCCAGGTAGTTTCGTCCAGCGGTGACCTTGGTGGTTTTTTTCTGTCCTGCCAACGTAATCTTGCTAGAATGAACTTGGAGAAATTGAAGGAGAAACCGAAAAGAGAAGAGTAAGTAAACCCCGTGAAGTGCTTTTTTCGTACTTTGCTGGGTCAGGTGTTTTACTACCCTGGGTACCAGAGCCACATAAATTCGAGAGCGGAATAGAGCATAGGTGTGGAGGAGCGGAGGGGCGGAGGAGCATCTCCTTCTCCTATGCTAGCCGATCCTCCGCTTCTCTGCTTGGCATTCTGTTTACGCGCTTGAAATTCTGTGACTCTGGTACCCAGGGTAATTTTTTGCACTCCTGTTAAACACTTAAACTGCTCAAAAATAGATTGGAAACAATGGTATTTACAAATTTATTCATTATTAAAGGAGAAAGTGTGCTGAGCTCCGCCATTCTCAATCACGGCATCAGCTAGTTACCCTGCTTGCAACAAAACAAAATTCATTTCTTCATTCTGTTGGAGTATTGAGTTGTTTTTGTCTGACGATAGGTGGGATTTGTCGGCTGGATTTCCAATTCTGTATCAAGTGAACGCGTTTTACGATCGAACCCGAAATGCAATTTGTAAGTATCCTTCTTGAAATTCTCTTTTTTGATTTCTTTATGCAGTAATGTTTTATTCATTGCCTGAGTCAGATAGTCAGACATAATTTGAATCAATTCATCTTTTTTGGAAGTGAAGCCCATAAGCCTAGGTTTGCATGTTAGTAAAAATGATCCTCCTCTCTTGAAATATTAATTTAGTATGTTCCAGTGCCAATTATTTTTAGCCTTAAAACTCTCTAAAGTGAAAGATCTTATCTTTATATATCTCTCTCATATAAACTCTGCATTTATCTGTATAGTTAAACTTGCTTATTCTAAACTTCTAATGGTAATTAAAAACCAATACGGAAACCTAGCGAAAAATATCGATCGAAGCAAAAATTCAGGAAATTCATTATAGCTTTCGCTGGAATACTATTTCATCAGAATTTTTCACAACCGTTCACAACACATGTCAAATAAATCCGCTGAAAGTCTTCTTAGACCCACTATTATGCGCCTCTTCTCCAGTAGCGATGCTCTTTCTTCACTAAGAAACATTTATTCTGGCCGTTGTACCAAGTCAAAAATCTTTGTTTTTCTACAGCTATTCTCTCTGGGATTTTAAGACAGCCGTTCATGTACAGTGATGGACCAAAGTAGGTTTTTTGAAAATTTAGTTATGGGTTCTTTCAAAGATATCTCAAATATTTCACACATATTTCTGATATATTGAGTTTTGATAAGGTAAACAATTTTTGATGTAATTACGATTTTCCAGATATTGAAAAATGCGTTATTGCTGAATCAATTTTGATTCCATTAAAATGTTGAATTTTATGATAACTGTTGCTGTCCAAACTGAGGAACGATGAATATTATCAACTGAATGTCAACCGCCAATATTTATCATGATTATAGCAATTTCCATATTCCTGAATCCAAGATTGTTCAACATTGTTCAGGTATTCCTTTTTTGCTTGAAAGCATGGTGTTATAACTTACGCTGTTATAGGCGAATATTTTGATTCTTCCGAAATACGTCAATCAAAATTCCTACTAAAGAGGGGAGCATGCGCAGCTAGTTGTGCCACTCTTGAACTTTTAAGACCTATCGAGGGCCGGTCGGGGTCTGGTTACCATCTAGATGAGCTTTTAGAGTATTTGAAAAAATGCAGAACGACTATTAGCGTATTAAAACGGCTATCCAATATTTGGTTATTCTATATTTGTTGTCATTTTTAGCTACTTAAACTACGCAAAAATTGGCGCCGTACTAGGCCACGAGCTTCTTCATGGTTTTGATAGCAATGGTGAGTTGTCTTAACTAAATTAAAAATTGAAATGAGGAGAATGCCTATAAGAAGAGTGTTGTCAATAATCCTATATCAAGGTGTAAAAGCTCTTGACTTCATTTTACGTCTAGTAGATTTACGCACGAAGTATCTATGACACCACAAATGTTTTCGAAGTAAAATGACTATTTTTATATCAATTTTTAAAGTTTACTAATTACATTACAACAACACGACATTAAAAGCTTTTAAACAGAATCTTTTCCATGTCCTGCATTGTTAATTTGTTGTCCAGGATGGTATTATGATAAGGATGGTCAGCTAGCACCGTGGTGGACGTCTTCATCAGCTCGTGGCTTCAGTATCAGAGAAGCATGTGTTAAAAATCAGTATGATAGTTATGTTATAGCTGGAATGAATGTAAGTTTCTAACAATTCATTAGTTTGCTGCAATTTTGTATTATTTTCTTGAACTGCTAATACACTTGTAAGCCCTGTACGCAGTGCCTATAATTTGGCTCTGAACTTAGCATGGATATACAGATAACCCCCAGATTACCCTTTTTTGATTAGCCTCGGTCCTAGAGGGAATACGGTACTATAGACAAATGCGGGGGGCAGAAACGCAATTTCATAATTTTTAAAGCCAATTTTTAAGAATAATAAAAAATAATGAATAATTATTGGCCCTGAAAACAACCAAAATACACCCAAATTTACATTTATTCACAAGATGCACAAGATTCAGAAATCCGTGAAATTTTTTATCGTCTTTTGCTCAATTGAAACTTCAAAAAACATTGAAAGAAAATGAAAGGTTTCGAAAAAGTAGCATTGCCTTTTTGTGCTCTTGAATTTTGTTAACTCTAACAGTACCATGTTCTGGTATTGGAACCCATGCCCATGTGCTGTTATGTTAATCAAGGGGTGTCAGAATTCGGGGTGACAAGGTAAAGGGTCTTGTTTTCAACCATTCTGTGCTAATTTTCTTAGCAGACGTTGGCAAATATAGTAGCCAGCAGCTTTGGTAGATTATTTTTGACAATAGCTTTAAACAAAAATAGTGAAAGTTTGTATGTAGAAACTGAGGAACATCGCAACGCGCGAAGATTAAACAACAATGAACACAAGCAAATATATATTGTAGCTTTTATTTCGCCCCGGCATACGGGGCTTCATCGGAGCAAAAGTCATAGAAAATTGTTATAGACAATTGAATAAAAATTTGCATAAAATGCTACTCTAAGGTCCTTAATAGAGGGGGTGTCTTGATAGTTGGAGGGGGGGGGTCTTGATAGTGTGGGGGGGAGGGGTCAGAAATTTTTCAAAATATAAATTAGCGGGGGGTCCTAGTAAGTGGGGGGGGGTCGGAAATGTGAACAATCTGAAAAATCACGTGATGATTCTTTTTTGGGGTCAAATGAGATGTTCTTCTTAATACAATCGATAGCAAAATGACAATTATCACCTTGTAATAATGCATTGTTGTATTACGAAAATAAGCAGGCTAATTATCATTGTGTACATCAGCCAGGCCTATGTAAATTTTTTCGGATGTTATAATACTTTTCTATGTTAAAACTTTTGTACAATGCAACCTCTTCATTTAAGAGAAACTTTACAGAAATTTCACATCCGAAAGAACAAAGGACAAATGAAATAAGGGATATTAAAGATTGCATATGATAATTAATAAGCCGGGGGTCCAAATAAGCTCAGGTGGGGTCAGAAGATAATCGAAAAATTAATAAGCGTCCCCCACTTCTATTAAGTACTTTAGCGTATTCCATTCGAGGGCGTTTCGAAAGAAAAGTCTTGTTTATAGTACTTATAGTTTTACAGTGTTTATAGTTTTAAGTGTCATAAAAACAGAGCTGTGTCTGTTGAAGTGTATTTATCATTAAATATATCTCATATTATTAGTGTTTAGCGAACATCATACATCCAGCTTAGACATCTTATTGCAGAAATTAATTCTTGAAAACTAGCAGAGAATTTTGTGTAGATTGTACTCGAATATATAAAATGGAAGTTTAATTTTTTTTGATGACATACTCAGATTGATGGGAACAAAACACTTGGGGAGAATATCGCAGATAATGCTGGCTTGAAATACGCTTTCCATGTAAGTACATTCGAAATAAACAGGCTACATAACTGTTTGTCTACTGTTGATTAAAGTAGGGGTGTCGAACTTATTTTTGGGTGGGCCACAGACAAAACCTTACTGCATAGGCGGGCCAGGTGCAAATAGTCGGCAAATTTTGTATTGAGTATGAACAATTATATGAATAATTATACAAAAAGGTTATATGAAAAAAGTGTCAATGGGAATGTTAAATTTTTTGGTTGCAGAAAGTTTATTCATACTGCATATAAAACTGGAAGTGATTTGCGAAAGTGTAACTTTGACTTGTTCAGCTTCATAGATGAAAACGTACACTTTCAGATCAAATAAGTATGCCTAATGACTAAAATACATTTTGGGTGGAATGGCACACCTAGAAATAGCTTATTGATTTCAAAAAATTCATTGATTTAGCACTGGCCACAGAAAATGCCATCGCGAGGCACGTTCGCCTGCGGGCTGTATGCTGGACACCCTTGCTTTATAGAATCAGATTTTGTCTAATTCGTTCGCGCAATTTTCATAGCATGACAGTCCATCACTATGATGCGATAGCCAGGGTATGGATAAGTTTAATTCTTCTTTTATTAGACAGACGAAGAGGATTGGAACTGATTATATTCTTAAAAAATTAAATTCAGCAGTCTGACTCTATCAAGGCACACGTTTTTCGTTTTTTTCGTTTACATGGTATAATTTTTAGAATTCATAAAATCCACGTCAAGTATGCAACTTCCTGATTCGTGCCCCACATATTTTCAATTCAAATTTAAAAATTTCTTATTGAAATCGAAGTGCATGGCTCCCGTTTTTATTGTAATATTCAAATATCTTTAATGGGTTTTTACCTTTTAATGCATGAATTTTTTCAAATTTTTCAATTCGCTCTACAGAATGCAAATTTCTTTGAATGCTTCTAATAAGACAGCGTGTGGACATTCGATTTGGGTTTTTTGCTCGTCAAATTAACACCGATTCGTACCTTTGATGCAAAGATGGACGTTGAATACGCCACAAAACATTTTTTGAAAAAACCCGCTAAATTATTTAATCTAAGCAGTTTGGACTGATTTATTTTCTACTATAATTAAACACAGTATAACTTCCGAGGAAAATTTCTGGGACTTTAATAATGACATAGTTTGACCTCGTTTCAGGCGTATAAAAAATGGGCTTCTAAGAATCCAAAAGAACGTAAACCCGAAAAACTGAAGACATTAAGCCACGAGCAACTATTTTTTATAGGATATGGCCAGGTAAGACTTTTCGTTTTATTTTGCTTTTAGCTGATTAAGTTTCTTGTGAATTCCGACAAGCAACAACTGAATCTTCATCGTTAAAGACCACTTCAATAGAGTACTCAAGTGTGATGTCATAAAAGATATTTTTAGAATTTTTTACTCTTGACCACATAACCTGATTCACATAACCTGAACACAATGAAATGCATTTAATTACTTATTTTTGGGTGTAACCACCAAGTCTCTTGGTTTTTCTATATGTTGTTAAATGGTCTGCCTACCAACTTTTTGTTCTGTGTAACGCAAAAATTTTAGTTTATTCCATAATCTCTGTACTTTTTAACTGCAAACCATCAAACCAATTTCCGTGTCATGGATGAATTTCCCTTTGTTTATCAAAGCTATACATATCGATTTGGTTGGTCATAGCTAAACATAACGGTATGGTTGCATTTTGAATGAGGCACCGAATTCATTTTAGAAGCCTTTTGGTGCCATTTCCTAACAATAGGAATAGATACGTTAAAATTCCTGTTTTCCGTAATAAGATAGACTACGATTTTGATCTTCACGGGAAAGTTTGCTTATCAAAGCAATACACATCTTGTCATGCTTTGGATTGCTATCTGACATACAACCAGGATTGTATTTAACTAGCATTATAAGTATTTGCACTCAAATGCGCTTCTTTCGAGTGGAAAGTCATACTTCAAGTTTTTAGGTCTCCACAAGGCTCATGTCTCGGGCCTCTCATTTTCTTTGTCTATAATCTATAACAAAGATCTTCGAAATAAGCCGTGCAGTTAGAATTTAAATGATCTTCCCTGCGCAGTTAGCAACTCGGCCACCTTTTTTGTATCACTCATTTTTTAAAGATAGTCGCTGTAAGAAAAGAGGGAAGGACTTGAGTAACATTTGAACTTTGAAAATTCTCCGCTCTCAAAATTATGAAGTTTCGTAAAAATCCACTAATATGATTTGCCGGTTGGCATAAAACTTTCTACTGAAAATGAAAATATACTTTCCTTGTCTAAATACAATATTTGCAGCCGCAATAGTCTCGCTTGGAAGGAGCACATAAAAAACGTCGCTGCCAAGGTATCTAGAGCAATTGGTTCTTTAGCAAAGCACGTTAAAACTTTCTTCCTCAAAATTTCCAGAAAAAAACCCAACGTTTAATTGCATGTTCACTACTGTTGCACTGTGTTGGCCTCCAGTTGCATTACTGAAAACTTGAAACTTGAGAACCCACATAACAAAGCTGCTAGGGCCATTAAAAATAGGAGTTTTGATGTCACTTGGAAAAGCACTGATGCAGAAGCTAGGTTGCAAAACACTCAATGGCATGATTAAACATGATCTTTAAACAATCTAGCGCCTCCCATAAATGCTTTAGGGGGAAAAAGTTTCGTGGGAAGATAGTTTCGCGAATCGAGAAAACGCGAAATTATTGGAATTAACTTTTGCGCAAGAAGCGAGATGAGATCTTTCGCGAGAATAAACTTTCGCACTTTCATGAATTTCGCGCAAAACCATTCCTATTTAACTGAGGTTTCCTTTATCTTTAATCCATTCAATACAATCAAAAAACGAAAAATTTTTGAGATTCATTAAAAAAAAGATTCGTCATCAAAGTTTTCAAGAGGGTAAATAGCAAAGCTCTCTTGATATTTCGCGAGAATGAACTTGCGCGAATTTCTCATTTCAGGAAGTTTTACGAGTCAAACTTTCGTGATTTTAGACTAAAAATGCAAGGAACGCAAACTTTTCTACCCTTAAAGTATATGAGTCATAAGAACAACAATACATAAGAAAAACATATGCAATGGGCAGATGGATATCTCGCTTTCCGGGTGCCAAACTTAAAATAGCTTATAATCTTGAACAGAGCTGTCGAGACGACCCCTAAGCACTTGCCAGGTAGCATGCATGTATACAGTATAGTCCGGCCTCTACCCCTCCCCCATTCAAAGTTGGAGTATATGCATTTAAGAGCAGAGGTGTAAAATCAACATTCTACTGATGAATGGGGGGGGGAGGGAGGGGTGTAAACCCATATCTTCGAGTTTGCCATTTAAAATCAACGCTTCTCATAATGATTTATTTTAGTTGTGGTGTAGGGCAGCAAGTACATCAACAACGCGAGCAATTCTCCTTTCCGATAACCACAGCCCAAACCGATACAGGTTTGTCATTTTGCATCTTTGAAATTGAATCATGTTAGGAACCCATTTAGAAAACTATTAAAAAATACGCAAACCAATTTTTTTGATGTTGATGTACACTTTATCTCTGATAAAGAAGGAATCGCCATGTCGATGAATAATTATTTTTTACTTATGCAAAACCTGGAAAAATGTTCGACTAACTGTAGGTAACATCTGTGGTGCGACATTTGATAACATCTTGTTTTCAAGGCCTTTGATACCTCCTTTTTTCCACATTAAACACAAGAATTTTTGGACAAATGAATTTCGGACAAAATATTATTGAAAAATTTCGATAAGAATTTCGGACAAAAAGAAAAAAGTTTTAATTACATTTGACATAGCAAATAGCATCTTATTACAGTCCTTACTTGATAAAATATTAAAAATTTACAAGAGTTTAAAGAGGTCCTTAAGCTATTATTTGGAAACTAAAAATGATAAATAAATTGTTTCCTGTGTTGGTTAGAGACGTTTCGTGGGAAATTTCGCGCTTATTTGGTATTTCATCAATTATTGCTGAAGAGTTACTGCTAAAAGTGCTTTCAGAATGTCGTTGGCCGTCCCCAATACATACAGATAGACTGGAAATAATTTTAGCGCCAAGTACACAATAGAAGATGAAAAACGAGGGTAAATGTCCACTTTTATTGGCGAGGCACAAAATTCATTCAAGGATATCAACAGGCGCACAAATTAGAGCTGAATGAAGAAGAGAAATCAAGATATCGATTTTAATTCGGATGAAAGTATGATAGAGGACGATATAATAATTGTTTAAGAGGATGAAGATGACCCGGGATAGTCAAATGGCCTAAATGAGTTTGGTTGACAAGATATGATAATATTCTTGGACGCTCCAATCGTTCGAAAAAATTAACGTCCGATTTTTTTAGTGATTAATGCAGTTCGGGAATATCAAAGAATTTTAAATATATCGGAGCCCTAAATCCACTTATAATTGAAATAATCAATTGTGGAAAAAAAGGTTCTCCCCATTTTTACGTTGATATAACTGGGACTGTATGTCTGGAGGCTGCTCTTAAAAATCCTAAAATCAAAGCTATAATTTATTGTTAGATCAATGTCATTTTCTTCAGTGTGTAAAACTTGTTGCAACAATCTTCGAGAAATTCTTTATAAAACAGGGTAATAAATATTGATACTAATCAAATCACTTGTAGTTAGTTGTTAATACTACTGTTCGTGCTGAATATGTTGTATTTTTTTACAGAGTTATCGGATCTGTAAGCAACTTTCCGGAATTCGGAAGGGTATTCAACTGTCCTTTGGGAAGTGCTATGAATCCCAGGAACAAATGTGAATTTTGGTGAAGATGGTACATTGTAAACAGGTCCTCTCACCATTCTTATTGACGACCTGGAATCATCACGTGAATAAACTTTGAATTTTATAACTGTTAAAATTAGCTCAGACTGATGAGGCCGATCTCTGAATTTGTTCATTTTTTAAAAGAGGAGTTTTTTATCGTGTTACATGCACATCTAAGCCTGGTTTCTATCAGTAGTAAAAGTCGTAAATGCCGTATCAACCCTCAATCGTATTTTTGCTGCTAATGCGACTGTATGGAAGTATTCATGCTACAGGCGAACCTGACAGGTGCGATGTAAAAGATATGTTATGTCGTTGTCGTATGTGGTAGGATTTATACTGCATTTTACAACTGGCACGACCGGCAATTATAACATGTATCAGATACGACTAATACAACTGATAAGACTATACGGAAAATATGGAAACCAGGACATCAATGATCACACTCATATTTGTGTTCAAGAGTCTCTATAATGTATATGAAGTCATTCAAGCTCTTCACCGACTCAAGAAGACAGGTTGAAAATCGCTCATTGACGCAAAATATATAGCACAATAAAGGTTGCCAACACAGAATTCCTCCAACCTACCATGTGCCCCCTTTATAAGGGCCTGAAAGTATTAGCTATCAATTTTCATCCCAGTTCCACGTAAAAGAAGAAAATTTCACGCATTATCTAACGTGAAAGGACAAGTACTTTGACCGACAGTAGATGAGGGCCTTTTTTACAATGCAGAAAGTTTTTATCGGTCCTTCCTTTCTTTGTTGAATAGGACGATTTGAGAAATTCTGAGTGGATGCAAATGAACAAAAAATACAGGAAAACTAAGAACATTAATATTGCAACAATTAAAGTAGTCTTTCTTGTTTAATCCGGGCCAACTAATCAACAATTATATTTACTTAGCCCGGTCATCAATTTTTAAGCGATGGTCTAACCTATCCCTAGCGATTGATTATCCCATTTCATAGTGATTCACTTTTATTTTTATTTTTGTAGTGATTTAAAGCACAATTAAGTAATTGGTCGATCTTGTTTTAGTGGTTAAGTCGTTTTTTGCCATTTATAATCTTCGTAATTGATTGATGTAATGAGGATGTATAGAATAATAAATAATAATAGTTATTATTTTAGTTTGGCTTCTCGTATAGCTAATTAATTAGCTAATTAATGTCAACCAAAACTTAAATTCACGTTGATGTTAACTAAATTGCAAGTATAAATCTATCAAAATAACTGAGAAACAACGAAGGAGTTCATCATAGCCCTCAGTTTCTCAACATTCATATAGCTTGAAATACGTGCAAGCGCATTCAGCTTCTGTCCAGCTTTTTTACAAAGTGCGTTTACGTGGTTCTTGTAATCTAGGTTCCATCCAGCGTTACACCTAAAAGTTTTTCTTCAACAAATTCTGTTATTGTGGTTGCACCAGACTGCACTGATACGTCAGTGTTTTCTTCCTTAAAAGTCAAAAGACGACATTTTTCAGAACTCAGTTTCATTCTGTTATCAAGAAACCACCTAGAGAGCTTCTGAGCATCTGTTATAAGGCTAGATACGATAAAATATGTTCTAGTTCATGACGGCACACGTAGATGGTCGTGTCATCAGCATAATTGGAAATTTCAGTCTGTTCCACCAAAAAGAAAAGGTCGTTTATAAATAGATCAAATAAGGGGGGTCCCAAAATAGAGCCTTGTGGTACCCCCTTAATTGATTCTTGCCAGGAACTGAATGACCCATTGATCTTAACTCGCTGCTTCCCATCAAAAAAATAGTCATAAACCAGTCTTAGGGCAGATCTACTGAAACCGTAAGCTTCCAGCTTTGCAACGAGTAGTTCATGATTCAGACAATCAAACGCCTTTGAAAGGTCTATTAGAATTGCACCTGCGAACCCTTTCATATCTAGGAAAGATATGCATTTTTCAATCAATCTAAGGAGTGCATGTTGGGTGTTATAGCTTTTGCGATAGGCACAAAGATAAGGAGACAAAATATTCTCCATGTAATGAGTAATTTGACCTGAAAATGTTCTTTCGTAAATTTTAGATATAGCCGTTAAGATTGTTATAGGCCTGTAATTCTTTTTTACAAAGGCATCACCATTCTTAAAGAGAGATGTAATCTCTCCTTTCTTTAATTCTATTAGAAATTTGCTTGTATCTATATTCTCATTCATGAAGAGTTATACCAATGGAGCAAACAAATCAGAATGTTCAGTTAATATTTTCAAAGGTATGCTGCCAAAATGAGAAGCTTTAGTCGGAGCTAAGTTCTTAAGCTGACTCAATATATCCTCCAAAAAAACTTGCTGGAAAGACAATTTTTCACTGACAGTTACCCTTTCTTCCTAATGCTTTATCAGTTTTATACTTGGGTGGCGTTTGTACATATTTACGGCAATATCTATAGGGTCACGTAATTCGTTTGTTAATATCAAATTCTCCTTTAGCTATAATGATAATGATAGAAAACAAATGGATACACAATTTTGATTTCCTGATTTTAATCAGCAAGGCAGAACGGTAAATGCAAAGCAGTTGATCTGAACTGTTCGACTATTTTAAGGTAAGGTAAGAAATTTTCTCCAGCAACAGGCAGCAACAGGCAGTACACTTTCTTTCAAGAAAACAGCGCTCTCCTACTACTTAACACCTCACAGTGTCACAAGCGCAGTCACAAACGTACTATTCCTTTGATACTGGAAAACATTTTTATGCTCAATGTTGCACGAAGCTTCCTCTTGGGGAATCACTTTTACAATGTCTAAGCATGCATGTCCTAGATAACAAAGATCTGCATTACTGTCAAGGTTTGATTTAAGAAAAACTACATTTGTGACGGTTGATTTTTTGTTATTCATTCGAACGACGGTGTCGAGCGAACATATACCTCGTTTCTAGTCAGTGCTGTGGATATCCTTGGCCTAAACTGTAAGTTGTTTTCCTAAAACTTTGACGTTATCTTCTTTTTTAATGCCGCAATTACTTTGAACATACTGTATTCTTTTTTGTTAAAAAGCTGCTCCATGTCAGGAGCCGGACTCGTTAAGTATTCTCCTTACACGTTTCGTTTATTTTTTGATCCGTACTTTCGGCCAGATTTAAAGCAGGATTCGTTACGGACTCGTACATGTTTCTTTTTCTCGACTCGTGTTTTTGGCCTAAATTAAGGCAGCCGGACTCGTTATGGATTTTTCTTTTTCGACTCGTGTTTTCCGCTTAATGTCAGGCAGCTGGACTCGCTATGGAATCTTTTTTACACGTTCGTTTTTTCGATTCGTGTTTCTGGCCTAATGTCAAGCAGCCGGACTCGCTGTGGAATCTTATTACACGTTCGTTTTTTCGACTCGTGTTTCTGGCCTAATGTCAAGCAGCCGGACTCGCTGTGGAATCTTTTTTACACGTTCGTTTTTTCGACTCGTGTTTCTGGCCTAATGTCAAACAGCCGGACTCGTTATGGATTCTTCTTAAATATTTCTTTTATTCGACGTGTGTTTTTGACTTAATGTCAGTCAGGCCGCCAGACTCCTATAGATACTCCTTGCAGGGTTTGCCTTTAAAGAAGTTTAGCCTTTATCTCGGTTGTAGAACCTCTCTTTTTTTGTTCACTTCCACTGAAGGTTTTTCTTGGACTGTAATTCATCGTAGTTACAAACCCTACTTTTTTTCCAATAGAAGCAAAACACTTTCCCGTAAATAGTTTTATTCTAACATAACCTGTCAAACATGATAAATTTTCAACATATTTAATAACAAACTTTGAACATGAAAATTAAAGTCAATACATAATTGTGCTATTCTTAGAAATAGTACCGTTTCGTAGAAATAAAAAAATATAGTTCCTTCATTGTATAAATTCCGAGCCATTGAAAGAGAGATGCATGTCATTTCATGAAAATCGATGATTGTCTTCGACAAAAATTATTTTTGTGGAAAATCCCTTAAAATTACCAAAGCTCCTATTGTTAAAAAAACGTCTAGTACACTACTTTGAAAAGAGATTTAATCCTCGGTTGGAAGTGGGGAACTGCTGCAATGGGAGGCAACAGATAGCAGACTTTCTGCAGCAGTAGACAATTTCGGTAAATGATTTCTATAGAAAAGTTGGGGGTAATGATGATCTCTTCAACTAAGTGTCACAACTGCATGGCTGTCTTAACAACGTACAAGTTTGGCTGCAATCAATGTTCCAGTGAGAGAGACAATGTTGTGTAAAACTTTTCAAAGGTAGTCCTAAAGTAGTCTAATAAGGGTGGCTTGAACGGGTGTAATGACACAACGTGTCTGATTTGGTGCAATCCGAATGAGAAATGCTCTTTGAATAATTAAGTTATTAAATTAGTTAAAATTCACGAATCACTAATTCAAACTTTGGAATAATTACAAGTCACATCTACGATACAGTCGCTAAAGTCCTTTCATTTGATGTCATCAATTTCCCTCACAACAGGACCATTTAGAGGTTTGAGGAGTTCTTTCCAGACCTCTTCTTTTGTCGCCAATGGGTGTACGGAACTCTTTACAATATCTGCCAATAGCATAGCAGAAGTCTAAAAACAGATGAAAACGTCGCTAATAGAAACTAAAAATACTTAGATGTGCCAGGAAGAGGCGAGGGCCTCTAAAATCTAGCATACACAGGGCTAGAACGTTAGGCCGAGAGTTTTTTATATAGTAATACAGTATAGTTATATAGTAATATATACCTATATAGTAACCACTTCCTCGTATAACGATAATTAAATGTACAATTACATGATCCACTTTCGATTCGGCCTGTAATCTTCTAAGAAAATTTTCTGTGTAGAAGATAAAGAACGTGGGCATTTTCAGTCAAAACGCATCTTGTTTTAGAATGAATAATAAAAAAGGGTATTACTCTAGAAATCTCAACTACATAAATTCCCCAACAGATCTTACGAAATCAAGCTCTAAATTTTTAAAATTCGATAACGCCTATTGAGAAAATCATTTTTTCACGTTATTGTGACGTCCTTTTCAAATACAACTTTAGTTTTTAGATTGTTATAACTCAATCGCTCTTCTGATCAAATAGCGATAGAATATATGTTGCAATGTCTTGCAAAGAGAATTTTCGATCGCTAAGTATATAGCCTCGAAAACGTCTCTTCGGCAGTACGTGTTGCAACTAGTAGTGCAATAAGTAGTTTAGTGTGTAAACAGAAAATAGTTGAGTGGAAAAATACGACAAACCTTCTCTGTGACGTGCTCAACGTATTTTTGTTGGGTTTTTGACTCCGCAAGAATCTGTAACTTCCTTTTAACAAACTCTCTTTTCTTCATTTCTGCGACCAAAGCGCTAGGAAAATAACAATTTAGTTAAAAAGTCAGATCAAAATGGCAATTAAGCTTTTTTTCCTTTGTCCTGAATTCATAATTTAAACTTATAAATATCATGAACAGTTTTGCCTTATTCATTTGCATGATAAATAACCAAAATGTTTTGTCAAGAATATCGACACAAAGTTGTTTATCATGAAACTATGAGGATTTTGTCAGATGAATATTGTAACCATTCAAACGGCAGTATAAAGCTTTACATAATTTTCGAAAGCTTGAAAAGAAAAATTTTGTAAGCCTTGTTACTGTGAAGTTTGTGAAAGTGGTCGATTCAAAAATCGTAATAACAGCTGATTTATTTATGAACAATCATTTATTTGTCTGATTGGATGAAAAATCACAATTATGAAGAACGCTCTTCTAACAATTAAATACTCACCAGCATTAATTATTTTAGGCATATTAGGTATAACAAACCCCCGTGAGTACTTGACAAGGAGTGTGACGCCTTAAAAAATACCAAAAACATAACCTTCCACGTAAAAAATATTGGCAACAATATGCCAGAATTGTGCAAAAATACACTACTGATATATGTCCCTCTCTCCTCTCTATCTATCTCTCTTATCTCCCTTTTCTCTTTTAATTTGCTACCCTTTCCAATTTCTTAAGCTATGGTACCAAGGGTACTGGAACACGCTCATTTTACGAAACCACCAAAAACAGAGTAAGATTTTCTCACATTTTCTGAGTTATCAATTTCCATAATTTTCATTCCCTATCCCAGAGTTTTGCTGCAATTTGTAAAACCCTGATCCATTATCTTTATCAGAAAAGGATACCCTGTTCTGCCTAGCATTCCGCCAGGTCAAATATAGGAGTGCCCCCTTCCCCTTTGAGAACAAACCAAACCATTTCTTTCACATTAACCATTTTGGTTCCACATACCAAGAATCACTTACAAAATACGATTCTTCAAAGAAATTAAGGTACGTCCTTAAACTGTAAAACTAATTCGGAATCTAGCCCAATGTGCCAGGAATAAAAATATTTTAAAAGATACCCTAGCCTACCCATATCCTTCCCAATTCGTATAAATTTTCTGGTTGGCCCTTTGCTTAATTTCAGAAAAGAATTTCCGAGTCCAACTGGTTTAAGACAAAGCTTTTCGAGACTTCTAAAATTTCAAATCTGGAAACTATTAAATGTATAACAAATTGCAGCTTTTGATATCTTTTCAAGTTCTTTATGTTTTAAGTTGTAATGGAGAGTTGCTTGATTGTTTCAACTGCAATACCTTATAGGATTAATACAAAAACCACAATACCTGTGTTTATTTTTGCCAGCAATGTGTTCGCTTTTCTCTCGAGATACCTTAAAAGAAGGAAAGAGCAACTTTGAAATACAACCTCAACAACATAAAAATGTTAAATGCTTACTATAAGCTGGGCCAACAATGCGCTTTGAACATTTACTGAAAATACACTCATCTTTAATGGAAAACATTAAATAGGGCAAAGTTGTTTTAGATACAGTTTTTCACAGTTGTTCTGTCTTTCTTGCTTATTTGAAGAAAAACATCGCGAAAAATACACTGAATCTTTGAGACTTGACAAAATGACAAAGAAGTATCGTGAAGAAAAATGTAAAATAGCTATTGATAATTACAGTACAATCCCGATATAATGAACCCTGGATACAACGCATTTCCCAGTATAACGAATTGAATGTCTGAATCCTTGGGTTCCACTGGACAAAACGAAATCTCGTTATTACGAACCAAATTTTAGGTGCTTTCATAATTTTTTCCCTCGATACAACGAACTTTTCATAAATTTTTCATTTGTTATTTTGATTAATTTATTCCCAGTGTTCATTTGACACTTTTTCTCAGGGGACCATTGTTTCGGTACAACATACAACGGGTGTGATGCGAACTACAAGCGAAGTGATGCAGGCTTTGGAAAATTTGCAAACATGCACTTTTTATGATGCTGAAAATTGAGGTGAGAGGTGCGCGGAAGTTAACGCTAAAGTTTTGAAGCCTTTTGACATTTTAGTGAATAAAGCCAAAATACAATACTATCCTGACCTTTTTTCTTCCAAATTGGAAGAGGAAGATTAAGTGTTGTAAAAAAATTTTCATTTTTGATCACCAAACACTTACTAATTCTGTAAAAACTCCTATAAAAACTCAGGTTATCGGATCAGGCGGTAAAGTTTTTTATGAAAAGAATTGATTTTGAGAAAAAGGCTGATTTGTTTCTTATTAAAATGAGTTTGTTATCAAATTAAGATTTGAAAGAAAGCAATGAATTTCATAGAGCTTTATTTTAAATTTAATAATTCGAAAGCTAGTTTGTGTCTGGAAACCTGCTTTTTAAATGCATATTAATTAAGAAGCTTCTGTTTTGAATAAAATTCCATGAGCAACTGGAAAAAATTCAGGGTCAACTTTGCAACAGTTAGCCTGCAGTTTCTCAGAAGTGAGTTTATTTTTTGCAGGTTTTTATGGTATTTGAACTCACCGTGTTTTTTTTAAAATCTGTACAGAAGTTGGGGATAGCTAAAACAAGCCAACGGTAGGGTTTTGAAACACGTACTGCGTAAAGAACTAAGAACATTTGTCGCTCAGCTAAACGACCTCCCACGAATTTTATTTCTGGTTCCTTTCACAGTTCGTTAATTTAGTATTCCACTGTATATGCTCATAAATATTTTGTCAATAAATAGAATACTAAAGTTACTAGCCTGAAAAAGATACTTACGATCTAATAGACACGATTCTTTATTCTCAAAAGGGGCTACTAGAGTTTCTCATATACTGTTTCTCTATACGCGAAAGTACTCTGGAGCCCAGGCCCCTCACTCCGATTCGCATTTGCCCCAAGATAAAATTCCTGTGGCTTCTAAAGATACAGAAAAATTCAAGCCAAAGGTAATAAGGCCAAGATATATTATTAACAAAACAAAGAAGACGACGAACGTGCATTGGATGTCGGTTTCTTGTTGAGAGAGATAAGATGGCTAATGCCACAGCCCCCCTCCCCCCCCGCAAAATACCACGTTTGGAAAAACAGACGGGCAGAAAGAAAAACTTTGATTATAACGACTCAAAATGCAATTTTGCTGCAATGAGCCATATGAAGCGTGTTCATTGATGAAGGTTTGTGTTGGTATTTGAGTTATATACAATATTCTTGTGTTAAGCGGTATGATTGATCAGTAAAGCCCCCCCCCCCTCGAATAAGCCCCCACCCTTGAACTCAGATTGTCAATAAGCCTCCCCCTCGAATAAGTCCCCACCCCAGCTGTAAATCCTCGAATTGACCCCCTCGATTCGATGATATTTGCCATCTGAGGCTGCCTTTGGCGTTTTATTGAATCATAACAAAAATTCAACTTTTGGTAGTAATTAATTAACTGTTTTTTGTTCAATTAAATGTGCATAAAGAAATTTCTACTAAAATATACGAGGTCTTTCAATAATGTTTATAAGCACCCCCCCCTCGTATAAGCTCCCTTCGAATAATCCCCCATCCAAAAGTATAAAAAATAAATGTGCCCCAAGGGAGACCTGGAAAAAAACGCGAAACGAAGCCATACACGTAACCTAATATAAAACTCTATTTGGTACTATTTGGGAAGGAGGAACATTCGTCTCTACATAATGTGGCAATTTTGTTATATTTTCCATTTTTCTAAATGCTAGCTCTTAAAAGCAAAACCCAATAGGAACTCTGGGGGTCGCTTGAAATTTTTATGTACGGGGGGAGGGGGACTCTCCGTCAATTATGGACAAGAATTTTCTTTGTGATCTGATACTTGTGGGTATCTGATTTAACAGTATACCATTTTGATACATATGGATCCACCTAACACATAACAATATCAAAAAACAGGAATAACAGAATAGATTTGTTTGAAGGAAAGAATTGGTTATTATAGGAAACAGTCTAATTTACTATGACTGGTGGTATCTTCTGTGCTCAACTCGCTCAGCAACAAGTTTTTGCATTTTGATAATTTTGGGTCTAATTAACAGTGGCGTAGCTTGACCTTCCACTAAGGGGGTTGAGCGCCTAGGTCTTGAAATAGCTCGTTTTCGGAGTTTTGTCCGGACTCTTGTTACCAGACAATCGAATTGTGTCGCTACACCCAACCAAACTCTTTCTGGGCAAGGTCAACGACGTCTACCAGGGTCGGACCGTTCTCGAATCCAACTAAATGAATTTGGTAAGAAACATAAAGTCCGGCCTATTCTGATCAGGTCATACGTCATGCAAAGGCGGCATCTTTCTGACAAACCTTCAATGCATGGTTCGGAAAAAAGTACTAGACTTTTCCCCTTATTACGTTATGGCACAATGCATTCTGATACTTGTAGTTAAACCCACGAAAATTTGATTACGTTTTCTAAGGCGATCGGAAGTAGCTCTGTTTTATTCAACGCTAATTGCCATGTTTTCCGGACTCTGGATAGATTTTAACTTGTTTCAGAGCATGAAAGTAAGACAAAGGTCAGTTCTAAGAACTGAAATACTAAATGATTGTAAAATTAATAAAACAAGTTAGAATCGATAGCTTTCGAATACAAATATCAGAAACGAAACGGCATCGAGTCTCACTTTTCATTATCATTATCATCAAAATTTCATTATTAAGACCCTGTTTACACGGGAAAATGGAACCGATCCAGTTTGGTATCGATCTCGTTTGGGATCGATCGATATATTTCGTTTACACGGGATTGGTCCCAGATCGGACCGCACTGCTTTCTAGGCCCTTTTGAAAGGAATGCTCATGCGTATTGCTTATACAATCAAAAATACAAAGGAAACACCACCAAAATTATAGGAAGGCTGAGAAGAAAATGGCTTCGAATTTGAAGGGAGCAACAAAATGTTTATTTAGAGCGATGAATAAAAAGGGTCTTACTCAAGAATAAAAATCACACTGGAGTAAAAGAATTATAAGTTGGAGCCTGTTCGCTAAATTTATCCATAACCTAAAACAGAACACGTCTAGTTTTGTATTTTGTATCTTCTTGGCAAAGAGGGCGTGCAACATCTGACCAAATGTCAAAGCGCCGTGCTCAAAGCACCTCGAACTGGAGAATTCATGAGCCTCGTTTTCTACCCGTGCCAATTTGTGATCGATCCCACCTATTTCGGGCGTTTACACGAGCCGGGGTCGATCCCCATCTAGAACACTCTCTAATGCGAACCCAAATTAGTATGAATAGCTGATCGATCCCGAGCGTTCCCGTATAAAAACGGAGCGGTGATCCGTACTCGGCCTGGTTCGATCTCATGTAAACGGGGTCAACGAGAAGTGTCATCGGCGTTTAAAAAAATGCTTTTAATACGATAAGCATAAGTTTATTTTCTTATTCTGTCTTAAAGCTGATATAGGAAAAAAACCAAAAATAAACTGCAAATAATTTCCCAAGCATGATGTATCATCCAGCACCAACATTTATGGTTACTTCTTTCCCCATCTTTTGCTCCTTCTCCTTCTCCTACGTTTCCCTGCACGTTTCCAACTGTGAGCACCATAATACAAAGTCTTTCCTCTTGAGCCCTCGGAAGTTGAATCTAAAAAGGAAAAAACCATTAAACCTCAAAAAACCAGCAACAAGACGAATTTCGAAATTTTTTGGGAAACCTTAAGACTGTCCATCTGAACTATTCAGAATACAGTAAAAGAAATCTACCGAAATAAATTGAAAAACTACCGCGGTAGCGGTTTTGTTTGATAGTTCATGTTAAAAATGTTACAGATACCACGCAGCGAATGTTTTTTTGAGACAAATTGTAAAATTTATACTATTGCACCTTCTCCGCCGCTGCGCAAGCTTAGTAACATAAAACCTTTAAAGAAAGCCTTAAGAAAGTTTCAGTACAGGAATTTGGAAATGGCTTAAAAGGTTTGAGTACTAGGTTGAAAAAAGGAACACTTTCTTATGTGTATTCAAAGCAGGTAAGGATATAAACCACGATTTTCAATTTATAAGGTTAAAAACTGCTGGACAAAGCTTGTCACAAATTTGCTTCGCAAGCCTTGTGCCACATTGAACATCAAGCCAGCAAGTGAACAGCCAAGATAGAGATGGCCCCGAAGAGCGACAAGATAATGAATAGATCGCAACTATAAGCTGCATTCGACACTATCTCGCAAGAGATCAATGACAATGTGGAAGGGAAGACATACAGCTATTGAATGAAAACTCGTATTGTTTGGTAGGGGCCCTCTTCTGTTGCCATAACACCGAGACTCTCTCAAGATTAGAGGATACAGAATGAATAAAAAAATCACTTTCCGGTATCTAAGTATTGAAAAAGCATTTTTTCAAAATTTTGGGCCCCATGCAAACAAGGAGAATCCTGGGCCCAGGGCTCACTGTCCCAATGCAATAGTACGGTACTTAAATGAAAGTTCCAAAATCTGATAAATGTTCTCTTCGGGCCCTCAGCTTAAATGTTTTCATTAAATCATAGGTTAAGGTGGTAAGGACATGAAAATGTTTGTGACTCAGTTTTTAGGAATGCACATTATTTTAATGCTAACCAAATTGATTTGGGAGTATAGATCAAAACAGCAGAAGGGCTCAACCACCTCGGCTCTGACAAAATTTTTGCTCCAGTACATCCGTACTTTGCTCCAGTATAAAACATGAATGATTCGCCAAAGATCTTAGGAATAAAATATCGGTACTAACGCTAAATCTTGGCATAATTCCATTGGCGAGGTCTGACTGTGCTAGTTTTTTATTCGGAAATTTGCTGACGTGGCGAAAACCATGCGAGATTTGCCCTGACGAACTTTGCAAAATAACAGGCCCGTTGACACTGGGGGCAGGGGGGCAATACCCTCTCCCAATAATTTGCGAAAATTGTGTTTGAAGATCTTATAAGCGCAATATTTCGTAAGGCAGATAAAGAATAAGCTATATTTCTATCCATGCCCCCCAATCCAGTTTAGCAGTCTACGGGCCTGCATAAAAATGAATAAGTTTTAAATGTCTCCCATTGTAAACTAAACAAGAAAAAGAAACGAGATACAACTGGAAGACTTAGATTCATTACAAGCTTTATGCTCATAGACATGTAGACATGAATTGATATCTAAAAGAAAGGAATGACTCGTTATTCTTGAAAGTGTCTTGCTGAGAATATTTATTTACTGTCTTCAATAAACAAGACAGGGTTCTTTATAATTGCATTTAGAAATTTGCTAAAAGTTATTTATGTTGAAAATGCTTCTTGGTTTGTCGATAAAAGTAGAGAATAAGATCTTGGCTTTTTGGTAATTGGAAACTATTAGGGGATGGGGAATTATTGTAAATGAAAGCTTACATGAATTGTCTAGGATCTTCCTTTCAACAAACTTGATGTGCCAAGTATTCTAGATGCATTTCTGGCCATCCCTTTAATGTCATATTTCGAAAATCTTTCTTGAATTCGGCCAGAATTCCTAACCATGGTTGTGGCCTTTATTTAACCCCTGAACGATGTAAACATATCGCCCCTTCCCCCACTTTCATTAACGTTTCGCTTGCCCTGCCTTTGTTACTGGTGTTACCATCTTGGTTGCTGCGCAAACAAAAAAACCTGGCTGCTCAACCACTGATAGGAAAAACATCAACCCCTATTATGTTTTGACCGAAAAATAACATATCAAGATTATTTTTAATAGCTTAGATATTTCTTGAATAACTTGGATATTTCATTAAGTTTTACCCTGGGTACCAGAGCCTCAATGATCGAAAAAAGGTGACACCTCTAAATACCATTCGTCATTTTTTCTCACTGAGGCCTTCCTTTAAAAATCCTTCAGCTAGAAAAAAATAATTTTTCCCTCGCAATGTCCCTCGTAATAAAAAGGAACAACCTATTATTGATTTTCGGGGCCCGTTCTCCACGACTTGGCCCGGGCCCTAAATTTTGAGCCATTCCGCCCCTGGAGCTGGCACGCCTAGCTGAACAAGCAAAGAACATGACGGTTTTCAGTCTCGAAGAGAAGGTGTAGCACAGTTAACAGCGACTATCAAAAGTTTCACAAATCCATTCTCTGATGCACATACCGACTTGTTTAACCTTGGGTTCAAAGTGGCTATAGTTTAAAGGGTAAAGAAAGATTTGTGTGAACAACGTGAGGTCGGCAGGAGACTGTTTGATTGTTTTCTAAAAGAACAAGTCAAGTCTGCTGAAGACAACCTTTGGTCGCCCATGAAGGAGAGAAAACTCCTAACATGGAAAACCAGTGCAAAGGTAGTAAAGGTGACTGCAGCAGACAAGATTTTGGAGCTTCAAGAGGATAGGCCCCTTTTTGCACGTATGGTGTGTAAGAGCAGGCCGGAAATTGATGTAAAGGAGACAGTGGGCCAATACAAATTTTCGGTAGTTCCGTGATCATTGTTTGCTGCGGATGGTACCATGCGTCACTGTTCAGCCAAGAGTGGTCTAATGAGCATTCAAGAAGAACTGAATGACAACAGAATCAACAGGAGAGATGCTACTAGTCCAAATGAAGATCAAGTGCGAACCGCAATTATAGATGAAATGGCAAAAGTTCAGGCACTTGATAAGAGCGAGTGGGTAAAAGTTGCGCAGAACTGGCTGAGTATATTCAGCAACCGTGCTCTGCAGGCCTACACTGAAATTGATGAAGAGCATATAATCTTCGCCAGATACGATTTACCTTCTTCTCTTAAAGCTGTCATCAAGATCACGCGGCGAGGATTACATGCTCCAGCATATTACCACATTCATTATAAGTATTTTTCAAAAAGCTCCTCTAGAAAGACTGAAAATAGATTTTGGGGACATTTCAAAGCTTAACATGCTTTCAAATTATTCAGCATATCATATTGTGTACATGTACAAAACTTCATGTTGTATCGTAAAATGCACGGCTACAAGTACCACATAGCACACTACAGATTTAGAGGGTTAAAAGGTAATTTTTTGGAAGGGGGGTGTAAACATTCTAAAAACCAAGAGCAGGGCGATTTGTGTATGGTTTTAAGTACATTTCTGAAATTATTGTCGAGTTAAAGCCCCCATAGCCCCCCTCCCGCTTCCACAGTCCCTGCACAGCTTTGAGTGTGTACTTTTTTAAATTTCAGAGGAGTAAGTTGTTTGACAAAACGAAAAGTTTCAACAGCCATAAATTTTTGCTTATGAGTCAGATCACATTGATGTTTTTGTATTTTTCACTTAGTTTTGCGATTGGGCATTGTTCACGTTTCTCGAAACTTGAATTCCAGTCATTTGCAAGAATGCAGGCTTCAAATGCTCAGTGGGCAGTGGCGTAACCGACTAAGGTTGGGGTAAGAGCAACTCCTGAGGGCCCCAAAGCCTTTAGGGGCCCTCAGAACCGCTGTATCCTAAATCCTGATGTTTTCCTTTCGATGAAGTCGGGAGTTCCGTTAGAATCATACCACAGACACTGAGTAATCAAAGATCAGCTGTTTCTATCTAAACAAATATAAAAGTTTACTGCATGAGGCCTAAAAGTGTAAAACGGCTGTTTCAAACTTCACAATCATTTATAAATCATTTGGCTAAAATGTCTTCAAAACGAAATATAATTCTGGAGCTTCCAAGAGAGCAGAAAAAACGCTATATTGAAGCTGCTCATTCCAATACAAGAAAATTAGCAACAATTTTCACTCAACAAATCCAAAAGAAAGCAGAGAAGATATATCAAACCCAGCTTCACCGACGTCAACTTCAGAATGTCCTTTTTAATTTACTGAAAATACTGCTTCTATCGAAGAGAGGAGCTTGGCGTTTCCAAGAGACTATAGCAGAAGAACGAAGGTCTAATTCTGAGACTGGATCTAAAACTTTTAGCAAGTTAAGGGAGAACAATTTGGCTGCCGATACACAATTCAAATTCGATATAACCAAAAATTATCTCACTGATCTGGGTCATTGTCCAAGTACAATTCAAGATGCTGCACTTAAAAAGGAAATTACCATGTAAGGGTCTTGCAGACCAATGGGGCCTTATCAGTATAAAAGATGATCACAAACTTCAAGTCGAGTTACTACCACCAATTTGTGAATAATATTCAAGTACCGAGAGGCTGGCTTTGCTATTCCATGGAATTGATTAAGCGATACTGTGAAGAATGCTGGCTTTTTGCTGTCGAAGAAAATATTTGATCAAATGGCAAGGGTGAATATTGTATCTGGCTCGACCCACAACATACTAGAGAAGATAAAAAGCATGAGAAAACTGCAAATCACATTGAGTCCTCGGCAGTTTATCTCAAATGGAAGTACGGTAAAACTTTAAATGAGGACAAAGAAAGAGAGCTACGTTGAAGCTCACGTTTTTGAGTCAAAGTGCTTGATCGTATTATATCAATATTTTTTATCCTGACAACGTTAAATCTGACATTAAGAGGACGCAGAGAAGAGGCTTTCGAAGGCAATTGCAAGGGTGGAAACTCTCTTGGATTAGTTTCTTTGCTAGCAGGGTATGATGAAGTCCTTTCTAAAGTTATTTCTCTCCCTGCAAGAGCTACAAAATATTTGAGTGCGAAAATTCAAAACGAACTATTGGACTTTGTCGAAAGCTATCACTTTATCTCTTGTTCATAAGATCAATAAGGGTTTATTCTGGTCTTTGATTTTAACTCTACTAGTGATATAACACGAATAGATCAGTTAAGCCTTGTGGTCCGTTGAGTCCAGATAAAGGATGATAAATGTAACATTGTAGAAACCTTCTTGGATTTGTGCAAATAGCAAATGGTAAGGCTGGAAGTATTGCAAAACAGCCAAATCATTCTTAGAAGACCTTGGACTACATTTTTCCGAAGATTAGAGGCCAAGGATATGAGTAGTGTACATGCTGGTGTGCAAAGGTTGATAAAGAATATGGTTGATAGCCCTGTTCAATTTGTTCATTGCGGTAGCCATAACTTGAATCTGGTCATTAGTGACTCTGTGGGGACAGTACCGGAGAATGGTTATTTCTTTGGGACATTGAAGAATGTTTTTAATCTTTTCGGTTCATCATTAAATAGATTGAAAGAACTCAGGGTTGAAAGTTTCGCAGGATCTTTGACACTTAAGAAGTTGTGTGTCACAAGGTGGGCCTCTCGTATTGATTCTGTTCGTGCTTTCCGTGATAGATATCCACATAATATGACATTTTCAACTCACATTACCTTGACATCAAAGAACAAAAATGAGCGACATGATGCAAAGAGACTCAAAGAAAAGATGGATTCTTATGAATTGGCTCTTTTAGTTGTGATTTGGGAACGAATTCTACGGGCAATCGGCACAACTTCTCGTGAATTACAATCCCCAGCAATTGACTTAACTGATCTCGATTGACAAGTTGCTCTATTTTGGAGCTTTTTGTGCTACGCGAGTCCTGGGAATCTGTTAAGCAAACTGCGTCTGCTTTAGCTAGTGCTTGGTACACACTAGTTGATTTCAAGCCAAAAAGTTGAATTAGAAGGTCCGTTATTGGAGCATTTGAGGACAATATTTTGTCGATATTGCTTCGATGCAGCTTAAAGAAAGGTTTTGTGGCCAAGATCTGTACACTTCAACGTTCGACATTTATTTCCAAACTGTCTAGCAAGAGCCACCAACGAAGACATCTCCAAAGCATCAAACAACTGGCTGAGCCTGCATGCCAAAGATCTTACAGAGGACTTGGAATCAGAGCTACGGACATTTGCTACGGACGTCTGCGATTCAACAAAACTCAAAAATATAATACCAGCAAAAATTGAATAGAAACGAATAGCAGCAGAACAATACAAAGTAATAAGCAAAATAGCATTGAAACAACAGATATACAAACTTCATATCATAAAGTCAGTTGAACATCATCAATATCAGTTTTAAAATACACCCTTCTTTTATAAGAACAATTTTATAAGAACACGAGCCTCAAAATTGGTCGAAAGTTAAGAACAAATCAAGAACAAGCTGAGGCTGAGCTTCTGCAAAATGCAATTTTGAGCAACGTTTTTTCTCAAAATCGAGGATTTTTAGCGATGTGTGGGTGCTTTTTCGGTGAATATTTAAACCTGTCAGCAAATGAAGGTTGTCTCACTCCTTTTATTGGCAAATGAGGCCTGACTACCTCCCTAGAGCGAAAAAGCACTCGCACTGCTTAAGAACATTAGCTAAAAGAGAGATGAACAGCTGTAGACTTGGTTGATTTGATGTTTGAAAGTCAAGTCAACTCTTCATTTCCACAAGTCTACAAAGCTCTTTTTTCCTTTCGCCACAATGCCCTTAGATAAAAACATGTCCTTTGACTTTGCCTGTTATCTAACCTCTTTCTTTGCTATCTAAAATTATTTTGTTTCTTTTGATTCTTCAATTTTAAGGAGTATTTATCTTGCTGATTTCGTAACCTTTGTGTTGAAAAAATTTCATTGTGAAAGGGCCCCCCAAGCAAAATATTCCTAAGGGCCTAAACTGTTCCGCCACGCCACTGTCAGTGGGCTAACCCTTATGACTTGACTTAAACACTAAAAATTTCGGTTAAGCAGTTTGCAAGATGGTTATGCAAAATTCCTTGTCTCATAACACCTATAAAAGCTATTAGACTTTAAGCAGTAAATTAGCGTAAAAATTAGACTCAGAGACAATACAGATAGACTACGAGTTTCAAGATGTATATGCGTATATATAGTATTACCTATTTGTTGTTTCAACAGATCATCGATGCTCGTCGCTGGATCTATGTAAAACAAAAATTTCGCTTTCAAAAATTTGTTGGACACGTGTTTCTGAAAGTACTTCATGCAGAAGGATCCTGGTGCAATGACCGGTAGCATGGAACCGAGACTTTCTCATAATTTTCAAATAGGTCCTTAAGATCATTGAAGGTTGTGGATAAACGATCATGGCTTGCAGGATAATTTGGAAAATTACTAAAGATCGATAATTGCACAGGGGCTCCCCAGCCGTCTCCCCCCCCCCCGCTTCCACGTTCCCTGTTTTACACTAAAACACTTTTATTATAAGAAAAATTTTAAAACAACACGAGCCTCAAAATTGGTCAAAAACTAAAAACAAATTAGGAACAAGCAGAGGCACAGCTACTGCAAAATGTAAATTTTGACATTTTACAGAAACTTTTGACCAACTTTGAGGCTCCGGTTCTTGCAAAATTCTTGTATAAAAATGTATTAAAAAGTATTAAAAAGATGGGGTGAGATATCCCTAGCAGACAGTGTTTTTTAAACTTTTTGGTCCTTTGCACATTTATGAGATTGAAGAGACCACCAGGCGCTCCATGGTCTTTTGATATATTTATACTTATTAAATGTGACTATAATTTCTACTACAGTACAAATATCTGACAATGCAAATAGTTTACAAATAAAAGTCGATTAATTGTCGAAAAGAGATTCCACATTATATAGGATTTGTCCATCTAGACCGCAATAAAATTACTCAGGTCATAAGCAAGTTTACTTGACCTCCCGTTATGTACAACAGCTTTATACATGTTTTTTACTTCAGCAAGCATCTACTCTGACTTTCTACATCAAATATTCTTGGATGAACCAACCTCTCTACAAAAAAAACAGAAAAACTTACCTAACGTTTTAATTGTTATGAGTTTTGAAGAAGATTCTCCTCCCTTAGAACCTTTAAGGTTCGCAGAGCCTGCAAATAAAACAATTTCTCTAGCTCATTTCAAACAATATTTTCATATAGTTTCGTCGGAACGTTGAAGCAAAGCTAACAAAAAAAATGAATTTTCTGTTTTTGTTTAAAACCTAATGTGGCATAAGTGGGAAAGTGTGATTTTTCTATATATGAATATTTTAGTTTCTTTTACCTACAATTTAAAATTGCCGCCTAAACAAAATTCGCTTCACTACGCACCTGTAAGTTAGACATATTCATTAATCCATATTTTTGTGTTCTAAAAGACCCCTCTTGTAATCTAAACAAAATTTGTATGAATTTCGATTGTTACCAACATATTACAATGGCAAGCAATAATTTCTGATTCGTGCAACAGTGGTTACAAATGAAAGACTGGGATTTGTTCAGTCTTGTTCTGATTTACATTTGATATTGTCCAAAATTGTGCATATTGGTGATAAAAGCATGAAACTTTGCATTACTACCACTAAACATGCAACTCATGATTTTAGATATGGATCAAAGTCGTACTTGGTCCTGGAGTCAAAATATACGCATGCTCTAAATTTCTTAACACTTAGTCGAGGCTGTAACAAAACGAACCCAAAACGCGCCTGAAATTACGAGAATTAAGATTCAACCAATAGGCAACCTTTATTTGAGGCTCTCACTCTTGCAAGAGTACACAGATGGCCTGCGCATGCCGTTAATCTCCTTTCGTGAAAACGAGAGTGTTTTAAAACATTCATAATACTAGTAATCCAATCCTTGTAAAAACTGAAGCAAAATAAGGGGCTGACTATATTTTGTGATTTTTAGGTTAAACGTGATTGATCTGTTATTTGCAATCGCCGTCACAGTTGCATCATCCATTGCATGCAATATTGGCTTTTTCCCGGGTAACCAGCTTTGCAACCGCATCGAATAAGTTCGTAGCAGGAGTCTTTTGATTGCGACAACAACGTCCAATAGGGCACCCAGCAGGGCCTGCGCCACAGGGGGCCGAGGTAGCCACGGCCCTCTTACTTTTTCAAGCCTTGCCCCTACCCACTTTCAAATTTGTTGCACGGGCCCTGCCCAGTGATCATTTTCGAGGTTCCATCCCAATTTGGAAGGGCTTGGTAAGGTGGGCTTGGAAGACGGATCTCTTGATATGCTGTAACAATGATGCCTGGATGGGAGGAATGTTTTCAAGTGATCTTGATTTGCTTGAAATGGCACTTCTCTTTCTTCGTTGACTTTGCTCAAACTTCTTGTTCTGTCATATAAAAGAACCACAAACCTTTCAATGACATCCAGCCACGCATCATCAATATCATCTGGTAGCATCACCAGTTTTTCAAGAACAGGAGTTTGCTCCGGGATTAATTTCCAAACATCCCACACCATCTTTTTCCCGCCACCGCCAAAAAAGAACCTGTGTCGCACCCAGTCAATGCATGAAACATCGGAAGCACCCGGGCTGTTTTTGACCAAGTGACGCGGCAATAGCCTGAGCTGGAAAATTTCGGATATGCTTAGAATGACTGTGTAAGCTCATCTTACGAAAGAATTGTAGAAAACGAAGCTAACACAACAGCATCAGTATTGTTGCTTCTGATTATTATTCTTAGGTGGTCATGCAGGCTGGCATCAAACGCATGAATAATCAAGCGCATGTCAGCTTCTTCATGTGTGTGTGGTGAGAGTGTATTCATATCAACCTCGTCGTCAGATGACAAGGCACACTCTCCATATGTAGAACATGTTTGTTTTTCCTGCCGGCAGCTTTAGTGAAACCACCTAAAAATGAATGTTGATAGTATCATGAACGAAGTGACAATAAAAATGAAAGTAGGAAGATAAATGCTAAAGCTGTCACAGTTTCTAGTTCAACGTTTTTGGAATGATAGTAGTACATTTTTTTGATAATTGTTCTGTTAAGTCCTGTTGTTTCAGTGGACGTCTCTTTATGGCAATGTGTTTGTCTTTCAACATGCAAGCCTGGTTTCCACTCGGCGATTATCGCGATAAAGGCGATAAATTCAACTGCCTTTTCGCTTTTATCGTGATAGTTATTAGGTTATTAGTGTGTGTTGATCACGATATGTTAGTCTTTCTGTTGGATCAATAAAGAAAACATCAAAGAACGAGTATCTCTTGCGTGCTACTTATTCAGGGCCTAGGCTCCTTGGCCTAGCCAATCGCTCCACCAAAGAGCTGGTTATTAGCGGGCTATTCACCGTCATAACAAGAACCCGAAACGTTACATTGTCAACAGTTCCAAGTTTAACTGCTTTGAATATAGTACCAGTATATAAACAAATATAATGCTGTCCCAAGGGGCGTCGTGGGTAGTGACTCTTAGGAAGAGGGCGTAGCCTGCAAATTTATGACTTCATCGAGTACACGCGCAGTTTTTAAATGCAGGAAGACATGGCAAACAACATGTACATTTTTCAGCATCAATTTTACTGATTACAATTTACAACATGTCGGTCAGAGAAAGGCAGCATCCGTATTCGAACATTGGATAATCATAATCATCTGCGATTAACAATAAAAGTCGCGCCCAAGTCGCGCCCAAGTCGCGCCCAAGTCGCGCCCAAGTCGCGCCCAAGTCACGATAGGACTGACAATCGATATCTGATCACAACTGAGTTTGAAATAAGTCAAGCCCGGCATATATTAAACCTCTCTTGGCCGATTGTTGATTGCAGCCTGTTTTTACACACTAGAGCTTTACAAGTGTGCACTCGCAATTAATTATACAAATTGGCAAGCTTGTCATTTTACTGTACAAATGTACCAATTTAGATAAGCAGACTTTAAAATAAATAACCACAAGTTTTATTGTCTGCAGAAAACTTGCTTCTGTTTTCTTTGAACTTTCTTGTTTTTCTAAATACGAATATTATTTTGCTGAGAAGATATGAAATTTCCGACAAATTGCAGAATGGTGGACGATAGGGGGAGTACGTGCTCCTGCTGCCCTTTTCCCCCCAGCCACGGCGCCCCTGTGTTTACCAAAGTCTTTAATGATCTTTCTCTTCATATAGGTTTCATTATTATCCTTACCAGGAAGCTTGACTCCTGCTACTGCTGAACAATCTATATTTGATACTTTGTTTAATCAATATAGAAATTAATGAAAATGAGGATTATATAAACAAATAACACTCACCTTGGTTGCTAGGAGTTTGAAAACTCATCTTTGTTGTTGTCAACTCTTAAGAACCCTTTCCAATCAGACGAAATCCGTGTAGATAGCATCACTTTTCTGATCCGTATCTCTATTGTTGCTTTCTTCAAAGAATCGTCTCCATACACATCCCTAATAATGTCAAGCCTCTTCACACCTTGCAACTGTTTCACAATATTGCTTACAGCTATTGGTTGCAGCATCTACACCATCACAGCTCCATCCAATATGATTTCATTTACAATTGGGTGGCTCTCTACCTCATGGAAGGAATCTGACACCAGGCAACAAAATCAGCTTTAGTTCCTCCTCGAAGTTGCCCCATCTTGGAAAGTCAAGGAAGCCATAGTTGGTTTTCAAAGGTGAAAAAATCTTAAAGAGTTCTATCACGGTTTTGTCACGCGATGTAAAGCTTTGAAAAGAGGACACAATCTTCTCTCGGGAAATAGATGCCATCATGTCTGTCGGACTTGCGATTCTGTGCTTGTGTACTCAACATTCAAGAAAAGATGAAACAAAACAATCGTCTGTTTTTCTAGAAAGAAACTAATAATTTTGGCACAATGTTTGGAATGATCCAAAATGTGTTTCGTTCAATTCTCAAGCTTTCTTGAGCTGTAAATCAGATATTCGTTCATCGTACAAAGTGTGCTCTAAAAAAGGGATGCTTCGGGCTGGCCAAAAGCCTTCAGATCTGCTTGATATTGTAGTTTTGTGTCTTCGATAAACTAGTAGTTAAGAAGCGTTCTAGATGTTAAGAAATCTAGAGCAATGATATAGAAGCGCCTGTCGCGAATTTTCGTTAGGTTCGTGACAACAATAATGAACTCGCTTGGTTCGTTTAAGCGTACTTTAATGAAGAAAACAAAACAGATAACATGTTTCAAAACTCTCCTCGCATCTCGTAGTTTTCGAAGTCTCTCACATTCTCTCCCTACCTGTCAATCATTTCCTTTGCACATGGTTGCTTAGTTACGGAGTCCTTTTAGCGTCCGAGGAGGGGGAACGACATCAATTTCCCACACGCCGAAGGAGACAATGGTATTCAAAAGTATCCGTTTTCATTTGCGTATTCAATACGCACGGTATTCAAAAGTATCAATTTTCATTTGCGTATTAATATGGCTCCATTTTCATAGTAGAGCAGTGTGAACGCAAGGCAAAAACGGATTAGTTTGACTCCATTTTCATTTGAAAACTGAGTAGTGATTTATTTTTATCAACACTGTCAGAAGGTTAAACCAAACGCGGATAACATATCGAATAACACGAAAACAGTACCAATTTACGATCATTCTCTGCACATACCAATTACAATATCAGCGACAACAACTAATGTAACATAATAACAATATCGACTTTCACTTGTAAACTTGGCGTAGTTTTATCTTCAAGACTAGGGGGGGTCATGAGTAGTAAAATTTATAGACGAGGACACGGATAAAGATCAATTTAGTGCTATTTCACCCATCGATTGGCGATTTTACCGAAAAACCAGGGAATTTTTGCACCAACTAAAAATTTACCGACAAACCCATTCTTCAGAATTAGGAGGGGGGGTTGTTCACACCCCTATTCCCCCTGCCAGCTACGCCCTTCGGTGTAAATCTTTCGAAATTAATACAACTGTCAAAGTTAATCAATTGTTGGAAAGTGCAAATACTGCCACCCATAAAAGAGTTAGATAAATGTAGCGTTAAAAAGATGGGGTGAGATATCCCTAGCAGACAATGTTTTTTAAACTTTTTGGTCCTTTGCACATTTATGAGATTGGAGAGACCACCAGGCGCTCCATGGTCTTTTGATATATTCATACTCATTAAATGTTACTATAATTTCTACTACAGTACAAATATCTGACAATGCAAATAGTTTACAAATAAAAGTTGATTAATTTTACGTCATGAGTAAGTTTACTTGACCTTGCGTTATGTACAACAGCTTTATACATGTTTTTTACTTCAGCACGCATCTTATATTCTTGGATGAACCAACCTCTCTACAAAAAAAGCAGAAAAACTTACCTGACACTTCGAGTGTTTTTTGTTTGGGAGAATCGTCTTCCACGCCAACTTTTCGTTCCTTAGAATCGTTAAGGTCCGCAGAGCCTGCAAATGACACAATTTTCTTTAGCTCATTTCAAACAATATTTTTATACTGAGTGTCGCTGGAACGAAATTCATATTGGGAGGGGGAGGGGGGGGCTTCAGCACTCCCCCAGCCCCTCCAGCTTCCGACTGCCTTGTCATAATGGAGCAGTCTTCCTTCCTTGTCCAATTATAGAATCAAGGTGGCCTGATAAAAAAGCTGAAATGCCAACCACATTCATTAATTTTTTGTCTATCTATCGTGAACTCAGGGGCGCACATTAGGAGTGGGTGGGAGTGAGACACCCCCAATATTTTTTGAGTCGGTCCAAAATTTTCATTCCTAAGGGGAAACTCGGTCCACAAAGAGTTTTAGATAATTCGAATCTAACTTGGTTCGATTTTTATGTTTTGGGCAATGGTCTGTCCACGCGACTTTCCGATAATGAATGAGATAAACCCTTCAGGTTTTCAACAAAAGAGCAAGATAAAAATCAAATGTTTCAGCCGACATTTGCTCGTTGCCCATGGCCGAAAACCCTCAAAGCCTTACTTTAAAATTTCAATTACCCTATTCAATGACCCTTTTCGCCTGGTAACCGTTTGATTGACCCGTGAAAGTGAGGCTTTATAGGTTTCCAGCCATGGGCTATCAGCCAGGAGCTGTCTAGTTTCCATCCTGCTCGACCTGATGACGTAATTAGTTTACCCTAAACCTAAGCCTAACCCTAACCCTAACCCTAACCCTAAACCTAACCCTAAACCCTAACCCTGTACTTGAAATAATTAATCATACTAATTTGTGACTATTAATCATGCTTATTTATGACTATCAGGTCAAACAGTTTGGAAACTATACAATTCCTATAAGCCACGAGCAAAAATTGGCTAAAAGATCTGATCTGATTCCTATCTTCAAAGTTCAAAATGTGACTCCAAACAACTCTTTAGCTATTCGGATATTGATGGAATTGATGATGATTCAGCTGCAAAAAGAACATTTTTGAGGATAAGAGAAAGAACTAATCAGTAGGTTTGATTAAAAGTATCATAAAGATACCTTCAATGTTTGATTATATTGATCATCCATTTCTACTAAGAAAGAGAAAGTAAAAATGTAAATATAAATTCTATAATAATTAATTTTGACTAGCCAAGTTGGAATTTGAATGTTTTTTAAAATCTTCTTTGCTTAAAGCACTCTATTCTCAAAACATTTCAGATAAGATTTTACAGAATAATATCCCAAATCTTTTGTTAATTTTCAAGTTAATGCTTTCTTCGTAAGCGGTGTTTCATTTCTTTTTCTCCTCCATCTTATTTTTCTTATTATTAAGATAAAAGAAAATTGTCATTACGAGCTACATTAAAAAGGTTGTTCGAAAATTTTGAAAGCCCTTTCCTATTTCATGTCAACGTTACAATAGATGAGACTATGCGACATAATGATAAAACATAAAGCTTGAAAATATTGCCACAGATTTTCCTCTTGCCAAAATTCTAGGTATAGTTTCTGGCTTTCCTAAGGTGCAATATTTCCAAAATTTCTCTTGCCGCCAACCATGGTGGCGGCCTTTTCTAAATCTTTTCAAAACTGTGATATTTTGGCCCCTTTACGTTTAATTACGTTTCGCTGGTCTTGGTTTTACCTTTTACAGCGATTTCTTGACAAAACGCTTAAACTGGCATATATTTAACTGGCAATCGCAGTAATATATTTCACTGAAAATTATGAAAAGTGGTGGATTTTAATTTGATTAATTAATATACCGCTTAGTAAAAGCTTGAAATGCAAGTGAAGAGAAGTTTCTATTGTAGCTATACCTGCTGTCATTGTTGTAAAAGATCTTAGATCGCTCTTAATAAGCAAAAATATTCTATTTACCCTCAGTCGGTCCAAACAATTTCCACGCTGCAGTCGGTTCAGAGCATATTTATACCCCCCCCCCCAATAAAATTTTGTTGTGCACCCCTGCGTAAACAAAGATGCTTTGATAAATCATCCAGGTAATGGCGACCATAAATTTTCCCCAAAACGATTACCACTAGACTGAAACAATGACATTCAGTTGAAGAAAGTAAATGCGATTTGCAGACCGAAATGGCGTATCAAGTGCAAACCAGGATCGCAAAATGTTGAAGCAAAGCTAAGCTTTTTTGTTAAGAATGCGTTAATATAAGATATTAGATAAAATTTCAGACTCACCAGCAAGAAGAACGGTTGTTATCAGCAATAACACTCGAATTATGTTATGATTCTTCATAGTGATTTCTGCTCTTCCAACCGCTTGCGTTACTTCCTTTATATGGTCGAGGCAATGGCAAGCTACACAAGCGCTATCACGAGTTAAAAACCAGGTTCCGGGGGGCAGTTACAATAACAAAAGCGAAGGAAACAAATGTCAGTTTCTAATGTCATTTCTATGGGGAGCAACATTTTAATCGGGGGGGGGGGGGGCGGGGGGCAAGAATAGTAATTGGCGATTTCTAAAGAATAGACAAATAACCACATTCATTTTGTCTGTACAAAATTCATATTAGAGAAGGGGGGATTTGAAAATCCCGTTCCTGAAGGGTCCCTCCACTAAAAAACGTACAAAATCACCTTTTAAAGAAAAATGAATTACACTCTTTTTATAAGAACCAGTGAATTTGAGTTCAGACTTACTGTTCTTAATTTTTCGACAATCTGAGTCCTTTAAATAATCGGGTGTAAGCAGTGCGATTGCTGAGCCTCATTTGCCAACAAAGTGACTGAGACAATCTTTTGTTGCCGACAAGTTTGAATATTCATCGAAAAAGCACCAATACATGATTAAAAAACAAGAACTGCGGAGAAGGGGGGCTGGGGGCTATAGCTTCCCCCCAACTTTTTGTCAAAAGGGCAAAAGATTTACAAAAATATCACTAGTCAAACCATTTTCTAAAGTCTGAATGTAAAAATTTTCGGAAAACGTAATTCTTATAAAAAAGGCAATAGTCTTGAAACTTTCAAACTTGGCTGGTCAAGACGATATTTAAAAATGAATCTCAAATTAGATTTTGGTTTGCTTTCGATGGGAAAGGATAGTATGCTTTGACCTTATTTAAATCTCCCTCTCCAATCATTGATAATATCATATTTGGAAGTATTCTTGACAATACTTTCAAAAAACAAATCTGCCTGTCTCTCGTTTCTTGTACAGAGATTTTTCTAACGATTACCTTTCTTTCAAAAACTGATATTCCCTCTGTATCACTTTTGAGAGTTTATCCGATAACAAATAGACCTTGTGACTTGTGAGTCATGTTTAGACCAAACAGGTAGGGGCGTCGCGACCGGGGGGGTGTGGGGTGTCACACCCCCCCCCCAATAGTATCTCGATAGGAAATTTCAGGTTAAATCCGCCCAGTGGAAGAAATGCTTTAGGTACTTCAGCGACCTTCATGTATTAACATCAATAAAGGATCAAGAAAAGATAGTTGCTTCTTTGGCTAAATATGATACTTCTTGATATGAAGGAAGATAAAAAAACTAATGACACAAAAGCTAAAAATCCAGGTACTCTTTAGGTAAAATTGTGTCTTGTGTCCATTTCCCCTAAAAAGGCATGCTAAGATGGAAAGAGGAATCTAAATTGGCAACCAGTGCTGCTTGTTACCTAGCTTTAGAAGTAACTGACAACATGGAATTTTTTCAAGACCACGGCGAAATTGTACCAGTTGTTTTTATCTGCTGTTCAATTTGTTTGCAAAAATAAAAGAATTTTCGGTAGGATTAGGAGGATTGCTTTAGTAAAATTTGCTTAAAAGAGTGCATTTTCCAGGGAGCTGGAAGCATCAAAATTCGAAAATTTTCTGCTCCTTCGGCGGCAGCCGGTGCCGCCTCGGCTAGTTGCCCGTCCCCGTATACAGATTTGATAAAACCTATAGGAAAGTCCGTTATTATCATTTTAAAATGAATGTTGTGAATTATATGCCACACAGTTAGATTGGCAAAATGAATTGCAGAGGTTGAATTGAATTGCAACTTAAGAATTTCAGTCAATTATTTTTTAATCAGGTAGATTTGTAGTCCACACCCCCCCCCCCTCCCCATCAAGGCTTGCCTCGCGACGGCCCTGCAAACAGGATACGATACTTCGTCACCAAGTTGTCCTGGATCTTTTGCGGTTTCTCGTTAAAACATATCCGGGTTAAAATTTATCCGTTTTAAAGTGACCCACTTTGAGACCCATTTTCAAAATTATCCGTTTTTCAAGTGGGTTAGTGGGAACGCGACACAGAAACGGACAACTTTTAACCCGGATATGTTTTAACCCAGGCTAGCGGAAAGGCTGCCTAAAAACCAGACAAGCATTCCAAAGGCCATACAATGGTTAATAGCTAGCCATCACTTTTGAAAAGCTGTTAGTTACTCGTACAGTGCATAGTGTAACGCACAACTTGGACGATGATTCGGTTACTTCGTTAAAATCATCATGATCGACTTTCTTCGTCTATTCTAAACATACGGCATTGTAACAAACTTAAGTAAGGGTCATATTTTAGGCAATACTAAGCAAAATAACTAAGGGAATGCAGGGGCGAAAATACCGGGGGGTGCGGGGCGTGACACCCCCCAATCTTAGAAATAGCCGATCTCGCAGGGCAATCGAAGATTTCGCAGGGCGCCAAGAAGAGCCTTATTGCCACGCAGAAACGCCACCTCTGAAGTTCTTAAAGGGCCGTTTACGAATTTTGAAATGGAAATATTATATTTGTTATGAACCTCCCTTCCTGACATTGCATTTTAGAGAACGGAACAGGGTCAGGAAGGAAGAGCTCCGCTATTAGCAGAGCGAAAGCATTCTTTACCAAAAGTCGTAGCCAATGGATGCAATGATTGATGCATAAGTCTATGAGGGCAAGGTTGAGTCCACACAAATAAATTTAAGTTGTAAATTATTTTCATAACAGTTACGGCGCCACTGGGGGAATAGGAGCTAAAGGCCCCCACTTTGGTCAAGATAAGAATTTTTTATCATTTTTTCTATATTCTTTTATTTGCTTTAATTCAATAAATCACTTTCTGTATCATTCATTGCAATGTTTTAATTTTGGAAGTGTAACATGGCCTTCTCCAGATGAGAAACTGCACATTTCTGTTCAGGAAATAAAATTCTCCCAATCAAAACAACATTGCTCTGTCATTCACAACTATGTGCAATCTTAAAAGAAAGGTTACCGTTTCTTTCCTTCCACAATGTCTATCACTAGAGTTTTAGCATACCATCTCCTCTCCCTATTTTTCCAATAAACAATAATCAGTTTTTCAGCAATACAGTATTTTGCTAAACTTTAGTCTGGGAGATGTTTTTCGGCCCTTTTACAAGGTATAATTTCAAAAATTTTCTTCACGTCGGACCCAACCATGGTGGGTCCTCCTACCTCACTAAACTTGATATGCCATGAGTTGATATGCCTCCTACCTCACTAAACTTGATATTACAAAGGAAAATCAAATTTGACATTTGATTTACGCTCACTTAAAAAATAGATATTTCATAGGCAATGAAGTTTCAAAATTGTTTTTATTGCTTAAAAGTTTGCTCTTGTTAAAGACAAATTTACACCGGTAAAGCTTTCACTAGTAACCTATAGACAAACCTTTGCTACGAGGTCTGCAGGGCACCACTAATTTTCGCAGGGCAGAAACCCTTTTCACCCCCCCCCCCCAAACCTATTGTGGATCGGCGATCGGACGAAGTTCTGTTATTATCCAACGTGCTTGAAGAGTCTATCAGCTAGTGCTTGAAATGTATCATCAGCATGTTTTGCCGGTGACAATAATGATTTCCCATAAGAGAAAGTGATGAATGAACACCGAAAATAATTAAGTATAAATAACACATGAAAAAAGGAAACAAAGTTCGTTATATCGAGAGTAATTATGATGAAGAAACCCAAAATCTGGTTCGCAATATCGAGAGTTCGCTATTTCCGGGTTCGTTAATTTGTAAGGAGCTTGTTGGGCAGTATCATATGGACCAGACATTTAGTTCGTTATACCCGTGGTTCGTTATTAGTATAGATGTATAGAATTCATAGAAATGATTATATTTGAAAATAAATATCATCATTTGTTTGCGGTATAGTATATGCAGGCAGGGGGATTGTTTCCCCGAAATGATTCTTGATGGCGTCGAGGAAAGCCTCGATACCCTCATATTGAGGAGTGTTTGCGTATTTTATATTTAGCGAGGCCAAACACGAATTCAGTGGGACGGATGCTAGTTTGCATATCGAAATATGTTGTCAAAATTGAGCTGTGTCTTTTAAAAAATGCGAAGCACTTTTCTCTAATATGAAAGGCCTTTGATAATGATCAAAATATGATGGATTAATTCTGTAGTGAGAAATCATAACCTGACAGCGGTCGAAAGCAGATAACCAAAAAGTGGGCGAAAGCAAAGAGGTTCTGACTTTTTTTATTCAAATCTCGTTACACGGTAAAAATAAGGCAGATTGCCCCACCAAGACCCTAACCACACGTAATTTCCAGCATCTTCCCAAAGTTATGGCACTTGAACGAGTTTGCCTACGCCAGCAGATGTCTACATACACGTGGCACAAAACCTGCCGCACTTTCAAATTCCTTACCCAACATTACGTGATGAGCTGAGCTATTTTTATTTATATTAGAAAACACGTAAATTAATTAAAAATAACTTTTTGCATGGTTGTACTCTACTACCCTTTGAAATCGATACAAAACACTTCAAGCTAAACCAGAAACGATGCAAATTGGAGAAACGAGGATCTGCCCCCTATGTTCTCCTTCGCAATTCTTTGACTCTCTGAAGCTCTGACACCCAGGGTACCCTGTATGAGGAAATGTTGTTCGAATGTAATTGGGAAAGACAGTTGGATCCCCATATTATTGCCTCAAATTAACGTATGTTCTGTTTAATATTCATTTGACCTAGTAGCCACATTATACTTGATTCGAATCACTGACAACATACCTTTTCTAGATGAGCGTTCATGTTTTCTATTTTCAATTTTTCTATCTGAAATTTCCAACCATCAGTATCGTGAGAACTTTCTGTCAAGACAAAATAGGAAAACAGAATTGAATTTAAGGAGCTATTTGAGTATTTCGTTGGTTCTGGGAATAATATTGCTCTTTCACGGCATCTTTTGATAAGTTTCGTGTAAATTGGGAAACGTCACATTATAGTGGTCAATTGTAGCAATTTGCAAAAATAAGCAAGATAGAATCTTCGGCAAAAACTGACCCGGGTAAAAACTGACCCACTTTGAGACCCGTTTTCAAACTTATCCGTTTTTCAAGTGGGTTAGTGGGAACGCGACCCAGTAACGGATAACTTTTAACCCGGATATGTTTTGACCCAGGCTAGTGGAAAGGCTGCCTTAGATATTTGTTTAGATTTTACCTGAATTCGCTGCTGTAGTGAAAAGATTACACTAGAGTAACATATTCCATTGAAATGTATAGGAAAATCTAAATATTGAAAATGGGCTAATTAACAGCCTAAAACTCCAAATAACCTGAAATTATTTGCACAGTGTAATTTCAGCATGAAGATTCCAATTCTCTGATCCATTTTTGGCAAATGTGAAGATGAAAAATTAACCAAAACAGAAAATATATTCGTCTATGAAAATATTCCTCCAAATATTGTTAGATAGAATTGAACGAAATACCCCTCTAATTAAAATATTCGATCAAATTTGAACAAAAATACATCTTCGATCCTTTGTGAAAATATTCATTCAATAATTGAATGCATATTTTAAGGATCTAATTATGCCACAACTGCGCAGCCATACAAGGTCATTCATTACTAGAATGGTCGGAGCTCTTGTGTGGAAGGCCTAGCCCATCCCTTCAGCACTCTCCACTCCAGCCTAATAACAAAAATATGTGTCACCTGACAAAAGGTTGAAGTCCGCATCTCTTTCCTTTTCTTTAGAATTTCTTCGTCCATTCCTTAATCTCATTATTTGCCTTTCACAGAATGAATTATATTCCTTATTCCCAGGAAAATTAATTGTAAAATCTAGTAAAACAAAAGATTTCGATTAAAAAGTAATAGCTGGAATCTTGACTTGCTTGTAATTTGATTGCAATTATAACAGGATATTTGTCCCCTGTTAGCATTTGACATTAAAGAGGTTCAAATTTAAATGTATTTCTAAGTTTGTTCGTATTTGAGTAATTTTTTTAATTTATCAGCCCCAACAAAAACTCACTCCCATCACGTCCTGGCTTCTCGATGCTATTTCTTCTGGAGACAGTAGCCAGTAGCAGCAATCGTAAACAATCTACAGGCTACCTCATGGCGCTTGAATCGAAGTGAATATAGGCCGTTCTATTTTCCTTTGATGGATGATGACTACTTTTATTTACGTAAATAGAACTCAGAATTAAGCATGAAGATTGTGTAAAAACTTTTAATAGGCATTTGCTTTATAGCAAAAAACTACTCACCATCATTCGGCTCTTTAATGCCAGCTTGGTATTTGTCATTACTAGCTTTTATCTTACGCATCTGCTTTTGACAGAACATTTCAGATTCCATTATTTTTCCTAGAGTGGAACAAAGAAGATACATGTAATATTGTTAAAAGTTGTATACAATGATCATGATGAATAGGTAGTGTATGTTCTATCAACAAATACTCTACAATCTTATGTGTGAACAATCTATTGTTATACCATCTGTATATCATCTGCCCTTTTACATGTTTCCTTCAAAATACATACTTAAAAAACTATAAGCAAGGAAACATTTCAAAGGGGAAAATGCAATGGTTCACTGACATACAGAATATTCCTGTAAATACAATGAACCCACAAAAGTTTGACTGGATCAGTAGCAAGAAAAGAGATCCTAGGGCCTAGGGGCCACTTCCCGCACTCCTGACTACCTTGAATTCTGCAGGATTGTCAGGTAGGGAGGCCTTGGGTATCTCCTACAATCGTAATCAGGCTGTATCTCCTACTATTCTATTACCTTGTTCTATGGCAAAGCATTGAATTAGATGCAAAAACATAATCTTATAAATGATAGCTTCATACTAGCCATATCTCCATTTCGAAGATGATTATACATTTCTCAAAAAATAAAGTAGTTTTAAAAACATTCACACTCAATATTAATAAAATTCAAGGATGAATAGAGAATGATAGCCATGTTCGAAGTTTGCTAAAAGTATAAGTTTTTTAGTTTGCGTTTTAAAAAATCATTCATTGCTTTCAAACTACTTATTGATAACAGACCCGATTTTCATAAGTAATCCCACGACATTCTGAGTGTTGGGCGAAACTTTAAATCCGTGGAAAGAAAAACATTTATTTTCATATGCGATGGTGTGAATTAAGAATATAGTTAACTAAATAATTTATAAAAAATGATTTAATTCAACGTTGAAGAAATTTAAGAATACTAAGGCACAGAAAAAATTTCAAGGTATTCTTATACAAATTGTGTACTCTACATAGATGCAGGGCAAATTATACTTGTTTCCATACTTTGTCAACTGTCTGGGTGTGTTCAGCATAAAATTATGATACTGTTACTCTGTTTTTGTGGTACAGAATATAAAAAGGGCTTTGGAAAAACAATCATTTTGAAACATTATTAAACTTATCATTTGACACTCTTCAGAGTACAGAACGTGAGAACATTGATCGAAAAATCTACGCTAAAAAGTGAATATACTCTGAAGAGTGTCAGATGAAAAGATCAAATGTCTCTTTAAAAATGCTTGCTTTTTTAAAGCCATCTTTTACTTTCTGGTATGTTCTCGTTGAATTTTGGGCATTCCATTCAAAGCTTTAAATATAATTTTCATGTGCCCCACGTCTCCTGCAAACAGCGTTGTAAAATTTTCCATTTTTACCATTCTTCTGAAGATAAAGTTTAATTTTTATTTAGAAAGTTTGGACCTGATTTAAAAAACTAGTTGAGTTTCATCATACCAATAGTTTTCCATGTTTAGTCTTCCTTCTTCGTACACCTGTTTGGTTAATTTAGATTTTTCTATGTTCAGTATTCTACATAGATTAGAAACAGAAATTACTTTCTCTTTGAGTACGGACAAGTAACAATAGCCAGGTAAAAATGAAAACAATAAGCTTCTCTGTGTTCCTTATTTCAAGCGGCCAAATCTCCGACACAAAAGAGCTTGTTTGATAGAATGTGTGCTTGTGCTGGAGGGGTTTTAAGGTAACAAAATCTGTTTTTAACAGAGATGTAGGGAAAGATCTGAACTTTTCGCAACCATAGGTGTAATTTCGTGACGATGTTGTGTGGTTACTGAAGTCATGAAATCAGCAAACAATAAATGTTTTTGAATTGCAATTCGACGAAAAATGATTATATCATAAGGATTTGAGAACAGGAATAACAAATTGGATTATAGGACTGGAATTTTATTGGCGATGACCTTATCGGTGGGCTGACAACATAAGTTTTTTTAAAAAATGCAAGTCGAAATTTTTACTTTTAAAGCTCCGACTCAAAGAATGTGTATAGAAAACACAAGTAGGCATGTTTTTAGATTGTTCAGGTCTCTCAATGGCCACACTTCATCCAAGATAAAGCAGATTTAACTTTATGAAAGATGAAAGTTAAGGTTATTATTTCGTATCGTTTCAGAAAAAGTGTTCAAACTTCAAAATTTCTAAAACAATTCAGAAGCTTAATTCTGTAAATCTGCCACCGTATCTTTACTTTCAGCGTTTTCTGACATGTTTGAAGAAGTATTAATGCAAATTATCTAGCCAGTACATAAATATGTCTCAGGCTTGCGTTTCTTTTTGGTCTGTAAATGTAATGAAGCTTTGTGTCTGTGAAAACTAGAACTGTTACCATGCTGTTTCTGGCTATGTTTGACAAGTCTCTAGGCTTGTTCCAGGCCATCTTCATTAATAAAGTCCCTTCCATTTCTAGTCCATTTCGGTCTAAGGTTCTTGTGAAGGAAAATGTAAAGGAAGAAATAGATGGAGAAGGAGAAGAAAAGCATGGGTACAGTACCTGAGTCGCAGAAACTTTCGGAATCTTCATACTGAAAACCATTTCCGCAAGTAGCATTCTCCCAATTATATGTAAGGTCTTTTTTTATGCTATAGCGATTGGTCTATCGGTTAGAGAAATGGAGCCATTGTGGGACAGAATCATTCCGCACAGAATACGTACCATTTGCTTAAGCATAGGCAAGACTTATCTGGGGAGTGAAATGCTCACAAATGTTTTCCTACTAATCTTTCACATTTTACGGACTTGACTCGCCGTACAGCTGTAACGATTTGGCTTCAAGAATGGTAGCGTATTGTATTATATTGTATTGTATTGTATTGTTTTGTATTGTTTTGTATTGTATGATTTATCCAATGTTAGTTGTTACATTAGTGGAAAAACACTAATGCAGACTAACATGGAGCAATTTCAATTATAAGGCAGTTAATTTACTGTAAAAAAACACCTACATTTATTTTCATGGAACCAGGCTTTAATCAGATTTCTTAATTTTTTTGAAATTCGGGCTATTTTGATTCCATCTGGAAGCGAGTTTAAGATATTCAAAACTTGGACACTGAGTGATCTGATTCCATTATTTGTAGTTCTAACCTTTGGCATCAAATCTTGTGACTCATAAATTTTGGCGAAGATAGTCCTTTATGATAATAGGATTTAGATTGTTAACCGTACGTTTACTCTTGCCATAGGCGGGATATTCGACGGAAAGACATGCTCTTAACTTCTTTGTTTGGATAGGAAAGATTTCCTTATCTAGGTAATTCCCCCTGGCAAAACTGACTTTTGCCTCGAAAAAAAGCAAATGGGAATGTCCAGCTGCAAATTAGTATTAGCATTTCACGCTTCAGCAAAAAATAAGTCTGTGGGGATGACTGAAATATTTGTGCTTCCAAGGGTCCTAACCACAGAGGTTCGACAAATGGTCCTTACCACAGACGAAATCAGAGCGAGAACTATTTACTCAAAGCAAGACTGTCGACCAATTCGGCAAAAATGGACATCAACATCTTGGCACAATCTTTCTTCATTGCTGTTTTAATTTGCTTAACAAGTAAGTTATTTTGATAAGCAGCTCCTTTTTCAAAGTATCTTTTACACGTTCAGGTAAACAAAGTTTTAAAACACTGGAAAAACTTTCTACAATGAGCTAGCCGACTACGTCTTGACAAAAAATGAGAGAAATCAGAATCGGGGTACGCAAGAAGGGCTGTATTAAGGAATGTGTCTGTTCTACACAGAAAGCTTGCTGACATCAAAACAATAAAGCTAAGCAGTTATTGTTAATAAGGCCTTGGTTGGGATCAATAATGTAGGCAGACAGTCCAAGGGGTACGGTTGGGTTCACTTGCAAAGGGAGGTAAACAGTTAAAATCCGCTACCTAGAACTCTCGAGAGAAAAACAAATTTTGTCTGAGACAGCGAATTTTCGAAGTAACAAATGTCCAAAAAAAATCCGAAAGTTCTCAGTCTTAGATAAGTTACAAAGCGCTGATGAAATACAAAGTAAGCTATGTTCACGTTCAAAGAACAACTATTAATCCAATTTTTACAATTTATATCGTTCAGCTTAAAGTGTCTATGCAGCGAAATTGTATGTCCTGTTTTTTTAAGAGTTATATTTTCCTATCTTTCCTGACAGGTTTGACACCAAAATTGTCATAATTTGACCAACAAAAGTGTGTTTAATCAGAGTTTGAAATTAGATAGTACTTGCGAAAATCAAGGCCAGTTTGTGACGTCACAATGTAGAGTCGGGTCGACAGCAATCAGGAAACTGCGGTTATACAGAATAGGTTTTAGTATGGGCGATATGAAGAAGAACTGTGCAAATTGTGATACAAGCACCAAAATTTCAGAAAACACCAATTTTGATACGCTGAAAAAGATGTGATATAGACCAAAATCATATTTTGCCCATAAGATCTATTTTTAGACTGGGATACTCCGGTCAAGACCCCTAATTATACCTTTGGTCATAAACGGAGAACGCCAGGTCATAGAAAGTTGAAATTCACAATAACAAGACAGTTTAACAAGACAAAAAATGTGTGATTTAGACCCGATTCATAATTTGCCCCTAAATTCTATTTTTAGACTGGGTTACTCTGGTCCAGACCCCTGGCCACAAACGGAGAACGCCAGGACATAGAAACTTGGAATTCTCGATATGAGGGTAATTTGACATGCAGAAAAAGATTGGATATCGAACCAAATCATACCGCAACGCAACGCAACTGCAAAATATGCTTACTTTGACACTCAATAAAAAAAGAACCATTTAACTTATCGGAATTCTGTTTGTTGTATAAGATTCTATAGATTTCTTTTAAAATATTGCAATGGTAGATTTCGCTGTATAGGCACTTTAAGACAATGCTGGCATAGCGTATCTGACTCCGTGCTATAAAACAGGTAGCATTTTGAAACCACCTCCCCTTCATGTGCTTTTAAAATCACCATACATCATATCATCATTTTCTTGGCCGTCCTCTAAGTATTTCTTCTTCTGCTTGCAAATTGGTGTTGTTATAAAATAATTTTCATTAAGAAAATCATCGGCATTTTGGCTGGGAAACTCTTTAGACCTTCTTTTAGTTTCTTTGCATCTTCTTCGAATTATTTGAAGGATAATACAAATTATTTGCACGTTATTTTTGTGTAATCAAAAGCTTGGATCATTATCTGATAGAAAATTTGTTTGAAAATTTATCATATAGAAAGCGTTTTTCTTCACCTAGTTCAGCAGAAAATTCGTTAAGCTAGAGATAACGTGCATTTTCTCCAGGATAAATAGAAAAGAATTCGAGATAGCGAATATTCGAGAAAGCGTGCAATAGAGAAAGCGGATATCAACTGTAATTTCATTTTATTCGAGAAATGTTTATAGAGAGTGAAAACTCCAGGGGGTTTTAGAGAAAAAAGCCCTCGCATTATTGCTCTCATCCCCGCTCTTCATTTCAAGTTGAAAGAGTGGCTCTTGATTAAGCTTTACTACACCAATTTACTACACCAATTTATGGCCCTGTGGAAAAATAAAAAGGGACGACAGCTTGAATGTCAATATGAAAAGTTGAAATAACGAAAAAAGGAAAGGGAATGCTTTTTCACTGTGAAACCACGTAAATGCACTAAACATCTGTGCGCTCTATATTTTCACGTGAATGCTTTCGCCCTTTGAATCTCTACATGCTGGATTGTTCAAGGTTGGCCCCAAAGAGTAAAGAAATGCCTACTTGTTCCATTTTGAGGCATTTAAAGGTCATGATTATGTGGGTTATTGAGCTAAAAGTATTTCAAGCAACTCTTTTATAGCAACCAAGTTCTGAATCCATTCAACATTTTCGATTATACATTTGCGGAAGAAAAGAAAAATTCTCTTGCTTGTGGTTTATAATATAGTTTTTTAACAACATGACTCTAGAAGATGAATACAAGAGAGAAGAAAAGGGCTCTTTATGCTTTGAAAAGTCTTCTAATGAAAAATATCTTGATTATCCACAAATTGTTATTTTGAGTGTCTCACAAAAGAATACGTTTTACTGGGTCAAAGCTAACTCTTGTATCACAAGGTGCATCTAAACACTGGATTGATTCATCTGCGCCGCCTGTTCTTTTGATTTAATAACTCTTTTGACAGCACATCCTGTGCTAGTGTAAAGAATTACAGAAGAATTCCTCATCTAAATGAAGTTGCGGGAATATTTAAATGTTGTGGTTAGAAGCCAAAACGGATTAAATCATCCAGATATCAGGATCAGAAGGGCGCATCAAATTCAAAAGGCTTTGAGCAGGAGCGAACTAGGAAAAATTAGTTTAGGGGATTCTGCCGACAAAAGGATTTGGTTTCGATATAACCTCCATCATAGTAAAAAATGTAGAAAAACGAGAATATGACGACAACGGGTTGATCGCGATTATATGGAGCTGTGGAGATGCAATTGTCTTCTAGCAGTAACTTTAGACAAAAGTTTAAGCTTTCAATCTCATGTTTATGACCTTTATAAAAACTCCAACTAATCGGAATTGACAATTATTTTACATTTTCGGTTGTTCTGGCTCCTATTAGCTGGTACCCTACACCTTCATCGAAATGTATTTTGTTACTCGAACCTCCATTTGTTCGAATCCTTTTTCTATTCACTTGAGAATTCGAATAGTTTTTGGTGGGAGTCAACTGCAGTGCACAAGCTCTCAAGTTTTGCTAGAAATTTTTTTAATTTTAACTAGACTGGAATGTTTGTAGGCCATTGTGAAGCTAGTGTGTTTGTTTCTGTCCAAATTGTATTTGGCTGGTTAATGGCAGCTAGTTTGCAGCAACAGGTGATAGACAGATTTCCTTTTGATTCACGAGCTCAATTGGAAAAAGCAAATTCAGGCGTCTATATGCAGCAGAACACTCGAAATCACTTAACTTCAGGTATATTTTATTGATCTTCAATTGCACGCAGTTTATGAATTTTAATAGACAAAGAAATCAATGAAATGAATTACTAGAAATAATTTTCTAAAATCATTCTAGACCCCACTGGTACTCAAGATATCCAACATGTGGCTGGAAAAAAACTTCATGCTTTGAACAAATACGAGGTACTAGCAAGACAACTGGGATCCAAAGGTGTGTATTCTCTCAGATATGGAATAATTAGGATTTTCTCCTTGAGATGTTGGGAAGGTTTGTAATGTAGCCATAACAATAAACCCTGTGCGAGCTATTCAATTCCCATGCTCAAGACGACATCCAATGTTCTCTCAAGTGCTCTTGTAAACTTAAGGCTCCAGCCCTTCTGGTTTGTGCTAAGCTCACACCATTGCTTGTTAAATACTGTAATGTTGCCATTTGCGATGTTGATTAACTAAGGTATTACCCAAGTTCACTGCTTAGGTGGAAAGTTGCCAAGACAAAAACAGCACAGATGCAAGCAAAAGTCCTTAAAGTCACTTTTTATGTCGTATCAAGGCGACTTACTTGACACATTTAGAGGTATATCGTGGCATACTTTGTGATGTCATGTTGCTACGTCAAAGTTTCCAAAATATAAATATTTTAAATGTCATTACTCTTAATAGTTTGACAGTTACAGGCCCCTTACCAACAAGGAAGGAAAACAGATTTCATACAAAAGTGACACCCACTGTGAGAAAGGCTTATGATACAAATGAATTCTAGCTGTCATACCCATGCTTGACTTTTATCATTTGGGGACTGAACAAAAAGTATTTGAGTAGGAATATTATTTCATCTATACAATCAAACTGATCTGAAACTTAAAAACTAATGATCAGCAACTCATTTATATTTATGATTGATAAATCTACACATTGAGATCTATGTTTCTTTGTTTTGTTGACAGAGCAAAGCTCCCAAACACTGAAACGCAGAAGTCAGGCAACCAGGATTTACCCAAGGGCACCTAAACGACTGTACCAACCAAAGCCTGGGCGAAGAAGGAGGGGGAGATGGTGGGGGAAATAGCTACATGTTTAAAGAATTTGCTCCTTGCAGACAATGAATGCCACAATTTGATCTTGCAAGCAATGCATTTTGATTCCTTACTTTAATAACCTACTAGCTCTGGCAACAAAGCTTTGCAGCATTATTATGGTATTAGTTTACTGTAGCCTTGAAAAGATGATGAATCCTTTTAAAATCTGTCTAATCATCAGACTCTTTGGTAAATTCCAACATTTGAAGTGAGGGCAATTGAAAAATTTTGTTGAAAGTAGCATATTTTGAAATCTAAGATATCAAGGCGTCCTTTCTAAAAGACTGAACACCCAAATAACAGGCTGAACACCCCAAGAACACCCTAAGAACAAGCCATAAAATCCCCATTAAGCAGCTGAACTTACTTTAAAACATATCAAAATCGGCATATCATTCCAAAAATAATTTGGTCAATCAATCAAAATTAATTTTGGGGCGGAAAAGGGCCTGATAAGTCTAATGCTGTTGAAGTTGTTACAACCAACTGATGCTTTGCGCGCCAAAGGTGTGAACGGGGGTTAATACCGTCAACTGAAGCCACAGAATAGGGATTCCGTGCTTGAGTGATCTTCATTTTATCGAGTGAACAATGGATGCTGTCGCAAAAGAGAAACTTCCATTATCACAAAATTATCACAAAGACCATTCTAAACACTTAAATGTTGTTTTCAGTTTAAAATGGTGTGAGAAAATACTTGAAACAATTATACAGGCTCAGGCTGAGGAAGCATTGAATACCAGGGCGATTTACCTCTTACTCCTCTTATTGTAGGTATCATACATAGAAAGGGGGGTTAATTTAAAAGCAAAATAAACAGGTTTTGCGAAATGATGTTTTTGGTGTAAGATTAATAGAAAGGCACTTACCAAAAAAACCAAATAAAGGGTGCTAGTTTCAAATGATTACAATATCATTGCATAAATTACAAACAAGTAGCCATTGCTGAAAGCTGAAATCGGGTGAAGCCTTTATGGGTTTGGCAGGCATATTTACTTTTTAATCCAAAATTGTTAATCTACAGGCACTATGGAGCAGGAGGCCTGAGGGGCTTTAGCCCCCCCCCCCCTCCACGCAGAAAATGCAAAATATAAAGGAATGAACCACCATTAAAACTTCTTTTTATTCAATTTTTGCCCCCACACTTTTTTAGACCCCCCCCACTTTTCAAAATGCTCTGCAGTGCCTGATCTACAAAATGCCAAACAGTAATATTTTGTTGTCCATTGCTATAGCTTTTATTGGCATTTAAAAATTTGAAGTATTTCTAATTATTTAACTTTTTAGTAAGCCATAAAGGCACTTATAAATATTTGAATATGTATGTAATTGTAATGTAACAAGGTAGGGGACTGTTTATTATTTGTGCATGCATGAATAAATATTCACCCATGACCTGTGAATTAGCATAATTCATTATGTGATTGAATGAAAATGATTGCTGCAAGTAAATTTCAAAATGGGGTGCCTACTTTTTTACCAGCAGAAAGTCTTGCTGTCCGGTACCAGACCAGATAAATGTATCTGGTATTCCAATGCCGACAGCTCTGCCAACAAGAAGCTACATGCAGAATATTGTCATGATCAAAGATCTTTTAGTAGAAAAGATTTTGGTAAAAATTCAAGAAATTGCTCATATTAGAAAGCTATTACCCAATGGACCGGCAATATTGTTTATTTATTGCCCCTAACCTTTTGCTTTTTTTTCGTTCAGTCCTTGTTTTTTAAAAGAACATTATATATGACTATTATCAAACTTTCTCAAAACATGTTACTGACTCAAAAGTGCTTTAGAGTTATTTTCATATGTACATCAGCATGTTTAAATTACCTTTGATGTAACAGTAAAAAAATGTTACCACAGCAGCCTCTTGTAATGGAAATAGAAAGCAACCCAGGCGTGGATTACGAAAAATGTATGACCAGGTTATATTTAAATGATGTGTCTAGCACATTATTAGAAACCATATTTTGCCCCTGGGATAGTCCGGTACATTCTTAGGTGAGGTCTCATAGCCAGTACACTATTCTTCTCTCTATAAAAAGAATGCCCATTGCAACTGTCCTATATCAATCAGCAGATTTGAAGGTCAATTTTGTATAATGATAATATAGTAAGCAAATAAATATGTAGTTGCGTGTGGTACTTCATCCAGAATAAAGATAATATAGTTAGCAAATAAATTAAGTACCAGAATGAAAATATAGAAGTTTGATTGTAAAAGACACGATGTTTTGAGCATGTACTCGTTATTTGACTTGATAACGTGTACATGCTCAAAACGTTGTGTTTTTTAGAGCAGTGGTGTGATGGAAGAGGGGCAGGCTCAGGGCGGCTCAACCCCTTGTCAAAAATCAGAGAGTTTCTTGGGGCGTGATCATGAAATTCAATTTGCAGTATGCAAAAGCATGATTTGCAAAATGTTCCACGTAATTACATGATTCAGCATGTATAGGCTGACCTGGTACCAGCCCCCACCCCATCTCATAATCCCAGACTGTAAAGTATTTTTCTGCATGGGGAACGCCAGAAGAATAATTTGAAATTTGCAGATATCAAACGTTTCCCACAAAGTCATGTGCAGAATTTGAAGCAAAGGTTTTCAAAGAGAACTTGTATTCTCTGTTTTTTGTAGTTGTCAGAAGTCAGTAATTTAAATGGTGGAATATTGGTGGGGAAATGACCAGATAAACAAATATTGTGCACAGGCAGAATAAAGGATAATTACTTTTCAGTCTGGCCTATCACCCAGCCTGCAGAGTGTGGCAGTTTTCGACAAGATCTTGAGTGTGCAAGAGCAAATATAAATGTGTGCATGTGTGCAAGAGTGCTGACAAAGTGTGCAATGTGTGATACCTTGCTCAGGAAATTGAGAATAAACCTAAGACTGTAGTCTGTCAGAAAACTAGAATATGCTAGTCAGTATATTTTTAATTCTGGGCATCAATGGAATTCAACATTTCATTTCAATATATCAGATCAAAATACTGAGATACGAGATGACTCAAGGGCCATTCTGCAGTAATCTATAGGGTTTGTCCCTTAGAAATTTTCCTGGGGGAGCACCCCCAAACCCCTCTTTTTCTGACTTTACAAAGCTTTCAGATTTCATTGAGCAACCCTGAAAAGCTGTGCCTCATATTTCATTTAATGTATTTGCATGCCAGAGCTTTTAAAATTAGGAAGAGAGGATCATCTAGAGAAGTTCAATTTGCTCACAAAATGCACATAGCAAAAGTGGTACATATTCTCTTATTTAATTACAGACAGCAACCTTTTCAACTTGTGACAATCAGATGGTTCTGATACTGACCAATACAAGTTCCAATTGTTTTATGAATGCTTAATCCCAATTCATCAGCATTTAAAAATTTCAAAGAAAATGTTGTTAAGACCAAGAAAGGAAAGCAACGTTTCAAAAAAGGGGTCCTTAAAACTTTTGCAGTACCCAGAAAAATGTGTGTGTGGCCCTATATTTTTATGTGCATTAGACAAGCCTCTGAAAAGATTTTCTGTGCGCACATGCCATGCCACACTCTGCAGACTGGCCTATCGCCCCTTCTACATAACCAACTGGGGGGTTTGCGTGAGATTCGTTGGAGTGAATCATCAACCCAATATTATTCAATGCAAAATTCTCTTTTTTCAACTTAATAATTTAGAAAAATACCTTTCCATTCTGTCCACTTGGCTCTTATTTGAAAAAAAAAGTAAAAAGGAACGGAAAACAATCTATCATCACTTCACATGTTTGCCCTGTTTGAAATGTCTCGTTTTGATACTCACTGCCTAGAAACAATGATATAGAAGCGCCGAAGGCCAGCTGTGAGGCAAATTTGTTTACTTCCGCCATTTTGAATAGTGCAAAAATGAGCTTGCTCCATACCGAGCCCTTATAAATTTGGTAAAAGTAAGGATTGATTTCGTTCACTTCCTTTTCGAATATCGATGTGAAACTTAGTGAGTGGCCTTATATTGCGCTTAAATTTATGAATTGATGTTAATATTGGAAAAATAAGCCGCCGTTCGCAAATTCCAAGCATTTAGAGTCGCGGTGCTTGCTGTGTTTTCTGTCTCGTCGAAATTCCAGAAAATAATGATTGATCTGTTTTAAAACGGATCAAGCAACAATGTTTAGTCACTCAATGCATAAATTTCTTAACATATTTGTACAAAGATGTGATTTAGTTACTTTTTCTTTGTTTGTTTACAGAAACTGCTATGAAATATCTAGGCCAAACTCTAGAAAAAGCCGAAAATACAGGTCATAATTCAATGCTTGGATATTAAGAACAGAATCTAAATATGGTAACCAATTTTTGATTTTATATAATCATTGATATTTTTAAACTATTTCAAAACCACACTCAGGGGCGGTCTAGCGTCAAAATCGCAGGGTGGCTAGAAAACTCAAGGGCCCGGTTTAAAGCATGGCGGGAAAAATTGAGCCACACCCACTAAAAAGTGGCTTAGAATGCCATTGATTCAATAAAAATTGACAATAAAGCAATACGCTAAACAGCAGCAGTATATCGACTTTGATTCGTAAATTCGGACCCAATTGGATTCATACCTTTCCTCTCGTGTAAACAGGCTTTAAAATCCCATGTAAAGTTAAGAATCAAGATCAAAACTTATTTAAATTCTCAGAGTTTCAACTCTTTTCGAAGAAGTGCAAATGAATCAGCAAATTGGCCAATGACTTGTTCGTAATCAAGTGGAAAGTTTTATCTTCTTTTGAAGTTATCAGTAGCGCTGGATAATATTTCAAAGGAAACTTGGGTGCAGCTAAGTGTCATCAAGCATTTATACGCGTTGTAGAGGGAAGGGTATACTGCTAGGTGCATGTTGTACTCACTAATTTTTTTATAGAAACCAGTACTCGGGCCGAGTCAGCCCGGGCCGAGCCGAGTCAGCCCAGATCAACCTTGGCTAGGTAACTTTGTGTTCGCACTACAGAAAATATTACTTGGGTTCACTCTACCCCTTACCCAGGCTGAAACAAGGTTCGATAGTATAGTGTAGACAAGACATTTGACATTTATGAAAGGGCCATACATAAATGATATCACCTATAGTTTAAAGATTTTTTGGCCCCTTGCCCCCTGTGTCTCAATCTCTCAGAACCCCTCTATTATATTGCCAATGACGTCACTTCTCAAACTCCCCCCGTCCCCCCCCCCGCCCCTCGCTATACATTCATTTGAAAAGTAGAGCAATACAAAAAAGCATAATTTCTTTTTTATAAAATAATTTTGCAGATCTAAAGTTGCGAAAATTATATTTTTAAAAAGTTGCGAACATTAAAACAACTCTGAAAGGTACCTTATTAAGCCTGCCTAATTCGGGATTTCTCCAGGCTCCGAATTCCCAGGAATATCCTTTATTTATGCTTCTTTTTATGCAAATTCTCTTCCATGGTTTTGATTCATGTTTTATCTAAGTAATCAAGAAAATCAACAAAACTGATTTCTCTACGAGGTTCGTTCCTTCAGTGTTTAGTCTATAGAAACTAATAACTCTTACAAATCTGAAGGGGTTTCAAAGATATGGTGAATTTTTAGGCAGCTACTGCGATCGGAGAAAAATAACTCACAGCGCAGAAGAAAAGATTGTTGTTTAGATTGCGTTGAGCACACAGTGGCGAAGCCAAAGGTCCTGCTTGTCCTGCCGGGCAGGACCACGAATTTCCAAAGATAACAATTTTTAAAATGTTAAAAATTGATTCACTTTATGAAATCATTATATGCCTGATTCAAAGGCATTTCTTGTCTTATTCTACACTTATACTTCGTGGCTGTGCCCTTTTTCAATTTTGAGACACAGGGTGACTGAAATGGAATTTCGAGTATCCCGTTCGTAAATTGATATCGTCAAAAATTTAGCCCTGTGGTCAGTCCTGCCCAATACTCGTAGGCAGGACTAAACCCTATGTTTGGTCCTGCCCAACAATGGGCAAACGCCTCGTAGCCCTGTTTTGGTCCTGCCTCACAATAGAAGAAAACAATGGCACTCCTGCCCTTCAGAAATGGCAGGACCTCAGGTCCTGCTCTTTCATGAAGGCAGGACCTAGATTTTTGGAGCCCTATGTTTCGTTATAATTTGTTGATTTTCTGCGCCGTGGTCAAAGGTCACAAAGAATTTTCACTCAGGTCATAGTCAGATCAGTTACTCAGGCCTTGACTATTTTGATATCATGGATAAAACTAACTGTAACGAAGACATCATGATTCTGCTGCTGAAGAAGTTTTTGCTGCTAGAAGCTTCGGCCCTACACTGTCGTCAATTGATTTATACAAGAATTGATCGTTTCAAGACGAGTGGTACTTGCGGAAATCAAATTGTTTAGGGTCGTTCTGTTGGTCCTATTTACTGTTAAAGTCGGGAATATCACAGACATCGCGAGAAACCTGATATGCATAGAGTTTTCCCCCAGACTGCAGAGAGCAAAGGAAGTCATATTCAAAGGCCTATT